TACAAGCCCTGGAAATGTACAGCAGTGTTTCATAATCGACTAAAACATTGTTTTAGTCGATTCCTATATTCTCATAATGTGCTTCCTAAATTAATTTAACAATTAAAGTGAAGAAAAATTTTACAAGCAATTTTATCGTTATGAAATGAAAAGATATCATAGCTGTTCGTGTGCCATGACCGATAGTTACGTAGCATAAAACACGATCGGACATTAACGTCTGTAATAAAATATCGTCTAATTCTACTAGGAATGTATCGACTCCTGAAAGTTTTCTGGCAAGTCTCAATAATTATTTCAGTAAGTTTCGAGTTACGTCTGATGAAATAGAATAGCGGCTTTGAAGACAACGAAATCTAGAGTAGAAATATTTTTACAATGATTTCGGAAAAATGTCTAGTTTGATTGGTGGGTCATTGTATAAACGTTTTGTTAGTTTTTTTATAGTTTCTTACAACAATTGCTTCTTTTCCCGTACTCAATGAGTCAAAATTTGCTAGACAAATGTGTCTCTAGTAAGATTAAGTATTTTTTCCGGTAGGAAGCAATTCGAATCGTTCATGGAAAACTTTCCAAGCTGATGCTTTGATCAGTCGTGAAAACATTATCTAAAGCAAATAAGTAGTGAGTATTAAAATTTTTGAAGCAAAATCCGCAGTTGCACATTTTATTAATGTTTTCCTAGACACTTTTGGCTTAAATTATAACGCGAAATGAAATGAAACCTTAATAAAACTATTTTAGTTTTAAAATTTGCAGGATTCAAATTTAGGTGACATATTAAATATAAAAAATAAACAATAAATCATAATAATATCAATTTATACATATAAAGAAGTAGCAGTAATTTTTATACCAATAACCAGATGGACAATAATAATGGTATATTAAAAATTTACTAAATGCTTCGCTGCGAAAATACACAGATTGATTGAAAAAAATCATAATTTAACCAACGGCTGAAGGGATACATTAAAAGCCAAGACCTACGAGTGAAAAAAAATGTTTACACTGTTATTAAATGACGATAATTAAAAATCTCCTGGAACATTGCTGCGCTTGAAGTAAAAATATTGGAAGTAAAATACTTTAATTAGCTGCATTTCTTTCCAAACCTTCAAGCTTTTCAAATCTTAATTGCTTTCTTGAATTGGAAGTGGCGCAAACAACAAAAATTCTTGCTCTCGGCAATCCAGAGGTGAACTTAACACAGCAAAAGTTCATACTAATAATCAACATCCGAAAATGATTTATTCAACCCTCCATTATTAATCCCGACATATATCAACACAATTAAATTACCATGAATAAAGCAATTCATAGTTTTAGGCACTCTGGAGATAAATAATAAAATGTTTCAATTAACATTTCTTTTTAATCTTAAATGCTTCTTGGAAATAGATTACTTTTTCAAATGAATGTGAGTGATTTGTATTTCGAAGCTCATAAGAGCGAGCTTTAATTACAATTTCCCTTCTGACATGCTCTTTAGTAGTGATCAACAACCAAGCGTGAACCATGTGAAAATCATCAGTTTAAATTGACACTAAAAACTTTTTAACAGTAAGAAAGAAAAAATACAGTGAAAAGCAACTAAAAATAAGATGCAAAGTGGTTATTTCCATAGTGAAACATTTTTTATTGTAACTGCTAAGAAAGTTGAAAATGATGAAAAGTATGTCATTTAAACCGTTAATATTTGAGATTTTGTAACGCCGTAAATGCAATCCGGATTATCATCCAAATGTCCATTAAAACCGCATGGAAATTACTTTCTGTTCCATAGAACGAAGTACGTATTGGTATGCGAAAATGGTGTAAACCGCTCATCTAAAAGCCTACTGCGGTATGCAATCATTATCAGTTGAATAGCCTAGTGACATGTTGAACATTTGAATAGCCAATGAATTGCATGTTGCTTTAAAAGCATCGCAAGCAAAGGGCTTTACATCAAGTACTGTAGCTGAAATAAATAATTTTAAGCCTATAAATAAAACCGTTCTGTAGATAAAAAATCGGTTTTTTGCCATATTAAGTTCTCAAAAATGAAGATGCAAATGTACAGAAAACATTAGAAAAAATTTGGAAACCGTCAATAAAAATAAATAAATTAATTGGAATGTTTTAGGTAGAGTAAGAAAGTAAGTGTGAAAATAATAGAATTTAACATTTTGACACCTAAGACTAGAATTTTACAATATTATTATTTGAATTAAAATTGTATTATTTCCATGTCATAGTTTACTCCGTTAAAAAAAGTATTTAAAAACGCCTCCCTCGTCGATAAGAAGTGAATTTTAATAGTGATTAAGAGGCAAATTATGCGGTATGCATCTTGCTGTTTTAACATTGGCGTTTTATTTGTGCGTTAGTTATCGTGCTATTAAAACCTAGATAATTCATAGAAAATTCACCACATATTCATGCACATTTATAGCGACTGGACTAAGATGAAAACCACTATTAACAAATCTGACTTTTATTTTCGAAGTTTTTATAAAATAAACGGCTGCAACCCAGACTGGACTTGAAATTATGTTGCTTTACAGTGAAACCCAGTGTCTGTATGTGAGAAATTACAAGCCAACGTTAAATGAAATCACAAATCCCAGCAGAAGTTTTGTTTTGTTAGGAGGATATAAATAACAAACGTATAACGCATCCGAATTCCAATCTAAAATGGTAAACTTGCAATTAGTTACAACATAATTCGGACAAACATTCGGGTTTAAACGTTTTACAACACGTACCAGAATTAAATTACTTCCACCTGAGTTGAAATAATAGTGCCCGAGCAGTAAAGTTAATTATCTAAAGACCCAGGTGCTGAGGTTTATCCAGAGGTGTACCTGAAGAAATATTGATTGAGTGTAATTTACATTTAATTGGTCTTTTCTATGGCGCAAAACAAAATAAAGCCTATTTTCTATTCTATATCCCGCATAATTGCCACTGGAAAAAAGGCCAGGAACTTCTAACAAGAAGCGAATTGCTTCCTGAAAATTACCAGTTTATCACCGATAACAAAATCCCTTGCACACTTGGGCATTGTTTTTCTGTTACCAAACGAAATACCCTTCGCCAAGATTAATGACCTTTTTAACCGCCTTTATGCTATACTGATTGTTCCCTAATAACATTCAAGATTTTAATTATAACAAACCGTGTTTGTGTTCACACACAATATGATCAATGCAAGACACTTCTGATGTGAAATGTAATTATTTCAAGCAACTAAAGGCGTTAGATTGATTTGAAAATCGATTGATGGCTTCATATAAATAAAGAGATTGCAATTTGCCGAGAGGCTTAAATTATTTCTTGTTCAAAAAAAGAAAAAAACGAAAAGGTATTGTCAGTTCAAAAAGGTTTCTCGAAGTGATGTTTTAGGTGTTTGAAATTGGCAAAATTTTAAAACCAGTCCTAATAAAGTTTGAACTTAAAAATCAATCGTTTCTGAAACAGGACGTTCGTCTGGTCGTTCACATCTAGTAGAATAATGGAAGTGGCGATTTATGTGAGAACTTGTATCTTCAGCTAAATAAATCAGGTGAAAAAAATTATCTTAAGATTTGCTATGAGAAATACCAGTCATTTGACTATCTAACTTGTTGTTGAGTTTTCCACAATACATCGCTTTAAGCAGACTTTAAACATCTAATCATAAAAAACTCAACAGAAACTTGCTCCAACTTTTTTTTRAAAGAACAKTATTTAAAWATTGTTTCAAACACTTCACAAACAGTTCATTTTCTAATAAAAGCAAGCCTGAGATTATTTTATGTTTTCTAGAATTTGATTACCATAAGTGTATTCATACAATATAATGCAAAATTTCATTTAAAGCATTTAATTGCATTTAAAGGCCACAAGGAATRRAAAAGGTTATATAATAAATTAAAGTATGTATTTAAYATTAACAATTGTATTTTYTTATTAATTATTTYAATTGTCTTCTAGCCTTTGATACAATCATTGCTTTGATAATTGCGRTCTGGCCGAATTATTAACGTAGAAGATARGTTTAAAATTTCTGTACGTAATCGTATTGTGTTCCGTTAAAATAGCTCCCGCTAACTATTTTGTTTAAAACTGAYTTTTTTCCAAAATTATCTCTACTCCGTTAATGCTTAATCCRTATTAATAATAAATTMTTGTATGTATTCTCCTTATGTCTAAAATCTACCGTTTTTTCCAATACTTGTCAATTAATTTACTTTTGTACTTTYGTAAAATTKACAAATGTACTACACTAAACCACAATAGTTCATGTTTTTTATTTAATTGGTGGCAGATATGTTCTCTCTTTTATTAGTRTTTCTGACGAAAAAATGCAAAAACATTTATTTTGCACATAATGCAAAAAATATTGTAGTTCGTAAGTGAATAATTTTTTATCCAGTTGCAGAATACTCAAATTTTTTTAGAATACTCGAATTTACGAAATTGGGCGTTGAAACCCTTAAACTTGATCTAGAAGAAATTCAATAATGCGCTAAGCAAGTATGAATTATTTCCATCCATAGCCAAGGCAACACTGAAAAAGTTTATAGAAGTAAATGATGATATAAGATTTCTTAATAAATGTTTACGATATTTCCGCGGGTTTTTACACCAAACACACAGAGATCATTTTCCTAATTTTTTATCCCACCCACAAAAAATCCATGTAAGTTCCATTGTGGCGTTTCATCGTCTGGAAAGTCGGCTTATATTTGACAAACTGGTTATAAATCTGCAAATATTGTGCCAAGCTAAATTAGGGGAAATATTAAAAATAGACTTAATAATGGCACGCTATGTTGAACCATCTTCACATTATCGATTTGGTTTATCATGTTTCATCGGATTYTAATTAGGACACTTTATCAGCATGTAATATKCAAAAAACACTCGGAAAAACTATAGGAAAAAAGTAACATTTTTTAGTTCACTTTTGCCCAAATAATTGAAAATGTTAATATGATYTTTTGTAAAATGTGTAACCCAAATTCAAACAATTAATAACATARTAACTTTATTATCGAAATAAGAACGATTCTAAAATTAAAAATACAAAKTAGTGGAATGTTTGTATGGACGAATATCTTACTACAACTACCTAYWATCTCCTTATTAYAGCTAACTATTTCTATAAATWTCGACCGCAAATCATTTAAGTTTGAAGTTTTAAACAATTAAGTACGTGGCCGCAGATAATTACCTTAAAATTATTAAGTAGTTTTGATTATTTGCCCTGAAATTGTTTGGACGTATGTACAAAGGACGCAAACAAGCTTATCTAAATTAAAAAACTCTGCAAAAAAATTAAATTATTGAAAATTTTAAGGTATTAAATACCATCACTTAAGAAAATCACTTAAGTATGTGGATTAAATATGTTTAATTTAACTTCTCATCAAGAATCAGAGCAGCTAACTGTTAACTTATATACAAATTAAAAATATTTATCTACAATATGTGTGATGTATTGTAGTCGCAAGTTTTACATTGCACTATTCCCTATTCTTCTATAATCTCTAAACAAAACATACTTGTTGTCCTCCCAGGACTCAAATCAGCAATTTCACATTAATATRACTTTAAAAACCATAGATAGACTAGCGAAAGAATCTCCTTTAACTCACATCTTAATATCGTGCYTTGAACTATAGTTTCTAATTTCGATAATATTTATATTGCTCATGAAAGTGTAGRTACTTARGCGTAATTAATACSCAAAAGTTAACTTAATACTGCATTTAAATGGTGTTTAAAGAACCTTTCAAAAATATCCGAGACATTGCTTTGAGCAAACATTAATAGGAAGTGTTGTTGGATTTGGCCATTACTGGATTATCATACGCATAGTCCAATGTGCTGTCTTCCGCAGGTCTTCTATCAATGGACGTCGAAACTGTAACTGGACTATGATCGGAATTCACCGTAGGAGAAGGTATTTCCAGCCGCAAATCTCGCTTTTTATTATCCTGATTTGAGGTTGAATTGGTAGTGGCCGAAGAATCATTCTAAAAAATACAGTAGTTGCAAATGTTTTAGTTGGCAGGTAGCGTTGTTTTAGGTAGCAAGTATTTTCAAAAGGGAGAAAATGTAAAAAATATATTCTAAAATTGAGCGCATGCACCTGCAGGTATTACATTGGTACAAAAAAAATTGGGAACAAATCACTTGAAACAGTGTTAGTCAAAAGGAAAAAACGAGCCTCGTTTTATAACATGTTCACAGTATTCCTGTGCAAACTCTTTCGAAGCTAGTTTGAACTCAAGACTAGCGTTGAAATTGGTAAAATATCAGGCTTTTAAGCGGTGTAAAAAAATCTTCTTAATGTTCTCAAGCACGACTGCCTTGCACCTTCGGCTGCCTTTTTTATTTTATAAATGATTCGTTTGCTAATATTTAGTGAAGAATTATACAAAAAAATGTGCTTTCAATTTACTGCAAAAATAACACAGTTTTAGGACAACAGCGCATTTTTTGTAGTCGAACTGTTTAGGAATAAACTGAACTTTTATGCGTGTTTATTTGAAGCAGCAACATTATTTGTGAACGTCCAATTTTGCGACATCCTGCATAAGATTCATTAATTTTTGTAACCTTCTCTCAAGCAGAATTTTATTTATTGGTTTTTAAAAATGTATGTCGATTTTCTCAGCGATTTGTTAGTTTATTATTATTATCTACTTCTGGCTCCTTGTTAATGTTGTTTTAATCGGTGTTTTCAATTTTTATTCAATCTTAAGGCGCTTTTATTTCCCGTAGTACACTCTTGGCTTTACCATGTCAACTTTCTTTCAATCAATGATTTTTAGTGTTTATAGCTTACAATAATAAATATGTGTAGCGCGCAATGAAATTAAATATTTAAATTATTTCGCAATTTCTACATGGTTTTTGGTTTTTTGGTGTTTTTTTGGCGCTTTCTTGAAATTCTATTTCTAAATTAGCTTCTAGTTTTCAAATTGCCAAACGCCACCAATTGAAAACTTCAACGAAGTGAAACATTTAAGTGTTATTATATTTTGCGCAGAATATTGGGTAGATTCCTGCAACTTGTTTTTTTTTGCTTCTTTGTTCGCATACCTTTCCAAACATTTTCCCTTTTATTACTGCTAGAGTAATATTTTTCTTCACTTTCCATCGATAGAGTTGGAAGCAAAATACACAAGCCAGCACCAGAAGCATAAAGATTACCAAAGTGAGATTGATTGTAACCATGCTAGAAAGTTTTTCAACGGTACCTATAACAAAATTTAATTGCTTATTTCAAATTAGTTCGCTTAGTCGTATTCTTACCACGTAAGTCATCATCAGTACTTCCAGTTCTTACATATCTAGTGTCATGAAGATAATCTAAAAAATGAATAAGCGATTGATGACAAAAAATAATAAAATTATTTTTGGTGCTTTGAATCTTAAAGAGATTTGGTGACTAAAAGTTCCAATAAATACTTGGAACAACAAAGCCGCACAATTTTTTATCAAATTTGAAGAATGTTTAAGAAATAATCAAACGAATTTATAAAAGTGAACAGCAGAAGCGTTAAATAATTGATTTCGTAAAACAACTTTGGAACAGACAGTAAGCAACAGTAAGTTAATGTGCAATACAAGTAGAAATTGCTGTTTCGCTAATTAAACACCGACAATGAATATAATACATTAACATATCAGAATAATTGAGGAAATATGTGCAGTGTCGCAAAAGAAAAACCAACATTTTATGAACTATTATTTGTCCTGGTTTGTAAAAATTAAATCTTGGACGACTCTGTAAAACACCAAGCAGGCCACTTTGTAATATTCTTATAGTATTTTTGTCATAAAATTATAAATTATTTCAACAAGTATGAAAGCATTATAAATGACCATAAATAATCCTGATAAAAGCATTGTTTATAGTTAACGTTTTTAAGTTAGGTGAAGTCAACCAAACAGCTGTAAAATTGCAAAAAAAGCAAATATTAACTCCAGCTGAAGCGAATTATTGAGTTTATAAAGGGAAAGCTAATATTTGTTATGTAGATAAGCCAGAGGTGTACAAACTAAATAAGTAGATATGGATCAAGTGAAACTGCCATAAAGTTTTCATCATAAGCTCAATTATTTTAAATAAGTACCTAGTTTGGCTCAAACCATAAAATTTGTTTAGACAAAATTGAGTCCTAAGACAATTTCTACTGAGAGTTTTATAAGTTAATCAAAGTTAATAATTATGTTTATTTTTGCATTTTAAGTGTAGAATTTCCATTTTTTCAAAGGTTGAATCAACTTGAGATGTTGCAATTTTTACGACGCCATTCAAAAAATATACCTGGAACGTTAATTTTGCTGAACGAACAATAATTTTAACTGAAAACTTCAGAACTAAACAAAACATTTATTTCTGACTGAAAATTGGTCCAATAGTAATATTTATCATTTCAAATGAAAATTTGGAGCAGTTAGTGTTAGTTCACATTAATTAGCTTAAATTCTAAATTGTCCGTTTCAAGTTAAAATGTAAAAATCAAAGTGAAACTGTTGAACTTAAGTTCTAATTCTGGGTCCAAACTCCCAAAATTTTAGAGTTTGTGCTCATTGCAAAAATTTGAGTTGAAGTTGGTTTCAGTAAATATGAGTTAGTTTGGGTCTAAAGCCTAAAATTTCTTCTTGCAGTCAAAATGTCGAGATCAAAGTAAAAATTGGTGCTCGGGGATGAAATATTCAGTTTAAGTATCAGATTTGTTACCAACGATCGATATTTCGAGACCAAAGTCGCTTTGATTTTGTTCGCAAGTGAAATTTTGAGCTAGTGGCCTTAGGTTTGAAAGTTTTAGTCTAAACTGGAAATTTGTATGTATGTACGAAGTCAAAATGTTCAGTTTTATGTAGAGATTGTCGGTCCAAACGAGTAATTTAACCGACGTCGAAATTCGAGGTTTGAATCGTTTGAATGCACGAAGCTAAGAGTTTCAAGTCAATAATCAATTTGATGCCCCAAATGGAATTTTTCGGTTGGAGTTTGAATGGGCAACATTTTCTGTTCAAAGTCGAATTTTTTACCATTCAACTTTGATATGCATTTAAAATCAACTAAAGCTTTGAAACTGGATAAATTCTGGTTTCTTAGAGCGATTTGGTTTCTGTTTGAAGCATTATTGGCACCCATTTGTTTTTTGTTAATTAACCTTTTGATATAAATTAAGCACCTCAGATAATTTTTCTTCGCGGCAAATGAAAAAATACAAAATTTCCCAAAGTTCGGCATGCATCTAGTGCGACAAAACATAGTTTTTTTTTGGGTTTCCACACCAAAAATTTAAAGATAAATCAAATGGATTTAAAAAGTTTTTGAATTTTTCGTCCACTTTATCGACGGTTTAAGACGAAAACTTGATATTTGCAATATATATTGTATACTTGAAAACGAAAATTTCATATACAGGGTTGCACAAAAAAGTACCCAAGTCAAAATTACCTCCGAAATCTATGATTCTGGTAGATTTTCAAGTAAGTGCAGTTTACTTTCAAGTATTTCGTTTTCAAAAATTTTAAATTTTGTCAAATGTAGGTACTCTGAAGATTCCATTTGATTTCCATCTTCAACATAAACGCTAGATTTTAAAAATGGTTTTAGAAAAATAAATTATCACTGAAAGACCAAAAAGTTATTTTTTTAAGACCACTCTGTAGATAAACGAAATGAAATGAAATTGAAAAATATTTTTAGAGATACGAGGTCTATCTTAATGCTTGTGGTGTTGAAAAACCAAAAAACGTTTATTGTCCCACTGAGAACACGCGGAACTATCATCAATTTTGCACTGTTTCACCCTGTAGAAACTTTACCTGACGCGCTAATTTTTTGCAAAACGACGCACTAACCGAAAAAGAATTGCACTAAAGAACGCTTCAAACAGCAATCAATTCGCTCTAAACAGTCAGAATTTATCCAGTTCCAAAGGTAGTCCAAATTTTCCATTTTATCGTTGATTTGGTTGAGCAGTTTAATTGAATTTAAATGCATATAAAAATTGCATGATAAAAATGCAAATTGGTATACAAGAAAGTATTGTTGGGTTTGTCACGAATTTACAAATATTAAATCGTTTCATATACATACTGCTCACGTTTGCTTGCATTAATACTTTGCAAAACGTCATGGCTTTAATTTACATTTACATTGCGATAACAGTTTTATTGTTCCGTAGTCGTATTGAGAAGTTGAATATTGTTCATAAAATTTCCACTTGTTATCAGAATGTTAATTGAATGATTTTGCCAGAGTGTTGAAAAGTTGATCTTTATTATATTGTTTCATGTGTGTGTGAAAAATATCAGATTAATTAAGAAAAACAGTTTTTGGTTGACTTTGGTATCAGTTGGTCTCAAATATGGAGGAAAATAAGTGCATTTTTCCCTGCAAGTCAATTTATATACACCGCAAATTCCACTTACTTTGACAATGTTTTTCGCAATCAACCTCCTCATAGTTGTTGCTGCTTTGATTGCAAATATGAGCACACAGTTGACAAGTATTATCGAAAACCGAACAGAATTCGTGATAGTTGCACGTTTTTTGTCCACACTTTGGAAGGGCAAGCGTAATGCCCCCTTGAGCTGCCCCACTGATCACGCACCCAATCACACTGCATACAAAAACCAGCGCATATTTTTCCATATTTACCCGATTTTTTTGTATCACATTTTCCCGTGAATAATGTAAACCATTACAACAGGTGTGGCGGAATTTGGTAGATATCTTCAGTCATTGCGACGCAACCACATTACGATTTACCTGGCTGAGTCACATACCAGTTTGCCCAGGTAGGTACTTATGCAGATGGCTATAGGAGTCAGTTTTGATTGAACCCATACAGGTAGAGTTTGGAAGGGGACAGTACAACCTGTCTAGTATGTTGTGGGTTCAGGTTTATAATGGGAGAATTTTTATGCAAACCGTTTTGATAAAATCCYTAAAGATTTCGTATCATCTTCCAGTTTTCTTGTGTTCAAATGCGAGTAAAAATATAATTAGTCGCAATCTGAAGTTGCTGCTTTATCCACTATAGAAGGTGATTCTCTAACGCTTTGAATGTTGGATCTGYGTAGCAAGAAAAAGACGTTGTTCATGTTCCGGACCTAAAAAGATCATAATATRCATATGCAGGATGATTGAAAAATTTRCATCGATTTYAAATGGTTATTAAKAATTTMATTTATTTCACAAGGATAGTCCCTATTRGCTCTTGAAAGTGCACTTTCAACTTGCCTACTAAGCAGTTTAATTATCATTTGGCAAACTATKAGTATCAACAGACAATACAAKTAAAAAATTGTATCTGTAAAAAATACGATTCTGCCTTTTTTACTACAGGGTGTAGTGCTGACGTTTATTCTGTGCGAATTTTCAGATAAKAAAAGGGRGAAGAAACAGAAAAGCCATCAAGAATAACAGAASAGCGCAATTTCACCTAAAGATGCGACAAAAACAGTGAGGAGTCACAGGACTACGTACAACAGAATTAAAGAGCTTAAAAACTCTTTCATCGCGCTGGAAAATGCCTAAGCAAAAGGTTGTGATTAGTTTTTCAATTGCCCTCTTCAAAACTTAAAACGTATAACAATGTGATTCATGCATAAAGTTTCCTTTCCTTGCGGTGGCGACTTTAAGTGCAGGTAGGCATTTAAAGCAGAAGGTGAGAAAATCCGCAAAGATGAAAAAAATCCCGCAGATTAGATGATTTTAATAGATTAAAAATTACCTTTCATGTCAATATTGCACGTTAACTTTATCAGCGCTCAAAATGTATAAAAACATCCCGATCTGACCATGAATGTTGAATGAAATGAAATACAATGGCCTGCTAACTAAATAAGTCGTTTTATAAGCTCAATAATTTTAAACTGATTAATGGCTTATATTTCTAATAGTAAACTTATTCCTTTTTCCTATTTTTCTGTTAATTTCACCTGCTGTTTCCCTTGTTGATTTACAAACAAAGCATCATATATTTTTATTTAATTATATCTGTATCTACCATTGTGAGCAATTTGAAGTTTAACCGACGAAATTGGCTCTATTCGAGACTCAAACCCCCTACCATGCAGGGTGGTTGCTCGAAGGCATTAAGAAAGCACAGAAAAATTGTAATCTAGTAAATCTTGCAAAAAACAGATATATTCGCAAAAAACTAAATAAGAAATTTGGCAACGACATATTTGGGACCAATTCAATATCAAGCCCAGGGCGCCCATCTGGCAATGTGGCGTCATTCAATGCTTAATAAAGGGAAGAAGATGATGAAGTAATTTTTTGAGGTTGGAAATGATGCATCAAATGTAAACAGTAAACATACAAATCGTGTCTTTATTATAATACAAATTTTGTAATTATTTCAGTACAGTTGCGTTAAAAACAAATTTTGCATGATATGGACCAAAACCAGTTGAAGACGTTAATCAGTTTGGCCGCATCGCTGAAATCCAAAACACAATGCTCGATTTGGTAAAAACCTGCATGTTGTATATGCCAATAGAAGTTTAGTGTAAACAAGATGAGTTCATAATTACTAAACATCAACTATTTCAGCTCAGATTTTATGAAACATATCGCAGAATTACAATGTTCTCACAGATTTTGCAGTAGCTGCATAGCGCAGCTACGTTCTTCTAAAACCAACGCCAAATGCCCCGTGTGCTTAACATCCATAGGCAGGAGATCGATTTGCTATAAAGACCAGTTTGCTGATAAATTGGGCAGATTCGTCAACGATGTTTGTCAACTGATCAAAGATCAATATGCTTATGAAGGTACGACCACTATCTAACAATCGGTAATATTTGTAATTTAAATCAATTGTTTAGTTGATGCACTGTCTTTCAACAAAAATGATCTTAAGAAAATCATCGAGTTAGCACCGCAGGAACTTTGTAATGCAACAGACTCTGGCAGGCATGTGAAAACAGAGCGGGGCTCTGACGCGTTTGATTTGCTTAAGTCTGCCCCCAGAAAATGCTACGTCAACAAGAAGCGGGAATCCTTTAATAATAATTCGCTAGATATTGCAGATCCGAAAGCCAAAGTCATTAATTGGCTTAATAATAGTGATCATGCATCCCTAAGCGTATTAAATCAAAGTGCCGAATATTTGAGTCAGGAAGAGAGTGATTTTCAATTGCCATCTATTTCTCAAGGTAAAGCAAAGTAAACAAGAAAATAGATAGAAATTTTCGATCGCTTAAAGTAGTGTCTAGAATTGTAAGTCGCAATGCTACAACTCTTTAATTTATAAGCAAAACATGACAAAACGTACTTGCGAGTGAAAGCTGGAAACGCGCTAACGACTAAAGTGAGCTTTGTATTGCTTGGAAAAATTAATGCATAACTTCCGCGCTTCCTCAAATAAGTTTATGGAAACTTATCGTCAGAAAAGATGCTACTTTATAGGCTTACCACAACCAATGGTGTATAATGAAAACACTGTAAACTACTTTAGGCTCAAGCTTACAAACCCGCCATTTTTCCAATTAAACGACCGAATATATTTTGGTTTAGAAAAAACATTCACCGGTTTCACGCCGAATTAAGCATTGTGCCCAGAATATCAGCGAATTGAATTATATACTTTATGTAACACTCACATCACTGAATTGATTTGTTCTATTTAAGCACTATCTGAAAGTCGAACTGAAAATGAAAAGAAAGAATCCTACCTAGTTCTGCCATGCAATGACCATAGGAGCTTGAAGCAAATTATGAGTGCAGCTGATAATTACACTATAGAAGAGACCCACTCTGAAGCACTAGTCAGACAGGTTTGGTATTTTGTATTTTTCGAATCCTCTTTGATGATATGCCTTTGATTCTCAGGCCGAAATTAAAGTAGTTCAAGAACTACTGGAGGACGAGTGTTTAGAACATTTCGATCGAATTGCGAATATAAGCAAAGATGAGTCTGCCAACTCGAAGAATGCTAGTAAAGTTTCGCCAGCACAAACAAAAAAGGGCAAAAAGCGGAACTCAGGGAAAAAGTCCACCAGTCCGAACCATTCTGGATCTTCCTCAGGGTGGGATCGAATGGAAAACTTAACAAAAAGCCTTAAAAAAGGTTCCAAGGGATATAAACAGCTTAAAATACACCACGGCGATAGTGATGGCAAAAGCAAAATGATTACCAGAAATAAGCAAAATACATCTGCTGAGGAAAAAGGCAAAAAACAAGCTGAACCCGAAAATAAACGTGTTGAAGCAAAGGTAGATACATATACTATAATAACGTAAAAGTCTTATAGAAAAAAAGAATAGTGATCTGCTTTTAAGGTACTTTGAATAGGGACTTTTTAATTGAGTTTATTGTTCTTATTAGCGGATTTTGAAAGCTCTTAACTAAATAAATAGGGATCTTAATATAGTAAAGTATAATGCGTAAAATTTCTAGAAAAAATCAAACCGGAAAATGGTTGTCGTCCTTAACAGGGACGAGAATTTAGACCTAAAAGAAAATAGTTTGAAGAATATTACGGTTAAGATAGATTCAGTAGTTTCCAACAAGAACCAATCACTACAAAGAAATAACTTGCAAAAAGGAAATAAATTAACTGTAACTTCCACTGACGCTGATGTGCCCAATGTACTAGCTCAAACTCTGCCTGAGGCACTGAATAACACGAATATCTTATATTCCGTTGCACCCGTTCCCGATGAATTGGATAATATACACACTATAGCTAATCTTTTAACCGATAAATTAAAAGCATGTGCTAAAGCTTCCAAGCAGAGCAATTCTAAAGGCTTAGCTGATTGTTTAGCTAATCTTCTAACATACGCTAACAGAATTGTACAAATTAGTTCAGAAGAAGCTATAAGAGAAAACACGCGCGCTGGGATAAATTCAGGAGTTGTTATGCAAACTGGAAGTGTGGATAAATGCGTACAAACTGTTAAAAAACAGCTTCACAGTGTTGAAATTCAAACTGAATGTGTTAATCTATCCACGCAAACTAATGAAGAACGTTTATTAACAGTTCCTGAAGCTGACCAAAATATTTCGCAACCACACGGAAGTAAGTTACAGTTTAAAGATGCTGCAAATGAGCGCTAATTAAAATTATTTTACAGGTAAAACCGGGGAAAACAATGCCAAAGAAGAAACGCAGAGCAAATTATCAGGACAGTCAATAATCCCAAGCACTCCCATTCAGATTTTGAGAAATAAATTGCGGAATTCTAGATGTAAAAATGTCATACCGATTTCGACGGACGAATCTAGCGAAAATAAGACGACCCAACAATCAAACCGCATATTAGAAAGTCCGGTTGCTACTAATATTTTGGAGTCAAAAAAACTTTCCGGAGATAAAGTCACCAATAGCAAAAGTCAAAAAAGGTATAACACTAAGTTTAGATGGCTTTGAGATTTTATTAATTTAACAAATTTAATTTTGTTTCGAGAGCAACTGCACACGTGCGGAGAAGCTTTAATACATGTACGTGAGGGAAATTACAAGAAGCCACTAAAAATCACTCGTTTTGCATCCTACGCGCTCACAGATTAATTTAATGTGATATTCAGTATTCACAGAAACGGTCATGAATGCACGTATAAAGGATTAAAGCATTTCCGTGTGTGGTGTGTTTGACGCTCTTAACGTAAAGTACATAATTTAGTCAGAGGCATAAATAGGATTACAATATTTTCGTTGAACCATTCAGTATATTCTGATCAACATAGAACCAAAGTTTTCAAACCGAGTTGAACCAAATTATGATAATTACAGTTTTTTCAATTTATTTTCTTTGAAAGTACTGTTTACCTATTCACGATGTATTTTGCTTCACACATTCGTATGGTCTTGAAAAATATTGTTGCTAATAGCGATTTAGGAGATTTAAGAGAATACGACAAGAAACTGCAGACAGTGATTCTGAGGAATCGGAGCATCCAAGTAAACGAAAATTTCTAAGAGACGATTTGAGTGTTGAGTTTGTAGACTCAGCACCTTCAGTGGGAATTCAGCTTGAATCGCAATCTGCCTTGGACAGTCAAAATATGAATTATGATGTAAGACTTAGGATGTTTTAACTTCCTTTAATTTTGTTTGTGGGGTTTTTAAGAGATGTTTCTTTATAACTCCCGAGCCTTCATTATTCTTTCGGGCGGATTTGTATAAAAAACTAACCAATTTAGTACAATTGAAAAAACTTCATTACTTTTAACGAATCCTGATTTCTCTTAGGAATATCTCCTTGAAGTAATGAAAAAGTACGATTCTGCTTCTGAGAATGCAGCAACCAAAAACGTTCAAAATATTGCAACTCCCTCGCCAATTCCCAATAGAAGCGCAGTTACCAATACAAACGTAAAAATTAAAAAATCTCAGAAAGGTCCTGAAAGTGGTGAGCACATTTTTACCGAGTGTCTCGCTCTAGAGGAAAATTTCAGTAAATTTGATAACGAAATTTTACAATTTGAAAAATCTGCAAGGACCTGTAATACGGAAATGGATATTGTGGAAAACACGCCGGCAGTCACTCCAAAGTCAAAGAGAATGAGGCAACTAAACACCTTGTCTCGCATTGATGGACTAATTATTTAACCGAATTTGCAGGCTTTCAAGCAAGAAAAACTCACTTGCACAAACAGATGCAGTTTCAAGGAAAAAGCCACCATCTAGTTCTCATAATAAAAATAACATCGGGCTCACAGAAGAATTGCTGGGAAACATGGCTGGTCCTTCTACATTAGATCGAAACATTGAAATTGTTCCTTCTCAAAGTGAGAAGCTTTCCGACAACGTAAGAGATATTTTAGAGGAGTTAAAGGAGAATGGTGAACTGTTTGCGGACAATATTGAGGAAGAGGATAGCGGCGGTAATGTTGGTGATAGTAATATAAAGGCGACTATCCAGGATAATGTGAATAGAGTAGTAAGTGACTAACCACTTGCTTAAATATACATCAACATGTTACATGTGTTTATGGGTTCATCAACTTTCAGGACTTTGACAATGATCCACAAATTGAAGAAGAACTTGGCAAAATAAGTTTCACTGCTGCTGAAGCAAATACTTCAAAACGCAGCAACGTGATTGTTTTGGAGAATATCAAGCTAAGAAGTCCAAAGGGAAATAAGAGAGGTGAAGATCTGGTGGAATTAATGGATAGTAGTGATGAAGAAATCATAGAAACCACTCCACAGAAGAAAAAATCTACCTCGATGGATCGGTATGAAAGTAGGAATTCTTCAGTTGAAATACTAATGTAAAGAAATGCTTAGAGGTGTTTTGGAAAATCTACCCTTTGAGGAAAGTAGATGTGGCTCAGCGATCGATGACGATCCCGATTACAATTTATCGGGAATATATTTGCCTCCGCCCCCAGAATTTGAGGATCAAATAAACGAGAGCCAACCTAATCAAAATGTGAATTGCAACGGAACTACCATGAATCGATCTACATTAACGTCTGATCGGTAACCTACTCGCTTGGACAATTTAAAAAATAATAATTATTTTTTAAAGATTTACAGATTTCTTGGTCACTCCGGATGAGAATGCCAGACATTCTGAAAAACCATCCGATATTAGAGCTTCGAATGTAACGCCCAACAGGTCAGTTTCTAGAAAACTTCTGCCGGATCCTAAACCATCGGAGGGCGTTTTCCATGACACAGAAAGTGTATTTTCACCCATTACTAAATCGTCCAGACTAGTAACTCAAAGTCATCACAATCCACTGGTTTTTACACCCAGGCAAGTAATGTAACCCCAAGAAAATATACACATACATGCATTCTTTGGAGTGTTGTGATATAACCAGACTTGCATATTTATAAAAAAAATAACATTTATTAATTTGGTTGCAGGCTGTCGTTGAAAAAACCCACCTTATTGACGTCGACCCCGAATCAAAAAAGTATTTTAAACTATGTGGTATCCTCACCATCTCAAGATAGGCCACGAAAGCAATCTCAAAAGTCGAAACCATGTATTATGTGGTCGCGAATTCTGAATAAGGATTTAAACGTGTTCACGCAATTGGAATGCAAAAAGCTACTGACGACTTCAAAAGTTTTCAGTCCGCAAGTGACCCATGTAATAGTGCTGGTGGACGAAAAAGGCCAAATAGTTTCCCATACAGCTAAAATTTTGCAGGCAATTGCCGCTGGAATTTGGGTGGTTCGATACGAATGGGCGGTGGATTGTTTGCGAATGAACCAAATTGTTCCCGAGGTTTGTTTAATGATATAATAAATAAATAACTATCAGTTTAAAAGAGTTGGGTACTCAATCAATACGTTATAACAGCAGTAATCATCCTAATGTTTTCATTAAAAATGTAGCAAATTTTTATCAACTAAATATTTTATCCAAACACCAGTTCTCACAATACCTGAATTGTCTTGACTTGTATAACAATTTAATTAACAGAATAAAAAGCTCAAGTTGCTATATTTACGCTGAAAGCTGCTAAAGTCAAAATATTATATACACAAAATCTCAACATTTTGTATCAAACATAAAGTAGAACTTTTGCTTCAGGGTCCATATGAAGCACTAGATATATCAGGAGTGCCCGGTCCTCGCATGTCTAGACTTTCGAATAAGTCTGAACCATTATTTAAAAATTTTAGATTTTTCTGCGCGTCTCCATTAGAAAGCATTTCGAAAGATGATCTGCAGGTAAGAATTCTGAAGTGTTACTAAAATAAGAATAGAACTAAAACAATTCAATGTATGCTGGGACTAATTATTAATTGATTTAAGAGCATACTGCGGTTGGCTGGAGCAGAAATCGCTACAAATTTGAGCGATCTATCAGTTAGAGATGATAAAGTGTCCTTAATTTTAACGGAAAGTTCAGCATCTGAAGAAACTGAACGATTTGAAGGTAAATACCAGTCCCAGAATTTATGCGCATCTAATATTGGAAATTTTGATTCTAGCATGGTTAGAAATCTACAAAACGGTAACAGTTGATGTCGAATGGCTTTCAATCTGCATCGGTCAGTATGAGTTAGTAAGTTTTCGACAATACTTGGTTGCTGGTGATGAAGCCTCTATATGTGATCTTGGCTATCCTTCTTCTTTGATTCAATCTGCACCATTTAGTTTATCAGAAACGACCTGATTGTTAAATCTTATCTGATTCTACAGAATGTTGATGGTTTAATACCGATACGAATAAGAAGGGCCTGGATATGATAAAAAATATAAAAGTTACCTACTAATTAACAAGAATATTTTTATAAATGTTAATCGCAGTTGGAGATAAATATTTATTTTGATTACATAAATATATTTTGAGGCGTTTTTGCAGAAATAAATCACTCATTGTGATCCTTATTTAAGTTAGTGTTTTTTTTTGTCAGTAAGTGACCCAAATTCGTTTCAACTAATGAATGATTGACCGTTTTCTCAATAGTCTAGGCACAGCGCCCAAAAATAAACAAAAACCATCCAAATGTTTATTTAACTCTACAAATAAAGCATGTAAGTCAAATTTGATTATAATCTGAGAAATTCGAAAGTGAGATTTTGAGAGTGTGCGATTTTACTCGCCAGTGATCTTCCATCGTACTCGAACCTATCGAAGCCAATTTCAGCCCCCAATTCAAACCTCAACTGTTCGGCAATCTTGTGAGTGATAAACGATGTGCAAATAGCAGTCACTATTTCTGGAGGTCTGGTGATTGCCAAAGTTGTTCCATTCGAAATGACTTTATCTTCCTTTCCATGGCTCAATCTCTTAGCTATGCTAATGGAGACTTCGAACAGTTTCTTGGCAATACCTCGTTTCCTGAATTCGGGCAGTATGCCCACGAACATTATTTCCATCGCAGTTTTCACTTTACAGTGCTCACATATGTCGAATATTTTTTCAATATCGCACATCCATTGTAACAAGTTTCGCACTTCCGAGTGTTCACATAACTTAAGATGCTTCGCGAATACATCCATGGTATCTGTGCCCTATAAAAGAAATAAAAAACTTAGGTCTATAAGTGCTGTTTGAAAGCATTTTAACATGTATTATTAATACAAATTTTCGAAATTCAAATATCTCAGTTCAAGACTGGAATTGTCTCGTAATTTTGCCTTTGTCTCTTAGGACGTTAGGATTAGGATTTCGATTGTGTCTGAAATATCAGCTGCTGAATACTAATTTAACTGCTGTTTAACTTTGAGATGTTCCCCAGATAGGTGCTATTAATAACGCAATTTTTCAAGTGATTCATTAAATTAAATTGATAAATATCTTTATTAGCTAGACATTATTGTTGTTATCGGATGGGACCCCCAAGTTCGAAGCATGATAAGGATGGTCGGAGAGTTTGGTAAGTAAAATGCAACTTTCGCTCACTGTGAGAATATCTTCAACACATACATGCAACTTGTTGAATGCCACTCCCGCAACTTTGCCAGTTGCTTTATCAACTGCAGCAATGGATATTCCGTCTTCAGCAACCCAACTGACCAATTTATCCATTTCCGGGAAACATTCTGGACGATCTGGAAGCCCTAAAGCGACACATACATTTTCATTTATGTAAAATGATCTATGCATCGCTTCTAGGGATTCTTGAAGTAAGCCTTCGGTTATTTGGACGTATTCTATCGAGCCTGGAGGATGTTTCATTTAAAATTTTATTAAAAATGTCTTTAATATTTTAAAATAAACTTGCTCACTTACCATCTTCGCTGGTGGACCAAATAGTTTTCTGCTTCATGATTGACCTCTTTCTTGCTCAACTCTGTCCAAGCCGAGCCTGTAAACTGCATTTATACTGAAAATCTAAATAATCCCATCAAGTCAATCTTAAGTAGAATTGTTATCTTAAAATCTTTTATTTACTTACAGTCCGCTACGGAAAATTTTCTAATCAAGAACGATGCCTTTGATTTATATCTGATCCTCGTGTAATCGGTTGAAATATTTAAATTGTTTGAATGCAAATGCAAATACCAGTCTACCAAATGATGCAAAAAAATTGAAACAATGCAGGGCGCAAGTGATGCAGTTTGCTATTTTGTGCCAAGAATTAATTGAAATGTTCAATTTGAAATATGACCTTTCCAAATTATCACTCTTATTTTTCTTTAAAATAATCTATTTTCAAATTGTAACAATGTTGTACCATTGTACCTATTATCGCGTTTTTAAACATTAAAGTGTCTTGGATACCTATTTGAGACAAAGTGTATCTACTTGTAAAATACATACTTGTTTTACATCGTCCAAAGTCTAAATTTCGTAATTTCACAAAACTGTAGTGCATTTTTCATAAATATTTGTTTTCATTATTATTGGCCTTATTTAGCTAATACGTTCAGAACAGACAGGAAATATAATAGTTTTACATTCGAATAAAAACAGTTAAAACCTTTTTTTACAAAAAAACCAATTGTAATATTATTAATAATGGAATACGTGTTTTAAAATATAAAAGGAACATCAAGGAAAATATTGCAATCGTTTTGATTTTTGGAAAAAACCTTCGAAAACCAACCATCGATTAGATGTTTATGTAAAAAAACTTCAAATTTTTTTTATACAAATATGAATGTTCAATAGTAGAAACATTTCACAAAAAAAATTAAAAAAAATAATTTAGAATCAATAAATTTGTAGCTCGTCTTCAATGAACATATTTACTTGTGAATGACGTCAGAGTCTACCATTAATTCTGAATACAAGAATTCGTGGCAACCAGTAAAACTCTATGTTAGCTACGCATGACTCTTGAGGCTAAAGTAAATAATCACAAAAACAAAATGGTTTCTTGTTTCTAAAAGTGTTTATTATATTTTTGTTAACAACGTGCGTACACTTTTAATTAGGTTTTTGTAAAATTAGACTTCTCCCGGTCAATTTGTCGGGGCATTTGAAAGTTCCGGGCTTAAAATTGTCAAATACGCTATCGTGCTTAAAGACTCCATCGACGCTGGGGTTCAAAGCACGTTTGCATTCAAAAAAATTTATTTAAATCATTTCTGATCGCAATTAAACATGCTTTATCACTAAAAACAGCTCACATTTCTCATTTATACTCAGCTAATAATCGAATTCATTTTTCAATTATATTCAATACGTATATTAAACATGGGGGGCCCACTCAACAGTTTTCACATCTTTTTATAGGAATTATAAGGATTTAGCGATGAACGTCAACTTTCTGATGTGGAGATATGGGGTGGGAATGCCAATAGATCGCTAGTTTAGCAAAATTGGCTTTTCTGCATTATGAGGGAAATGGTAGGAGGCTGTTGTGTGTGTTCTGATGATAGAGGTTGGACTGAGAATCCCCTTGTGTATTGCGATGGACAATCTTGTTATGTTGCGGTTCATCAAGGTAAGATTAAACACGGGCCACATGCAAGCAATGCCAAAACCTTGAGGTTTCCAAACAAATTACCTTTAAAATGCCCTTAATTTCCCCAACAAATGGTGATATAAATACAGCTATTAAATAGCGTTTCGAGGATGATAAAAGCCTCATTTGGTATAAAAGGCAAGAACGTTACGCATAAATACCTATCATTGTCAACAATGTTAAATTCAGATGGAATCAATGGTCATTGAGATAATAGCGAATTGCCACATGGATACCTATTTGAAAAAAGTATATCAGAACAAGCACAGGAAATTACACAAAAGAATAATAAATATAATGTGAAATACTTACGTAAACTGTAGCTTAGTCCAATAAATTTTTAAAATATTTACTCCCAATTTACCAGGTAGTTTGCCAGAGTCCTTAGAAATATTTGTTGGAAAGCGCACATTATTGTGCTGTAGAAATTATAAATTAATTATTATTTGTCTCATAATTAATTTTGAAATCCCATTTTACAATGCAAAATTATTGATCTCCACATTTTCTTCACAGATTGTGGAGATTGAGATTTTATTTGTAAGATGCTTAACTTACAAGGAAAGCTAGACTAAATTAATACAGATTCGTCTTTACAAAATGTATGGTTTTTAAACGTGTTCCATCAAGTTTTAAATAATAGGAAGAAAAACACATTTGAAAAATTTAAATTGAAAGGTCTCAACAGATTAAAATACAAATTTTATAGAAATGCATTTTGTGTTTTAGCCTGTTATGGTATAGTGACTGTCCCAACAGGCCCTTGGTTTTGCTGCAAGTGCGAAAGTCAAGATAAATCCACCAAAGTGGTAAGTGAACCGACTGACAATCGAATGTTATGAAATCAGTGAAACGCGACTATATGCTTCAGGTGCTACAAGCTCTAAATTGGCAGTTTTTCCTGTTTGAATTATTGAATATGGCTTTTAGGAATTGAAAACATATTAGAGCTACAAAACACTGAATATCTTCATTTGCTCTACATTGATTATAAGTTAATGTTTTACAGAAGTGTGAATTGTGCCCCAGCAAATATGGAGCGCTCAAACGTACAGATAACCAAGGTTGGGCCCATGTGGTGTGTGCGCTTTATATTCCCGAAGTCCGATTTGGAAATGTGTCTACAATGGAACCTATTCAGTTGCATTTAATTCCAGCCGAACGGTTCAACAAGGTAATTTAACCGGTTAAATGACGAGGTGTCTGAACCAATGCCTGGAAGTTTTCAATGTACAAAATTGTGATAATTAGGTGTGCTATATCTGCGAAGAAAAAGGGAAACCAGCCAATGCAACTGTTGGTGCATGTATGCAATGCAATCGCGTTGGATGTAAACAGCAGTTTCACGTAACTTGTGCTCAAAGTTTGGGGCTTTTATGTGAAGAGGCTGGGAATTACTTAGACAACGTCAAGTATTGCGGCTATTGCCAGCATCATTATAGTAAATTGGTAAGGATCCAGAATATTTTAAAGGTATACGATTTTTTATTAAACTTATGTGTACTAATAGTCCGGATATTTATCAGCCAAGCGTTTCAATTATCTTTATTTCCAGCCACCAAAAGTGGCTTTTGATTACACACATTAAACAATGTTTGCCATTCATCAATAGATAAAAATAGTTACGCCCAAACGTATAGATGCGATTTGAAAAAAAATTATTTGCACATACATGCCCGATCGTTTTGAGTGTTCATAAATAAATAAGCTGATAAGTTGATATCACCTTTTTTTATTAAAACAAAACTGAACAAACTGACACGTTTCGGCTATTTACGTTGATCAAACAAATACAAACAAAATATTCCGGTATATAAAACATTTTCATTCATCAAAAAAGCTGACTTTATTATACTAAATTGGCTGCATTTAATATTGCAGAAGAAAGGCGGCCACGTCAAAACCATTCCTCCATATAAGCCAGTTAGTGACAACCATAATTCCGATTCAAACTCTGAAAAAGAGGCGGAACCAGGAACTTCCACAAAGACCAGCCCATCGCAGGCTGCAGGCAAGCGAAAATCCGGATCTGGAGGAAAGACTAATACGACAAAAGTGTCTACTTCCAGTAAACCAACAGGTTCATCTCAACAGAAGACTGCCCATAGCAATAATAAAGGGTACGAACAGTGATTATATTCTACTATACCTACACGCTAGTTGTTAAATTAATTATGTATGGCATTTCTTCAGGTCTGGTGATAAAAGAGCATCAAGCTCAAAGACTGGCAAAGCTGAGGAAACGTTAACTTCAGCTTCTTCGGCTTCCGAGAAGTCAGATAAAAAAGACAATCGAAGTGACTCAGTTTCGGAATCTGACAAAGAATCAAAAGATAAAGACACGAAAAGTGTAAAAAGACGCAAAGGCAGTTCAAGGACGCCTACACCAGTGCAAAGTGAAGTTAGTGTTGTTGTTAGTGCAGGATTAGCTGCTGACGTTATTGTGCCGACCACAAGTGCCCAACTCTTAACACAAACGGACAAGAAAAACTGTGCGTCTACTATAGAAAATACTGCTGACAAACTGAAAAGGGTATTATTTTTTTATTGTAGTTTTTTGCCACAGTACGATTGAAGTAATCAAGCTAAAGTTTACGCAACTTTTACTAATAAAATGTGTGCTTTTCTTTCCAGTGAAATTTACAAAATGTTAAAATGTGTTTCCGTTAATTCATGCTTTAGATAAAATTAGACACAACTCAATTGATAATCTCCAATCAACCGGTCGTTGCTTTAACGTCCATATCAACAACCAAAATCAGTTCACCCTGTACAATAACCACGTCGGACTCAACAGCTCAGAGTGAAGCTGCACCAGCAGCTGTGCCTACACCGTCTATTATTCAAATCGCTCAGGTACCAACATAAGAAATATCTACTTGAACATAAGTAAAAAAATGCATTTTAGGCGCAAAGTCACCAGCCACACCAATCCCTAGTGGTATCAGTGCCCTTAGCTAACACAAGCTTAAGTCCACATCATCCTCTAGTGGCTAATCCCGCAAACCCCTTGACTGTTATGCCCTTTGCTGTTGCTGCAACGGAGAAAAATAGTGTTAATACACCAGAAAAAAATTCATCAGTAACTCCTATATTATCTGGTAAGTCCAGGTAGATTATGTCTTATTCAACCAGCTGAGTAGAGTGAAAGAAATGTACCCCTCATGCTCTAAAGACACGGTTTATTTTTTTTTAGTTTAGTACGTTTACCTTCACGCATTTCAGGTACTTTACTTACTGGATTCAAACGATTTAGGTAGATAAACAGGTAACACATAAATATTTGTGGAAAATGCTATAGTGATGAGCAAATCAAGACCAAAGCAGGTTTCGCGTCTCGCCCATCACTAGCTTTAAAGAACTTCACATAAGCAATAACTGCCAATTTACAAAAAGTTATAAGTGCGTGAAACTGAGACTTATGCGAATTACATTATATGAAAAAAATGCCGTGTACATCAACTTCACGAACAGAAACAAAAAAGTAATGTTTCAGGGGAATTTAACAATAACATAAGTTCACGCATTACAAAACCGCCATATACTAGCGTCTTAAATGGAAGAAACTTGAAAATACAAATTCGTGGCGACTGAAGTAAAGTCTTAATGTTGTTGTTAATTAGAAACACAGTGCTTCAGCTGTGGGATTGTGGCAAAGATAGCAATTACACTTTCTTCAAATTTCATTCACATTTCTAGGTTTCGGCAATGTTGTTTTACAAACCTTTATCATTGAAATAGATCGAAAAACTTGTTTGTTTCAAATATTGTAGGTATTTTAAAGAAACAGATTGACTTACCAATACCAAATGTTCTGTGTACGCACTTAGCTGATTTTGAGTAATTTGTACGCACACTAAAGAAATGAAAGAGTGAAACTGAGAACGGCCAGCAAAGAAACGTACCAGTCGGCGGTAAAATGTTTATCTCTGTGAAGTGCCGGCATTACACAAAGGGTTGCGGAGTCGGCGAAACATAAAAACTAAAAATAACAACGAATAACTACTAGTATTTATTGATTTTGTTTGCAGATAACGTAATAATGCCTTCAAACAATAGCTCCCAGGGACTGCTCAGTTCCGAAATGAGCGGCGGTGGTTTAAAAATCACTTTCGAAAAGCAGCCGGATTCGATTAATACTGAAGTCGATATGGAATTGGAACTCGATACACCATCGACAATTCAGGAAGTACCTACTGCTAAAAGAACCAGGTAAATTATAATTATTATTTGTATGCAATTTTATTATGGGGAATTGAAGGTATTGTTCAGATGATAAGAAATGCATAAAACCTCAGATATCTGAAGAAAAAAAGAATGCAGATTCTGCTCTAATCAATAGATCAACCGAGCGCTTATCCGTTACATAAGTTAATATAGTAGGTATATTTCAAGCGTAGTACAACTCGCTTTATTGAAGAAATTTGAATATAAAGAACATATGAAAATGAACGAAAAAGCTTTGAGTGCAAACCCAACTTCTCTGATGAATTAGTGAATTAATGAATGAAGTTTTGTTAGATTTTTATTGTTTGTTTTACGAACAATAATTTTTTTAAAATGCCACGAGGTTTTATTCACTTCGCCCAAGGTTCTTCGAAGGATTTCATCAAACTAAACCAACCACGATCGCGTTTATGAAAAATGCATCAACGATATTTCTTCGCGCATTTCGAATGCCGCGGAAACATTTGCGGACTTTTCCAGCTTTGGATCCTTTTCAAGATCGAAACAAAATCGATAAAAACAAATTCACAGCAAATTTCATTAAAATCTATCAAATCATTCTCTCGATATTGCAGAAAACTTAATTTTTTTGATTTGACCATCAATAGCGGAGGCGCCGGACCTTTCTACTTAATAAAAGTGGTCAGATTATATCGTCTGCTTTTAGGCCTAAGAATATCAGCCTTTTTGATAATGTGCTTATGGGACACTGGATATGGGAACGACCTCATGCTTTACGCTTTATTAAATACAGATAAAACAGAACATTAAACTACTACATTCAATATTTATTTATAAAAAATTTAAAATCCCACAGCAAATAAAGAAAAAATGTAGTTTTTATATCTGCAACATACCGTTGTTAAGAAGAGCGATAGTACCATTTTAACAAATTATATTCACATTTTAAGACGGTCGCTATGACCAGTTGTGATTGTAAGTTTCATTCAATGTGTACGTTCTGTTTTAGACTCAGTGAAATATTTGAAATAAATGTTTCACAGCATAGACTTAGCATTGTGCACTAAACATGCCCCTGTGAGATCTTCTGTATAATTAATCAAATATAGAGAATCGATTATAGATATTTATATTCGAATTAAACCATAATGTGGTTTTAATTAGGTTCAATTCCCAATAATAAATCCAACCAACTCATTTAGTAATGAAACTCGAATTTGTTTACACGTAAGCCCGATTATTGCAGATCTCAATCTCACGAAAAGACTGACCGAACTACCCGAGGCAAGAAACGCAATAGCACTGGAAATAGCACTAACAATCCTCAAAATCTGGCTACCAGTTCACTTCCAGCGACAATGCCAAAACGATCTATCCGATCACAGCAATCAGCTTCACCTCCTGTCATATTATCTCAACAGCAGCAACACCAGCCAGGGGCTTTTGCTGCAATATCACAGGTAAAGTTTGTGGCCTGGACACTTTCGGTCACTTTTAACTAATTATTGTTGCTTTTATAGGAGAAAATTAAAGATTCTCCTCCAAGTAGTCCAAGTTCCGAGAGTCAAGGACCGTCATCCAATACGCAAAACATAGGTAGAATGAAGGGTCGCAAAAGTGCTCCGGCCGCAGTCAATGTGATACAAACGCTCTCCAAGGAGGATAAAAAAGAAGTTAAAATGTGAGTTGCACCTTAGAACTCCTAAGCCAGTAATTTATGTATTTTTTAGGTTTCAGAATGGTGTGACTACGGCGCCTCATATGTTAGGCAATCAACTAAATCCCACCTCGAATATGCATCAAAAGATGACTGACCACCTAAGTAATGAGCTTGAAGCGCATAGCATTTACAATAACTCAAACGATGCGAGTCAAAACCTAATGGGGCCACAATTACATCATCGCATTGTTCAATCGGTAATCACATTATTTCTTTTCTATTGTTTGATTATATTATTTTATATATTTTTAAATTGTAGACGAGAGCAAGCAGCACAGGTTCGAGTACAGCTTCAGGGGGTAGTGGGTTATCTTCAATGCTGGGTGGCGGAGGTGGCGCAATACCACAAACCTTAGATCAACTTTTAGAGCGACAATGGGAACAGGGCTCACAGTTTCTTATGGAACAAGCTCAACATTTTGATAGTACGTATATTTTATGATTTAGTGTTGATTAGCGTGTGTTCGCAGTCAGTTCTTGGAAGATCGTCTAGTATTCTTCACAAAGGAACGCACTCCATTATTTACTATTTAGTAATGGTTTTGCTGAACAGATTTTGTTTTCCAACGACGCGTAATTATTGCAGACCCGATTGCTCTTTTATTAAGATCATAGACAATATCATATTTTTCTGTTAACACTTATTACATTGCAGTTGCGTCACTGCTATCTTGTTTGCATCAATTGAGGGCTGAGAATGTGCGTTTAGAGGATCATGTAAGTTCTTTGCTTCAGAGAAGAGATCATTTGTTGGCGGTTAATGCTCGGCTAGCTATTCCACTAACTGGACAGCCAGCCGCTGCTCCGCCACAATCATCGCATACAGGTAAGATCGTTTCTTGTGAATATAAATACAAAACGGAAGACGAATTGCGTGGACTCATGTTTTAAAACTTTATTAGGTATTTTCAGTCATTCACTTTTTTAATGTTGCGTTTTTTTGTTGATGATTTGCTAATTGAGAAATATGTGATCTCAAATTATTTGTTTTTATATATGATTGGTGTTCTTTATAATTAATTTAATTAATGGCATTAAAATTTGTCACAATTTGCAAGAAATTTCTTGTATTTTCAATTTGGTCATTAGGTTTTGTTTTTGAAATTTTGCTTCGAATTATATTTGCAGTTATAAGTTAATTTTTGAGCCGAGAAAAAAGATTTGGAAGACCCACATCGAAATAGGAAATACGGCACTTTAAAACATTTATTTTTTAAATAGCATGAGGTACAATTTTGGCACAAACGTAAACTATAGAATCATTATATAAACATTATATTACTACCTCTTGAGTCGCACTTTAAAGTAACAATGGCAATTTTCAGTGAACAACATTCATCCAAGTATTCCGGTTAGCCATAGTGATATTACGAGATCCAGACATAGTACAGGGTCTTACGATCGCTATCCGCAAAGTTCTCTACCTGTTCCTGTAGAAAATGGATTACTGCCAGATGCTTACGCTCCTAATTCGCACCGAGATTCTGTAGGAAGTGGACAGCCCAGTCCAAACGTAAGGTAAATCTTCATAAGATGAAACTAATTTAATAAAGTCAACTCAAGAGAAAACATTTGTTCTTAACATTAGTCCGGAGCAGTCATTATTCTAAGCAAACACGCACTTTGAGGCTTTATTGGGAGGAGATTGGACACGTCTGTTCACTAAAAGCAATTAATGTAAAAAGCCATCATTGTTATTAAAGTTAATAATTGTAAAACACTTATTATTTTGATAAAACCAAATTATTAATATTTTAATGTAAAATGTTAATAAAATTGTGTTTTAAATATTTTTTTTATTTTTTTTAAATCTCAAGTCTACAAATAAAACTTACTTAGAAAGTTGCCCAAATCCCACTGAAAGTGAAAATGCAGTAAACCAACGACCTTAGAACAATAAATTATTATTCGGCAACTAGAGGGATTTTTTGCAATAAACATCTAGACGCTTCCAGGTTCAAATAGGATCTACAGCCGAAAAATCACGGATAAGTTAGCGATTGCCGGTGGTTTAATAATTCGAGTTACTTTTATAGACACTCTCCAGCAGCGATCTACTCCAACAATGGTTTACTCAGGCAGTGCGCCGACATCGGGGGCAGATCGGCGCCCCCTCGGGCTCAGCCCTACCCCGTCTATGAGCGCCCCGGCTCCTCTCATTCCACTTCTTCGCAACAGGTGCGATATGGGCACAAGTTTAATTAATTTTCATTTGCTGGCACCGGGGAGCTTTTGGTGTTGTCATTTCACTTCTGCTACTTATTTATTTTATTACTGCTTTTCGGTTTGATTTTGCTCATTCGCGGTTGTCGTTTTCATCGAAACTATTTTTTTTATTTGCATGTTTGTGTATCCGTTCTACCCGATTGAACTGGGGGCATATCCGTTATTAAGCGATTAGTAACTGATTAAACAGAACTAATGCAGCATGGACTATACACATGCCTATTGTGCATGTACTAGATGGACTATCCACGATGCATTTTATACATATATTTTTTAGATTATTATTTTCATTGATTCTTCGCTGAGATACTTGAATAGGTGCATTGAATTAGGAGATAAGAGCGTTGATTGAAAAAACAGTGAAACTTTTTTGCATAATCAATCCAAAGTTTCTACCACTTTAAAACATACAATTAACTTTGATTCGTCAAGCATTTCAGGTTAAAAACACCAAATTACGATGGGATTTGTTACTCCAGTCTAATGTTTCATCACAAATACAGGCAATTAGTGTGTTTTTGCCGATCGAATTCGTCTATTTAACGTTCTAAACTTAGTAAATTGTTTTTCAGATGGTAATACGAAGAGAACGGGAAAGAGAGCAGGACATTTTTGGGCACAGTTCGCAGCCGAGCTGAAGTTTAATGTTTTTAATGGATTTTAGCTCTTTGTGTGACGGATCTAAGTTTTAAACAGCTCGAAATTATTCATCGACTGAATATTTTATCTAGTTATAATTTATCATTTTAGAATACTTTTAAAATGCCTCCTTTTGATTCGTTTTTATATTACATATTTACCTTCTTATTGCACGTCGATATATGTTTTAATGATTTAATTTTATTGCTATTTGTTCATACAATATCAAACATTAAAAAGATTTGCATTATATACGGTGTGCATCAAGCTGTGTTCAGTTCATTTTGATAGGAAAGTTTTTCTTAATCAAAATATCTGCGACAAAAATTTGTTTTCTAGGAAGTTTTATTTTTTAAATACGCTTTTATGGGGGTCAATGGTACACATCCATAGAAGCGTTTACAATAGTTAGAAGTTTAAGAACCTAATTTGGTTGGGGAAACACTTCGCAGTTTCAAAGCAACTAAATCTTACAATTAAATGGAATTTTAGTGGCCAAAACCATTTTCTTCAAGTCTAAGTAAGAGTTACTTGTTCTGATTAGTTAAAAACAGCCGTTTGAAATCGACTAAAATTGTTGATAAATTTACAGTCATATCAGTTGCAAAACCCGTGTTCGAATCGTGTAGGAATGTAGAACTTAAGGGCAATAGTGTTTGAACAAGAAAAAATGTTTTTACTTGTGCGAATCAGTCACTGTAGAGTAGTTCTGAGCTCAGGGAAAGACTTAAATAATAGGAACTTTAAATTAAAGTGTTACATTAAGGTAATACCAGCAAGTTGGCCATATTAAAATAGTCTAGCGTTTGGTATTATTTGGTAATCAATATTAGCATTTTCATAGAATACGTTCAGTACTAGTAATAGAAGCATATTTCTAGTTCATAAACTTTTCCTAGGTAAAGAAGATCCTAAAATCTGTAAAAATGTAGCAGCAAATAAAATAAGTAAGTTGATCAGCAGAGACATGCTAATAATGAATACCTAATAATTCAGTCAACTTCTTATATATGATGGTAGTCAATAATGTAATCTTAAGTATGAAATCGATTTATTCAGATGCTATAATTTTTTAACGCCGCAAAAGGAAATCCCTATTTTCGCAAACGATTCGAAAGAAAATATATGATTTGGTTGCACTTAAAGGGATTTCAAGTGGAATGTATCATTTATCTACACCTTAAAATAACAACTAGCGCAACAATTATCTTTTTTTAAATTGAAAGTTAACAATATTAATCCTCTGCACCGAGTCTCAATAGTGCTTTGTTGGCATGTGGTTATTATTATGGGAAATACCATTTGAAATCACTTGTAAGTCAAATCGTAGTCGAAGTAGCTGAATAGAACTGTATATTTTGTACAATTTTAAGTTTGTTTTGTTGTATGTTTTGTAATATACAGTTGGTAGGAAAGTCAATGGTTTTAATTTCCTTTGTTCAAATGTACTATGTGTTGGTTAGTTGTTTGTTACTATTTATTTGACAGGTTTTTTTAATAACTGACTGGGTTTTGTGCACGAGAGAAACAGCACAGGGGTTTTAAATGAAACACACAAAATCAGAAAAAAATACTTGCAACAGAGTTAATAGAAAAAAAAACACAATTCTAGTTCCAAGTGTACAAACTCTTGAAAGCTAGTTTCAAAGAACAAATTCTCTTTCACGAAGGCCTAAAAGCCTGAAAAACTCACCAGTTTCAATTTTCATGGTTGCCTCTTCAAAAGTGGCTTAATCGGCACCTCTGAAGATGTCAGATGCTCGTGCTTGCGAAAAGTTGGCAGTGGCCACGAAAGCTTAACTGGAACTTAACGTTGTTTAAAATACTGAATTTTATGGTAGATTCAAAAAAACTGATTGCTATGCGAAAATATCAAACCCATGCCAAAACTCTCTCAAGGTGGACCAGCAAATGTTTCGGTCGATTCCAAGTTCCAAGCTATTTTCATTTTGAATGTTTAGTTATCAAGCAGCCCTCAAGCGCTTATTGTTGTTAACTCTCTTTCGAAATGGACGGTTTTTAGTGACAAAGATTATGCGGAAATTTTCCTGTTCGATCAAAATTCAAAGAGTTCATTTCTCGTTAGCCTTGAATCAAGTCTAATTATACTCATTATAAAACTGAAAATTTACTCCTTTGCACATATCAATATAAATATATTAAATCCGCGTCACTTGCGATTGTCGGTTTGTAAATATCGCGCTGCTTTTCAACATTTTTATTGTTTTTTACTTGTTAGTTGCCTCTGATAAGCAAATTCGGTGTTCGGATTATCTTCCGTATCAAATTGTTTCTGAATATCAGTATTGCAAAGAACGATAACGATTAGTTCAAGTGAATGGATTGCGCGTTTTAACTTATTAGCGTAAATGTACTATATGTGAATACCAGACCAGTGCGAAATGGGGTTTTGCAATTTTTTTAAAGTCAACGTATTTGAAAAATTCACTTACAGTGTTGTCACGGGCACCGAAACTTTTTTTTATAAGTAAGTATGGAATGTATTTGTATCCTCCATATACTCACGGGGTTATTTATTTTTAGTATTAACTTGCACTATCAAAAACCAATTTCAAAGCGCGCTTATGCCTGCCAAGTTTTATTCAAAATGTTCATAAATTCTTATCAGCTTGGCTTTTCCTCAGAAAGATACTTTAATTTAAAATTTAATCGAATAAAAGATGTTTTCTATTTACAAAAGATGGGAAGTTTTGAATTAGCAGTCGGTGGGATTTCTACCTGACTTTTTACCTGCTCAAGCAATGAATTAACTTTGGGGGCTTTCAAAATTTTTGCCTTACTTGCATTTATTCTAATAATAATAATACACTAATATATAATAGTTATGTTTCAAACACAACAATCTTCATCATAAATGGGATCAATGTTACTAATTTTCTAAACATTTATAATTTATTGTGAGTTCTACATGCGAAAAAGACACAACATCTTCAATCAGCTCTCGTATATCGGTCCGACAAGGCAAAGACATGTTGATTTTACCTATTGCTCTCACTTCTGGGTATAGTACGAAGATAGCCGAACTTACTCGACCCCCGTCGAATTGACCAGCTGTATTACGAGGGCGCGTTAATTTCTTACTTGGATTATTCACGTTCTGCAGATTTTTCTCACTTTTTAACGAAAAATGTTGCTAAGAACAAGTCAATATCAGATTTTATAGAAAGTGATTTTTTGCTAATTCGACATCTGTATTTGTATCAGAATACATTAAAAACCCATTTACACCTTGTACTAAGTCTTAAAAGCGCTAATTGAAAATTAATTACAATGTCCGATGTACATTAGGATATTTACAGGAAAAAATTACCATTAAACATACAGAATTGCTGGTGAACTGCATTTGCTAGTTAGATTGTAGTTTAATGGTACAGCAATTCAACGTTAAAACGAGAATTTGCTGTTTCCACAACCATGTTTTTAGCTAATTAAACAGAGGCATTCAGTCATTTTGGACTATGGAGTCAAATTAATCGAAAATTTAACAATAGTATTTATCATGCAACGAATAGAATACAGTTGAGTTCTTCACATCATAAAACTACCAGAATTTTAGAAAAATTGTGAAAAAAATAAACAGAAACAATTTTCAAATTTCAACATTTCGTGAAAAATTTTACAAAAAAACGTAAATGTATACCGAGTTTACAGAAACAAAACCCCCACGTCTGAGTCAACGTAAAATAATAATTTTTGATTGCCATTAATACAAAGTTCACTCACTACCAGATAATGCCGCTCGAATCTAAATAACGCCAAGATAATACTCGATTGATTGTATGCAAGTAAATAACAGTTAAAAACGCTCAATAAGAACTAAAATATTTATTATATTTTAAACAATCACAGTGAAAGTTATCTAGATCCAGAAGCTAGATGAACATAAATTAAACTCGGTATTTTATTTAAAAACTTGAATTTTGTACATTTTGGAAGGTTTGGCTTTCAATTTTGTTAACAGTTGTTCGTAACTGTTGAACAGTTTTTGATTCAATTTCAAATTAACAAGCTTCCTACATTTTTTCAGTTCTTTTATCTGTGCAAAACTTTTTATATCCATTCATCACCTCAATACGCTTATTATTTGACTATTTTCCCAGATTAGGAATATCTATCGCCCTACACCCAATCCGAACCATCGCATTATGCTGGATCGTGGTACTTCTCAGCGGATTTGGATTTTTCCGATTTCGACAAGAAAAGAACCCGTTAAAACTGTGGGTACCGCCAGATACCACTTTCATTCGCGATTCTGAGTGGTTGATGAATACGTTTCAGCGAGGATTTTCGGACGAAGCAATCACTATTGTTGCAGAAGACGTTTTAACTCCAGAAGTAATCGTTAAGGTAATTTTCCCAAAACTGCCTACTCACTCCATTCCAAAGGTGAATTACCTGTTTCATTAAGTATTGGGAATGTTGACGAATTTTTCTCATGAAAACCAGTTAAAATAATAGCAGTAATTAAAAATCCATTGTAGATACGCAATTAAAGCTAATTATCAATTAGAACATGCTGAGTATTTCCCATGCATCTGAAAATAGTCAATTATCAATTATTCTAAATTAGTAGTTAGCGACTGTTGTTATCATTAGGAAGATAAAAATAGTCAATTATGGGATGGAGTAGAAACATGTTTTTTTTTGTGAAAATAGATTTTTGATTGATTTTACGCAGTTTTTATAGCGTATGCTCAACTGAAAGTTTCAAAGTGAAATATCTCCAACACCCGACAACAAAATCGTTTTTTATGTAAAAAACATCAGATAATAGACCGTGACTAAAAGAAATTCAGTATTGCAACGCACAAAAAAGCTCAATTGTTTCAAACATCTTCAGAGTACTACCGCTAACATCCTGTAGGAGTTACAATCAAACTATTAGAAAATTTGAATTTATGGATAAGAAAAACCAACGACCACAAAACTTTGTGCTAATAATGAAATAGTAACAGCTTACTTTTCGTCGAGCTCAAGTCATCGAGCTTTGAATTTTGAAACGGAGCCAAAGTCACCCAAAATTACGCTAATTAAATGCATCGAATTAGGTATTATTATATCATAATTTGTTCCAGCTCGGTAAAATCCACACTCAAATGATGGGTGCTAAAACCATCAACAATATTACCATGAAAGATGTGTGCTTCAGGTGAACTAAATGAAAACTTGAATAACAATTTAAAAATTTCCTTTTTATTCTAGAATACCTAAAGTCAATAAGAAACTATTAAAACTCATGATTAGCGAAACTGAAGACGATTTAGATCCAAGTATGACAATGCCAGCAGCTTTGTATTGTAGTTTTATAGAGACCATGAAGACTGAGTGCTACACCAAAAGTATTTTAGAACTGTGGGATTTCAATATGACCCAGATCGCTTTGCTTACCAAAGATGATATCGTTTATTCGGTTAATACTTACAACAAAGAGTAAGCGAATTGGGCTGCTCGAAATTGGTTCATTCCAGCACTAATTGATGATTTTCTAGCTTAATATTTGGGAAGCTTAAAAGCTATGATCACCTACTGGGTGGAATTGTGAGAAACGAGACTGGACATATCATTAGCGCTAAAGCAATAGATAATTATTGGTTACTTCTAGTCAATTTTTCTTCTGTCGACATGAACAAGGCCGGAAACATGGCCGGAACAGGAGAATGGGTAAATAGTCGTTTAGGTACTAATGATAAAATAGTACTCGCATATAAAAAGAAGGGCTCTTAGGACGTAATTTACAGACGCAAGGTGATTGCGTTCCGAAGTATATGGAAAACTTTTTCCATATAAATTTTTCGAAAAAATAATTCTTTATAATAAGTTCTAAAATCTAAATTGTTTTTCAATCTTGTACAGTTCGTCAGAAAACCCTGTGTATCGGAAATTACGCAATTTTTAATCCAAGTTTTTAATTTAAAAGTTTGTTTCTCATCAGGACTTCTCATCAAGAATGACAGAATTAAAATACTTATGTGTAAATTAAAAACGTGTGAACTTATTGAAGAATCGCTATTGTCCAAAATTAAGATGAAAATGACGAAAAATGGCATTTGAGTTTGTTTTGAATATATTAATATCAAATTTTCATACTTTCTTTATCGTCTACAACAAAAGTTCCCCAAATTGTAATAATTTTGCATCAAAAGTTCTTCAATTATTTGCAGGCTTCCGAAGAAGCACTTGATTGGGAACTGACGTTCCTGAATATCTCAGAAACGTTGGCTAAAGACGAAAAGGAGTTGTATTATTTTTCTGGTAGAAGGTGCGATTTCAAGTCAATAAATCGATTCTGCCTCTTAAACGCTTGTTTCTAGTTTTGGAGATATCAGTAACAACTCAATGTTCCAAGACATCGATAAACTAAGCATTGGAATAGTGATAATGGTGATATACGTGCAATTCGTGATATCTAAATTTAATTGGCTGGAAGCCCGGGTATGTATCGAGTAATGGGGGATCTTGATGGAGGATTCAGCCAAAAAGTGTGCATAAAAGAAACGAAAGATTTGCATATGATAATCAGAGAAATGATTTAACAAAATTGAAGATTCAAGTCGCTAGTTTGCGCATTTCAGTGTGGTTGAATTTTATGTTTGAAAATTTTGTCTTTGACACTAATTTTTTCCAAATTTTATCGAAGTTTACTGAAATTGTTTCAATTTTCTCTTTTAAAGTGAAAAGATTAAAATGGACACTTGATTTTAAAACAATGATGAATCTTTCAAGATCCCCTGATTCAAACTAGAAACCATAAGAACAGGAAAAACAATATAAAATAGATTGTTTTAGGGAGTGTGGGCATGCTGGCCATTGTCATGGGCTTTATAGTCGGAGCGGGACTTTGCTCCTTACTGGGGATATTTTATGGACCTGTTCATCTGTCCTTACCTTTTCTTTTGATGGGTTTAGGTAAGCAAAAATCTGGAAGATTTCAATTTAGAGTTAAATATAGCGTTAATTTTCTTGCACAGCAAGAAACAGTGGTGATAATTTTTTCAATCAAAAACTGTGCCTTTCAGGCACAAAACGCAACGAGCTTATTTGATCCCAACGGAATCTAAAACTACAAAAATCAATTTTGTTTGCAGAAAAACCATTGGCGTACACCATTTTTCTATCTAGGAATTTTCTCGGATAATCCAACAAATAAAATTTTTTTATTCAAAAACTGTGCCTTAAAAAACCCTACAGAACCTTTTTATTTCTAACTGAGTGTAGATTTTTTGGGATTGAATTGAATTATTTTTCTTTTACTTTATACTCCACTGCAAAATCAAACAAATTGAAAACACATTTTTAAAACCCGTAGTGAAAATCTGAACGAAAAAAATGAAAAATTGGACGTACGTGAACAAACTCGTAAACATTCAACCAAAAATTAAGAGCCTTCATTTATAAAACACAAAGACATTGAAAGTATTAATCAGCAGCTACTGTTGTTAAATTTGCACGTCGAAAAACATTTTTGCAAGTAACTATTTACTGATATTATTTTTTTTCCAATATTAGAGCTATAGATTAAAAGTACCTTTTTTGTGTGGACAGCAGGAAAAAAATTAAAACTTACATTCCCTCCAGTGGCGTAGAAATTAGGAACAAAAGAATCCCAAAACAACTCCAAAATGTACCACACTACATACATAGAAGAAAATCCTTCTTTCTAATAATCTTCTATGGATGCTGTGAACTGTAGATTAATTAGTTTCAATAATTATTTTCGTCTTTCTGTTATTCCAGGCGTGGATGATATGTTAGTTATAATGACATGCTGGGATGAATTATCTGTAACCGACCAGAAACGTCCTCTTCCCGAAAGAATAGGACTCGTTTTAAAACATGCAGGAGTATCCATAACAATTACATCGTTTACTGATGTTATTGCTTTTATTATCGGAGCCTCAACGGTAAGTTTAAAGAAAAGTTAAAAAAAAAACAGTTTGTACGTTCATCGCATTTATTTTGGCTCTAAAAGCTAAACCAAAAATAAAACTCGATGATCTAAAATCATCAATAAATTTACAAAATATAAACTTGTTTTTCGTTTTTGATTTGCAGATCTTGCCCTGTTTGGAATCATTTTGTATTTATGCCGCATGCGGAGTGTTCATGACATTCGTTTTTGTGATCACATTTTTTATGGCGTGCTTTGTGCTGGATCAGAAGCGCCTTGAATCGAACCGAAACGGGATTATACCGTGCATTGAGCATCCGACGTATAAGCCGAACAAGTGCAGCCAGAGCCGACTTACCAGCAGAATATTCGAATATGTTTATGGAAATATAATTCTAACAACGCCTGGAAAGGTGCGACATTTCGATTCCTTTCCTCATTTCACTTTATCAATTCTCATGGCCTATAAGTCACAAATCGATGAACTCGTATGTTTCAGGTGATAGTAATACTCACTACTATAGTTTTTGCCGGAGTGAGTATAGAAAGTGCGTTGAAGTTGGAGCAGAGATTTGATCCAAAATGGTTCCTACCGGAAGGCACTCATCTGGCCGAGTATATCAAAGCAAGGGACACTCATTTTCCGCATGTGGGCTGGGATGCCGCTTTTTATATGGGGGCACTCAATTACAGCCATGAATTGAAGAAAATCAAAGCGGCAGTCGATCAGTTGGAAAATATGACTGATATTACCAGCAACATCATGTCCTGGGTGGATCCATTTAGGACATTTGTCTTGAATAATTTTAAACACGGTAAAACGCAGTTGCTGCTATTAGATAGGCAAATTGTTCAATGCAATTATTCCAGACGTATATGAAGAAGATCTGGATGAGGACCGATTTGATATAATGATGTCAAAATTCCTGCATAGTCCTCGCTATGCAAAGTACCAAGGCAACTTCGTGTTTGAAAGAGACTTGGAATGCGGAGCAGGAATCCCGAAAATTAAGGTAGAGTTTAAAGTCTCCGCGTACACTCATATCTCGATTTATACGACTTTTTCAGATGAGACAAAAGCTCAACTAAATAACTTAATAATTATGCAGTTCAGATTTCTTTAAAAACGCGTACACCTTAGCGGAAAATCAAATTTTCTAGTAAATTGAACGAATAGTCAACAACTTATCACTAAAAATTCTTAAGGCAGTTGATTGAAAAAAAAAACATATGTAAATAACCGTATTTGCAAACTCCATCAACCTCTTGGACGTTAAACTTTTTCAATGCATGAAAATCAAGTGCACGATTTTGGTGATTTTCAGAACTTAAAAGAAATAAAAATCGAAATTTACACGATAGGAGTAGAGGTCATACAAAGTAGACGAATATGCTCAATTAACCTGAGCATTATAATCGTGTAAAATGAGATAAAGAATTGAAGAATCAAAAATTTGGTTCATTCAATTTCAATTTAATTTATTTGTCGAAAAATTGGAAGCGTAAACATTAATTAACAATATTCTTTCAAATAAAAACAATGTACAATATTATATAATAATAACTTATTTAAAAATAAAATATAAATAACATGCCTACAGATGTCCAGCATCGATTTCAACATAAAAAAATTTCCGGATCCAAGACAGCAAATAGTACCGATGCATAGGGTGCAAAACGTTGCAGAAAATGCCAATTTTACCACTGGGGATAAATTTGCCACCGTCTGGTCAAAGTTCTTTGCCATGTGGATTACTGATGAGGTACTTAAGGAATCGACTGTCCCATTCCATCTCTAATCAAGCATCATTTAACCAATTTCCAGCTAATCGACGTAGAAGTTATGAGGAATCTTGAGCTGGCCTTAATCTGTGTGATGGCCTGTACCATACTGCTGATTGCTAATTGGCAGATTTGCTTCTGGATTTTCATCTGCGTCTTAGTAACGATGTTGAATGTGTGCGGATTTATGCAACGATGGGGCCTAACAATTGACCTGGTATGTCCCAGAAGTAATATCCTAAGTTCATTTAAAATTCAACGGACTGTTTTTTTGGAAATGCTCAACGTTCAACTTTTGTTGCCATCATCAACTTACAATATTTGCAGGTTTCTTGTATAGGTTTGGAATTAGCCATTGGCTTATGCGTTGACTACGCAACCCATATAGGGCATACTTTTCTAACAATCCACGAAGGGAGTAAAAGAGATAGGGCATTAAGAACAGTCAGTTCTATTGGTTCAGCGGTTTTATTCGGCGGTCTTTCGACGTTTATTGGCATGTTTATGATGAGCCAGTCAACTGCTTATACATTTCAATCATTTTTTAAGGTAAGTTTCTTCAGTTTTTCTAGTTAACTTCGAATTATCACTTTTTTACTTGTTTGTTGCAGATATTTTCTTTGGTCATTATTTTCGGTTTATTCCATGGCATCGTCTTGTTTCCGGTGATTTTAAGCTGGATTGGACCAAAACCGTATCAAGCAACACCTAAACCCATTCCGCAACATGATATTGAGATGGAAAATGGAGCGCAATTGACTTGTTTGGACTAACGGAGCTGGAAAGGATTCTGAATCATGGTTGTTATATTTGTACTATAATAAATATTTATTGTTTACCAGTATTTTTTAATAATCGTTCATCGGGCACAAGTTTCTCACAAGTGATTAATCGCGATGAATAGTTAAAATCAACCAGTCAAAACATTTAGAGAGAGAAATTAGGGAAAAAGCATGATAGCAACTGATACGCCCGAAAAAATGAGAAACATACAAGAGACGAAAACCGCAGAAAGTTAAATAACAAATTCACGAATGTGACGATGAAGAATAAAAGGAAACTGAATGGCACTCGTCGCTCTGGAGATTGTGTTTTAGAAGAATTTCGGCAAACATTAAAGGAAAAACCATGCCAATATTATAAAACTGAAAAAAATGTTTTCCCATATTTCATTCGTACTCACCTTTACGGCCTAAGCTTATCTGCTGTCCACATGGGAGACTCCCATATCGTCTTTAATGAAGTTCATGGTAGGGGCAAAGACTTTACTCTTCTAACCAGCACAAGTAGTCTGTGCTCCAAATACAAAAATAGTGAGTAGTCTGTGTCATAGATATAAAGACATATATAATAAGTCTTATAAAGACAAGCATAGATCATAGATAAAGACAAGTGTGTCTGTGCGTGTCCAAATACAATAAAAACTGAGGTTAGAAACCATATAGTACACACAATAACAACAACAACATCACGGGGGGATATTTTGTGGTTAGAAACATTCGAAGCTTTATGTTTACAATTTTTCTCTCAAAGGGAATGGAATAACGAGGACCGATTTTTACAATTATTATCAATATATGTTGATTCAAGAAGAACTTGTCGGCATTCTGTAGGACGTTTGTTCGTGAGTATGCAGTTTCATATTTGACTTATTTAGTTCAAAATAATGATAGTTTTAACTTTACTAACGATTGTGCTGTTGTTTATTTCAATGGGTCGATTTTCGACGATTTCGGCTAAATTGTAAGAATAAAATTAAATTCTGTGCAAACCACCAGTCAAACGAATCATTCGGATTTACTTAACGTTCGTTAAACATCGTTTTAATCAGAACTCGTGTGGAACTCATGAAACAAGCGATAAATGGGTATTATTATTATAACAAAAAGTATCGAGAATTCATCGAAGAATTTGGCATAGATAGACAAGATATTCAATTGAAACCAAAGCATTACAAAAATTATTTTAAAAAAAACGCAAAGGAGGATAAGAATTTTGAATTTGAAAGTTTAAAATTTATAGCCAAAAGCGCTCAAAATCACGTCCCGAAAAAGTAAAAACAGCTTGGTTTTCCAGAAACAATTTCCTAAAATATGTCGAAAAATGGAGTCACAGCTGAGGAAAAGAAATCTCGAATGATTGAACTATTTTATGAAACCGGAGAATGCTATCAACTTAAAGTAAGTCTTTAAATTCGATGTTAAAAGTGCGTGTTCCTAAGAAACTTGATGCAGGAATTGGAAAAGTTGGCACCTAAAGCAAAGGGAATTGTTGCTAACTCAGTGAAGGATATTATCCAAAAATTGGTGGATGATGGTTTAATAGATTCAGATAAAATCGGAACTTCCATCTACTACTGGTCATTTCCAAGGTGAATAGTTTAGTAGGAGCGTTTCAAATCTATGAATTTATTAATTTCAGCAAGGGAATTAATCTGCGTAAAAGAAAACTTAGTGAAATAACGAAAAAATATGAAGACGTCAGTAAAAAGCAAAAGCTAATGAACGACACTTTGCAGGACTCGGATGTAAGACTGACTACAATCAAATGCAAAAACCTTCACGAAAATCAATTACTTTTATAGATAAACCAAGATGAAGACAAACTGAGTAAAATATTAGGCGAAATCACGGATATCGAGTTGGATTTAGCGACACTTAAGAGACAACTAGTCGAATTCCAAGATAATGATCCTGAAAAGTTTGACGCCTTAAAAACAAAAACTGTGGTAATGTTAAACATCTTTTTAACAATCGGAAACACACGTTCAAAGCTTCCATTGCTTTAGGGCTTGAAAGATGCGGCTAACCGATGGACCGACAATATTTTTGCAGTCAAGACTTGGTGCAAAAACAAATTTCTCATTGAAGGTAAAGTCCTGAATAAACAGTTTGGTATTCCAGAGGATTTGGATTACATTGAATAAGTTCAACATTGCATTGCAGCCTCTTAATTTAGATTCAACAGAATAGATTATTTTTTGTAAAAGTTTGGCTGTGACCAAAGCGTCCATATGGAAATATTTTTCAAACTATTGTTTTTGTGTAACTTGTTGTACCCATTCAAAAAGTTTGAATATAGTTTAGTTACCTTGAAAAATCGAGTTGAAGCCCTATTCACTTAGCTGGCAGGAAAATGAATCAGTGCTCGGGGAGTTCGAAAATAGTCCGACAGGGGTTATCCAATCCACAGATCACAGAGTACCTCTGTATATCCCCTATCCCCTGTGATAAGCCCTGTTCTATGGATCCAATCAGCGGATAACCTAAACGTTTGATGCTGCCTCGAAAATCTGTTTATTGCTTTTTTTTTATAAAACATTGGTTTAATATGCCGCTTCCTCCAGCGCTAGCGGCTAAATTAGCCAAAAGAGGCCTGATAACGTGTAAGTAATTTGGCCAGCCTAAAATTAAACACTTTCCAAGTTGTGATTAATTTTTAGCTAAGCAAAGGACAGTCGATCCCCTAAAGAAGCCCGATTTCAAAGGCCTATCGACTTGTCCCAACAAAAATAATATATTCCATGAGTGCAACCACTGGTGTGAGACTCATTGGAAAGGAGTGCCCAATCCTGATGCCAAATATCTTCGAAACATGCAAAAGCTACTATCCAAATATCCTTTACCAAATAATTGGACGGAGATATTCGATAAAGGACTGTAAGTATTCGGCATATCTATTATTCCTCTAGTAATGATTTACTCTACATTTGATACTGGCTAATGGTCAGAAATAAGATTGAAGAGGTGGAAACACACAGGTTGAAGAAAACAAATGTATTTTAGGGGAAGATATTATTACTGGAACATGGAAAACGACATTGTCACATGGCTACCTCCCAAGCATCCTAAAGCAATATTAACGAAAAGTGCTGCCAAATTAAGAGAATGGCGTCTACAAGATAAAAAGCAGAAGGAAATGGATGAGATGCTTAGAAAAGAAAGAGCCGAGAGAGACAACATGGGCAGAGATCGTGACAAAGACTCTGATGATGAGGACAGAAGTTACAAATCAAAATATTCGGACAGGAGAGATAAAGAACGAGACAGGTGAGGTTCGAACTGAAAGCAATCTAACAAGAATCGACTTAGAATCAATTGTGTTTTTTTGAAAATATCTTCAGATACATATTTATAGGTCATTTATTTAAATAAAATATTGCTTTCAGCGCCTTGAAAAATCCATCAAATAATTTATTAGAGATCAGAGATAATCGCTTGTTTGTACCGTCATAGAAAAATAGAAATTTCTTAAAGAACGTCTTGGTTAAACTGAATAACTAAAGTAAAGAAAGTAAGAAGGAAAACAAAATCTGGTTCTCATAGATGTAATTTATTTATTTAGGGATGACCGAAGAGGCAAAAGAGAACGCGAAGATCGCTATAGAAGAGATCGTGACAAAAGGAAAAGAGATGACCAACTTGATCCTATGGATCCAGCAGCTTACTCCGATATTCCCCAAGGAACGTGGAGTGATGGATTGGAATCGAATAAAACCAGAGCAGACAGCACTGCTTCCGGTGTGCTTTTCCAACAGAGACCTTATCCTGCTCCAGGCGCGGTTTTGGCTTCAAACAGAGAAAAGGAAGAAAAAGAGCGAAGAAAGTAAAAGCGTACTATTCTAGGTACATGCGTGTATTTTTAAATAAAAAACTTTACTCTTACCTAAGCTTTACATTGCTAATTAGAATGTAAAGATTTCTTTCCGTGGAATTGGAACGCTATTAGTTTGACCGTCGTTTTTTTATTCTCGAGATGTAAAAAAAATTCAGTAAAATGCACACATTTATTTATAGAAAATACAGTACTTAGATATATTTACAGGCTTATTATTACCAAATTAAGAATGCTTAATGCCCTAATAAAATAAATAACTTAGTAAGAGTTGATATAAGAAAGTATTGTATATACTTTCCTGACTGTTTCAATTCCAAATCAAATCTATTCCTGTCATTTATTGTCTCTATTTATTAATCCAAATACGTTTCGGTGTATTTTTCCACCATCATCAGTTTTTATGTGTAGCGTTGGTGCTGCATCAGGCCTTGGCATGCATATTGAAATTTTGAAATGCATGCCAAGGCTTAAAGCAGCAACAACGCTACACATAAAAACTGATGATGGTGGAAAAATACACCGAAACGTATTTTGAATAATAAATAGAGACAATAAATGACTGAAACCCAGGAATAGATTTGATAAGAAAGTATGTTTTCATGTGCCAATGCAATAAACATAGTTCTTGAATCAAACATTTGCTATAAAAAGGAAATTCATTAAGGATCAGAAAAAGCATTGTCAGGAGGTAAAGATTCAAAACCGTACATTTTCCTAAAAATCAGAATAATTCGGTGTAGACACTACAACTATCTTACATAACCAATGGCGCTTGAAGTTATGTCCTTAACAACTTTATTCCGATCAATATTTACATTATTTATACGAAAAAAGTAAAATTTGATTACAAACCGACCCAATGGAAAACAGTAAACATTTACGCGGTTCTCTTAATGGATGTGATGCTCACTGTGATATTAATGAAGCCAAGTAATGGAAGGTACATAAATGTTAAAATAGCAAAAAAGTTGGGACCTTTCTCTGAGCTCGATTATATCTACTACAATGATGCATGATCGATCGCTCTCATCACAACATTTATAGAGGTTCGCATAAAATACCTGATTATGTGAGTAACACATAGCTATTGTATGCGACGATAAGAAGTCCCATAGAACTAATTCTAAGTTAGCAATCAATTAAATGTTTGGAAGGTAAAGTTTTCTGCTGAGGTATACGTCGTTGCAGTTTGTACTGTAGAAAACGAGATTGTTTCGCCTTCATGGAAGGCATTAGAGGCACTGACAACTTCGTGTTTATCCATATCATCCTCCACTTGGTTCATATTATAACTACCTATTTCTGTCTTTAATTTGATCTCTTCACCGTTTTCACCTTGAATTACCGTAGGAAGTGTAACTAAACCCAACTGTCCACCGGGTAACTCGACAATCTTATTACTGTCAATTATCAGTGGCTGCCCATCAGCCTGCAGTTTTATATTTCCCATAATACCCATCAAAATTCTTTGCGGTTGCTGCAGTTGCGCTAACTGGGGCTGTTGCTCTAGTCTTTGAAGTTGTTGATGCACCTGGGGTTGCTGCTGATTTTCACTGGGCTCAGCTTGCGGTTCTTCCAATTTTACCATTCGATTTTTGCCAAATGTTTTGAATTTTATTGGCATTGGTTCTACTGATGATGTTACTGGTTCCACTCTGTAAAATCACATTTTCAGTCATTTTACCTTTGAATACAATAGTTCTTAGAAAAAATCTTATAGTCTACGTAGTTTTTATCGTTTGAATCGAACGATCGAAGTTGAGGGAATATTAGTTGCCGAAAGCATTAAATGTTTCAACTTCCGCAAACACCACTATTTTTAAAACTGACAACAAATTTTCAACAGACAGTTTCCGAGTTTTCATCGCACGCACGAAGGAGAAATTCCTTACAGTGCCCAAACGTTCCAACGACACCTTAAGGATTCTTAATGATAATTTTCCACTCTGAACATGAAAATTTGTACACTGAGAACTTGAAATAACTTTCCCAGATAAATACAATTATTTTAATGTACCAATCAAGAATCCAGATACATTTTTGGCCAAAACTTTGGAGAAATGCTGGACACAGGCCTGTGATAAGCTCTGATCCTCGCGAAAACTTTCAATCAGTTAAGCGCTTAAAACATAATCAATTACAGGTCCAAAGTAGGAGTGTTGTTTCAAGATGAATGGATCCTAAAGTAGTTCAAAGTTTTGATATAAACCAAGAAGTATACGACATATATTATCAAGCATTTGTCTCATTGACGCACTTCACTTAGTTTAATTTTTTTGACTAATTCATACCTGTGTCCTCCTTTCAAATCTGGTTGTGTTTCCATCCAATGGCCACTTTGTCTTCGATGATTCTTCAGTTGGCCTGATTGAATAAATCGCGCCGGACACACTCCACATGCATATGGCCGAGCACCAGTGTGTCGTCTCATATGCAAAGCCAGATCGTTTGATTGGGTAAAAGCACGTGAACAAATATTACAAACGTATGGCCTCTCGCCTGTATGCACTCGACTATGCCTCAGCTAAAGAAGTACAGAACACCGTGGCAACGCGTTTGGGTTGCAAGTTGTACAACTTACCAATTTGTTGCTTTTGTTGAACGATTTTCCGCAAAGAGTACACAAATAGGGCTTCTCTCCAGAGTGCGTTCGTTCGTGGCATTTCAAATCATGAGATCGCGGGAATCCTTTTCCGCATTCGTTGCATTTATATGGGCGTTCCCCAGTGTGCCGTCGCATATGTACTATCTGTAAAACAATGCATTGCAAATAAAGACGTGGAAAAATTGAAAGTTTATAACTTACCATGTTACTGGAGTTATTGAACTCTTTGCCGCAATAGACACATAAATGCAGCTTGGAATTATCCTTCAATCCTGTATGTGTTCTTTGATGCGTCTTTAGATTATCTAGTCGATTAAATGCTTTTCCACAGTCAATACACACATGTCGCTTATCCTGCATCAAATGTGTTTTTGTGTGCCTGGCTAAATGATCAGATCTGAAATATTATTGTGCATCAGTCAATAAATTCGATGATATCTTGAAATTTTACCTCGAAAATACAGATTCGCAAATCGAACATTTATGCTGGCCCTCGTTTGTGACCTCCTGATGCAGCTTTAAATGCCTTATTAAGTGCTCACCTCTACTGAACGGTTTATTGCAAGTAGTGCAAACGTAGGGTTTATTAATGTGCTGTTGTTCAATGTGCTGTTTCAGAAGATCCTCAGTATAGAATGCCTAAAAACCCAGACAGTGAAACGGAATTCTATTACCGAGAGAAAACTCAACCTACCTGCTCACATCGGTCGCATTTGTGAGTCAAGACAGCTCTATGTAAAGTCATATGCCTAGATAGATGATTCACTCGAGCAAATCCTGCATTGCAAACATGGCAAGTGTGAACTTTCATTTTACGTTTCAAATTTAACTCATCGTCGCCGCCTAATTCCATATCTTCGTTTTCGATTTTCTCCATTATATCATCCAGCTCACTATTTTCCGGGTTATTTTCCATGGACATATCTACACAAATAATTTTATTAGCCAGCTATAATTTTTCCTAAAATATGTATTTTCCAATTTACCTCCATTTTCTCCATTATTCTTACTCTCGTTACTGTTGGTTAAAATTTCTATTTGTTCAGTCTTTTCCCCAGTATCACTTTCAACGTCCGACATGCCATGCTCTACCTGCATATGATGAACAAAACTCTTTTTGTATTTAAATTTACGATCACAGAATTCGCACTCTCTAATCTGAAATAAATAATAACGTGAAATTGTACTAATGTGTGTATGTGTATTATACAAGGTTGATTCTGTTGGGTTGGTTTTCATTCATAAATGAAAAATGTATATCAATTTATTTTATTATTTCATTTTCAGCTCATCTAGCAAAGTTAATTGATTATTAAAATCTACAATGTTCATATGTTGTATCATACAATTAACATACATTTAAATCGCGTCATAAAATCAGAAAACTGAAAAAAGACTATTAAAATATTTATCGTAATATTAAATAAAACCAATCTGAGAATAAACTCAAGCATACAATTCATATAAATTTAAATCGCGTTATAAAATATGACAGTAAAATAAGTAATAATCGCATCAAACGTACCAGATATTTTGCGTGAAAACTCGAAACATTTCTAAAATGATGTTTGGTATAAAAAAGGCACATTTAAGGATCTGTTAATGACAACTAGAGCTTTGCAGCTTATCCGGTTTTCTAAATATGAGCCAAAAACTAAGAGCGGTTTTTAAGATCTACATTTACTTGGATTATTTTGGGCAAAAAGTAGATAAGATAGATTCCTAAAACGATGCTTGCTCTAAAGTGAAACTCAACCGGTTCTATAAATAGGAACCAAATGCGGAGAGCGGTTCTTAAGACCAGCATCAATTTTCAATCTTCATATCTTCCGCAAAAGCTAAAAACATTCCTTAAATGATGTGTGGTATAAAAAATATAAATAAATTGATATAACATTTGCATGTAAAATTAGAACCCAGGAGTTCTAAAAAAATATTCAAGAAACTGCAATTACAATATTCCTAGTCATAATAAAGAAAATTAATCTGAGAAGAAACGTTCAAACGCGAAAGTTCAAATCGCGAAACTAATAATCTAATTTGACAGTAAATATTACAAGTAAAACCGACAATAACTAGTAAGCAGCTAATTAAAAAACGCAATTATGCAGACTGATTCATAAATTGCGTAATTGTTCCAGAGGGATTGGCAGGTTTTGGTGCACCCGAAATATAACCAAATGATTACTAGAAACGGAATTATAGTCGAGAAATATTCACGGAAAACCAGGAAATTAGGGGCTTCAACTGTTCAAATAAAACTTGCTAAAAAACTGTTTTTTTGTTACCGTAAACTGTAAAATGGAAACAGGCAATTTTTGACGATTTGAAGAATCTGTATTTAGGGGACAACAAAACTTAGAAAAATTCAATATTTGCTCAACAAGTTCTAACAACCAATTTCCATTGGCTTGCTATGGTTAGTGATAAAAATCAGAATATTCTACATTAAAATTGATTCTAGATCATCTTAAAATGTCACACAATGTAACTTTATTAAAGCACCAACCTTTTTGTCTCCTTTTATTTTACTCTTCCCACTAACAATGCCATGGGAGTGTAAATGTCTATTAAGATGACTTTTCTTAGTGAAGGACTTATCACAATGCTAAAAGCAATATACAGTTTACACAGTTTGGGAAGTTGCTTGTAATAAAAGTTTCCTTAAGATAATTAAGATCTTTTAATACCTTTTCTCTTACCTTGCACTTTGACAAATCTGAGCCAGTGTGTCGTCTGAGATGTACCTTCAGACCGCTGTAAGTGGTAAGGATTTTATTGCATTCTTTGCATTCATATAAAGTATGATCTTTCTTCGAAGGGGGCCTTCCTCGGGGTCTCTTTTCCTTGACCTCCTTCACGACAAAATCTTCATCTTTGGCATCTTCTTTTGCTAATGCATCTTCTCCATTATAATCCTCATCATTATCGTCGTCGTCGTTTACATCATCATCGCTAAACGGGAATTGGCTAAGAGGAATGTCCATTGAATCATCACCATGAACGTCCTTAAACCAGATAATTCATAAAATTGAGCGGCTGTAATAATTGATAACCTACGTTTGGACTGAGAACCTCATTAAAATTCAGTTTCTCATCGTTCAATTCACTTTTGGTATTCTCCGCCTGATCCTTGTTTTCTTCAGCTTTTTGGTTATCAGTCTGCACAGCAGCTACATCATTCTCTTTTTCGCTTTCCGCCTTCACGAATGCCTCAGTTTTTTCTTTTTTGACATCAATTAGCGCGTCTTGTTCAGCATCTTCTTTGGACCTTTTTTCAGCCTGAATCACATATCACTATTAGTAGCATCGTGTATACAAAATGATAAATGATTAATATTAAAACTTGCCTCGTCTATGTGCACTTTGATGTGCCTGTAAAGACTGCACGTTTGAGAAAATCGATCACCACAAATTTTGCACGAATGTTTCCGTCCAGGCTTATCATGGGATTTCATGTGTCTCATCAGATGGTTGGTGCGAGTGTACTTTGAAGGACAAACTGGGCAATACCTGAAGCCGATCAATTTAATTAATTGAGCTTAAATGCTAATATTAAAACAAAATGCAAAAAAAACAACACTTCTTATTCGTTGGCTCGTATGTAGAGAATCGGTTGAGCTGCGAAACTCTAGTTTTCATTGCGAGATAAAGCGTTAAATTTCGTACTTTTTTATACCAAAAATTCTAGAATAGGGTTGCGAGTTCTCACAACGACTCTTATTCGCTGGGAAAAAAAATTATCAACTCCTTACCTCACACCATCGCCTATGTGTTGACGTACATGGACTGCTAGGCTTCTCTTAGATGTAAAGATTTTCATACAGTAACTGCAGGTCAAGTCACTGTGGGAAGGAACCCCATGAGTTCTTTTCGATAATGGCAAATCATCCTCATCCTCTTCCTCCTGCAAACGTGTCGCTATTAGCTCCCAAATTGCGCTTAAATCAGGAAGTCACCTCGTTGAACAATTCCTCATGAACATCAGGCTGAATAACGATGTCCTCTTCATGATTACGTTGGGCATCTTTTCCATTCTTCAGTTTCCTCAACGCAATGTCTGATTTTTCACATTGCTGCTTAAACTCATAAGCTGACCGTAGCTTTAATTCACATGGCGAGCAGAGAAGATAAGGCAAACCATCGCCAGTTGACACCTTCATTTATAAATACAGGATAGTTTGATCAATTTACCAGACAATGTGTTATATGGTGAAACATTTCTCTTAGTAACTGATTAATTAATGAATGAACATTTTGATGCATGAACATGCTTGATTAGTTTAGGATTCATAATTTCGTTACCACGGAGGAATGGATAGTATGGTAAACACAGCGCCTACATTTAGGCTGTAATTGCGTAAGTTTTACTGATAAATGATGTGTGAATGATAAAACAGAAACAAACTGCTTGCATAGATATACTCAACTTAAAACAGTGGCTTAGCAGGATTCGAAAGTGATGAGACGAAAGCCTACATGAATTAGTAGGACAGTTGAAAACATTACAAATTCGTGCTTATCATTCGAAGCCCATCTGGTGTAATATTAATGTAAATAATTCATAGAAATAGTTTACCTCGACTTCACTGCAAGCCATGAGCATATCGCAGATAAGTAAACCATCTTCGGCTAGTTCCAAACACTTTTCGAATACGTTCCGCATATCGCCACTCTCGCACATGCAAGATCGACATATTTTGTCAATCATTAACTGAATATCCTTTGGAATCATTTTAATTTGGGAGAAAATGTTAAACAAGATACAACAACAACATAGCTACCATCGTCCTCCCGTCCTAAACCATAGACCATAGATAAAGACAGGTCCTAAGCTTTGAAGTTGACAATTAACAAACAATCTATGACAGATTTGGCACACAACCATGAAGTTGTAAAAGAAAAACTGATAATATTATAGCAATGTTTTTTTTTATAGTTTTTGCTGTTTATTTGACTTTAGACTGATTTTATATTAGTAAGCGGAAAATAATTTATTTAACTTTTGTCCTATGAATTGGTTTTTTTTTATATAAACCCCAGCTGGACACCACTTGGAGCACTCTAAAGAAGACTGAAAATCCCCGGTTATAACCTGTAATGATGTTACTTTAGTAAATATTTTGAATGCCTTCTGTTTGTAGAACAAAGATTACTAAACTCTTATAGAATAACAAAATTCGCAGCTCCATCATGTCTGAAAAGAAGGACGCAGCACCAGGAGAGGGAATTCGATCATTAAAGACATCCAGCGTGTTTAGATTCGTAAATTTCGAACTCTATACAAAGCCTGTAAGTACCAATTCCGTCCATAGTTCCTAGTAACAAGTCGGGTAAATATAGCTTTAAAAAGCCGTTTTATAATACCCCAATTTATTAACTTTCCTCAAGTCAACAATATTTATAATTTTTGTCACTTTCCCTTTCAATTTATCGCCCTACTTAACTTCCCCTCCAGAGTCTTTCTTGAAAATCATCTCCACTAATGGCACTTAAAAGATTTTGCTTTCATTTCAGAACGTGACTATTATGGGTCTTGGTTTAGTAGCCCTTACTGGATGTTTAGGATACATTGCCTACATGAGGCACAAATACGAAGGTCTAGGATATTACGGGGCCATTAAAAGTGATGGCACCGAGGAGTTTATAAAGAAAAAATCCAGATGGGAGCTATAAACCCGGAGTAGAACAATTTAAAGATAGTTGTAAATAGCTATAGCGAATAAGTTAAATACAAATCAACTTTTTTCCGAAATAAGGTGTAGCCAAAATAGTATAGTAAAAATAGCCGAAAATCTAAAAAAAGCCGAAAATCTAAAAAAAGCAGTGTGGCAGAGCAGAAAACCTCTAAAAGGGGATTATAATGTCCCATTAAAGAAACTTTTAATTGAATAGCCCAGGTTTTAATTGAATAGCCCAGGTATCACAGAAAGCAGGTTCTGTAAGCACTTTGCAATATGTTTAAGGGCCGGGGAAAATAGGCGAAAAACTAAAAGACGCTATGTCCGAAAAGCCATGTATGTATAAAATGAGTAACATGTATTAAGACTAACATAATAATTCTTAAAATTAATTTGTTTTCATTTTTCCTGTAAAAAATTAAAGTAAGTCGTTATCAGCAGAAGTAAAAAGAAAAAAAATGTTCCTGATCACACACTTTGCAGTTTTTTATACTTAACAGTTTTTTATACTTAACAGTTTTTTAAACAACTAACAAGGGTAACTTAGGTAATCGCATTCACAAATGACCCCCATTATAAGAACTGTACGTTAAATACTTATCAGTCAAGATTCTAGTTCCATCACCAATGGCTAAATGTCGGTTATCAGTGCTGTTATTTAATATTTGATTGTCTATTGTTACATCTCTGCTATCATTCAACAATGTTCTGCCACCATCCTGAACCAATAATCTTGTGGGTTCAACCACATTAACCACCAACCGCGGGTCGTTCACTAATATGCGAGATTCATCCGACATCATTGGTCGAATTTCTGCTAAAAGATGCGCGGTGTCTGCCAACAGTCTTGATGCTGTTGTATCTGGCTGGAGTATCCTCATTGAGTCGTTTTGGAGCATTCGAGCGTCTATAAAATATAGTGTGTTTTAGACACATTTTACTTTATATGTATGAGACGGAGGATTTAGCCTAATGCAAAAATGCATGCTGAATTTATTGTAAGATGGATTAACAATGGAAACTCAACGTTCGCGACAAATTAGGTATACAAGGTGCTTAGTTTTCTTTATTATGGATTTTTTTTTAACTATCTGTTATTTTAGACAAACCGATGGTGGAACGGATTTTGATTGATAAATAGAGACAATAAATGACCCATAAAAAAACCAGGAATGAATTTGATTTGGAATTGAAACACAGTCAGGAAAGTATATACAATTATGGATTAAGCAACACAGGGAAAGTTTAAACTAGAATATTGTAGATCCCATACATATTGCGGCATCGGAAAGTGCAAAGATCATATTTCAATTCCTGAGTGGTAGCCAAAAATTCAGCAGTAGTTCCACTGACATTGTACTCTAAAAATATCTGTTTCTCCTCTATTATCTTATCCTATCATTATCTGCTTGAAGATCCATTGAAACAACATTCGTTTCGAAATCCTTGTCTACGTATGAACGCCGGAACTTTGACGAAAACAAAGTGAAGTTAACTTTTTAAATTTTAAAACATTTCCTTCATATTTCTAAAAATTCTTCCGAATGTCTTACACAATAAATTAATATTTTGACCTGATTATACGTACGATTTAATTATAAAAACTTTTATTGGTTTTATTGCTATAACTGAACCTGCATTTCTTACTCGAGTTAAATACCTCGTAAACTATTTGATAGCTAATTGGAAAACCAGAAAGAGAAAGAAACAGCAAATTATTAACGCGACTTAAACGCATACCTTCTTGAAGTCTATTGCTATGATCCATCACCATTTGTTGCTGCGATTGAACAACTTCCTGTTGCTGCTGCTGCTGGCCGAGTTGCAGGTTCTGAATACATTTATTTTGAACTGCATATTTCAAATCTTTCTCCTGTTCAGCCTTGACTGAGTTGGCGTGTACTTTCATGTGATTGTTCAGAGTGCTTGTTTGGGAAAACGCTTTACCACAAGTAACACAAACATAGGGACGTTCTCCTGAGTGAACTCGCATATGGCGCAGCAGGATAGTATTTACTGTAAAGCCCCTTTCGCAAATGCTGCAGACGTAGGGACGCTCTCCTGTGTGATTACGCATGTGATACTTTAGCTTCATCACTGTCGTAAATCTAGAAAAATGTATTAATAATTAAGTCGGTATTTGTGACCTCCTGCAAAACATATTAATATAAATGCCTTACCGCTTATTACACACTTCACATTCGATTGGTTTGCCAGTACCATGCAACCGTTTGTGACTGGTAAGATCTCCCGACTGTCGGAAGGCTTTTCCACAAAATTCACAAGCAAATGGTCGTTCATTGGTGTGTGTTCGCATGTGAATTTTCAAGCTCGCTTTAGAAACATATCCTTTCTTGCATACTTCACAACTGAAGGGCCTTTCCCCTAGAACCGGGTCGATATTTCAAGGTTTAACAAATAGATGAACAGCCTGCATTTTTTTGAGATTGTTCTAATTCTCAAGAGTTGTATTGATTAATTTATTCTTTTTGCAATTTTTCCTCGGTTGTCGCTATTTGACTGCGAAACAGTGATCGTTTTAATGTATCTCTTACCAGTGTGAGTCCTTAAATGCAATTCCAAATTAAATCTTTGTGGAAAACATTTGCTGCATATATTACAGACAAATGGCTTCGTCCCTGTATGCTGCTTGATATGCAAAGATAGTGCTTCCGAACTTGGAAATTCAGTTCTACAATAATCACAGATATGTTTCAATAGCCCTGGATCGCCCTCTTTCTTTTCATGGATCTTCATATGCTTTATAAGGCTGTTCCCTGCAAAGCAGCCCTTATTGCATATTTTGCACACGAACGGACGCTCATTGGTATGCCTAAAAGGTTTGATTAAAATTATCGATGAGCGGTTTTATTTTATTATAAAAACACCTTAGAAAATGTTTCTGAAGCATTGATGCATGCATAAAACGTTTGCTGCAAATGCTACATTCATGCGGTTTCTGTTCTTCGGGTAAATGACTTCTCATGTGGTTGTTCAAATAAATCTCTTCAGTGAAACTTCTACTGCATTGTTTGCACTTGAACGGGCGATCTTTGATGTGAGTGCGCAAATGTTTACGGAAGGCTTTCATGTTCAAGAATTTTTTTCTGCACACATTGCAGGTACTAACGTAACGCTTTTTTGCCACTGAAATTATTAAAATTAAATATAACTGATATTCAAAAGTTCTTCACTTGTACCTTGTCCATTTTGAACAACTTTCTTCAGTTTCTTCTTGCGATTTTTACCTTTCTGACTGCGGGCCAGCTTGAGAAGCTGTTGCTGAGCCACCGCTTTTTCATTAACAGGCACATCGGATGAGCATGAACCAAACATGAACGATTGATCTTTAAACTCATCTTCATCGCTTTCGGAAGATGAGGTTTCCATGTCTATTTCAAGCACCGCATTAGAATACTCTTTGGTTGGCATTGTGTTTGCATTTTTCGGTTGAAGTTTTCCGGGTGGCGGTTTTCCCAAATACTGACGCAGGCTGGAATCCGATGTTAGACAAAGTTGCTTGAATGAGTATGATCTACTTAGTTGCATGCTGCACTGCAGGCATATGCAATCTGGAAGACCATCGCCCCTGGTTATCTGGAATTAAGTGCTTAATTGAGAATGCTTTCGAGTAACGAAATGTGCCGAAAGTGGTCAATTAGTCGTTTTCACCATTACGATTTTGGATTTACACAATTTAACAATGAACTTTTCAATAAATTCAAAATTTCACGAAGGGTACTAATAAAAAATTGATTGCATTTCATCGTTTCAGATGTACGGTATACGATTTTGAAAAATGTGAAGCTCCACGAGGACTTGAAACTATCTAAAAAAGGTCGAAAAAGTAAATAAATCAATAAACATTTGCCAGGAAAAACAAAATAAAACTCATGTTTTTTGTTTTGGGTTGCCAGATATTCATATACTGAAGTTTGATTCCTTTATGACGATTTTGCAGGGTTGTTTAAGAGGTAAAGCGATATAAATTGATCAATTTTTGCAATAAAAATATAAATCCAAAAGAGTAATCAGTAAAAATCAGTGAAGCACTTCAATGTTCACTACCAAAATGTTTTAAAAGTTGTCAAGTTTGGTGTAACGGACAAATGTATTTTTTTTCCTGCAAAACCAGAAACCTGTGGTGTAAAACCTGCCTGTTCGTTTTCTAAATATAAAACCTTTTAATGGATTTTTAAAAATTAATTAAACCAATATAAAGTGTAGGCATATACGTTTTATTCCAGCATAGATGTTTTAGAATATTCTGGAAATTGTGAACATATAAGTGGTTCCAGAAAAGTTGCAAACACAAAAACCCACCTGAACATTTGTAAAATCCATGAGCATGTCAGCTATTAGTAAGGCAGTGCCTGTTGAGTTGTCTGATAGAAAGATAGATTGTAATTCCGAACTCTCAGTCAAACAAGATCTACACAATTTGTTCAAATCAATCTGAACCAGTTCGGGTTTAACTTCTATTGGTTCCATTTTGAGTTCCGTGAAAACAAAACTTAAAACACAACAAAGAGGCACAAACACAGTAAATAAAATGGCGAAGATGGATGCTTCCACTGGTCGATTGTATGGAAAGCCAGTAGCTCATATCGAATGTGTTCTTTATTTCTGCTGGCACTTAGGGCGAGATTCCTTCAATAATTGGCTGAACGGTTGTGTTGTCGTCACAATGCACAGAGCCGTAACACGCAAGTTTCAAATAAGTAAAATATTTATTTATAACAAAACAACTATTAACACTATATCAGCTAAAAATCAGTTACTCTGCCCTTTCTTTCCCAGTCTCCGTATCTTGTTGGTTCAGGACCTTTGGGGCCTCCGATTTCCCCGGTATGGGGATTAGTGTTTTCTGGCCAAGGTTCGAGGGGCTCCTTTTCCTCATAGGGATGCTTCCCTAACGGTTGGTCTAGCTTACCTATTGGCGTCTTTTCTCGCAATTTCTCCTTGAATTCTCGCATTCGGGGACTAATTTTCTCATTCGAGGAAAAGCGCAAATTGAATGCCTCTAGAATTAAGGTAATTTCGCAGAATTAAATTAAATTTTAATTAAATAACTATAAACTACCTATTGCAAAGCACTAATTAAAATAGTTGCTAGATTGTTTTTGATAAGTATTGTGGAATGGTTTGTATTTTATTTAGAAACTTAATTTGAGGTTATTATTGTTATAAAGTTACCTGTTACAGCCACAGCAGGATTAAATAGAACTGTCTTCGTTTGCCGAAGCATGTACATCATAATACTCATTTTAATATTAAATATATTTTAATTAATTTCATAACAATCAAAATAAAACTTTTGACATTTCTTCTCTTTATATTTTTGTGTATTACAAAAAGCCACAGGTCATAAACATTTCTCAGCAACGTCTGTTAGACGAAGCAGACAGAGGCGAAAAGGACAAGGACAGGACAATAAATAATAATTATTTATTATTATATTTTTAATACTCCGTTGGTTTATATTACGTGAATGAAAAAATTATCTGCAAAAAGATCCTAAACCTTCTTAATCTATATTTTTAATTAGTTGCAATCAAGGATGAGAATGGCCATCCACTTAGGGGCTAGTTGTTCTGTAACTGCATAAATCAAGAAAATAATTGTTCATGATTCATTAAATCATTGTCTTGATGAAAACATGACTAAAATATACGGAATAAAGGTTTTAAAACTTTTTTACCTCGTTAATGTGGGTCATTTGCAGCTTTTTCTATATTCATTATTTTATCAAAAACAACAACAAACCTATTTAGGCCAGTTAGATCTAAACCAACTGAATTTTTCTCCTTTTAGTAGCTTGATTCTCCTCATCTTCGCTACTTCCTATAGCTTCCACTTCATCCGTTGCACTTGTTTCCTCCAGTACGGAGTCATTTTCATCTTCCTGCATTTCTTCTGCTTCGTCGTCACGACTCCTGGCTGAAAAACACAGTTTTAACTTTCTAATACCAGATACAAAGAACCAATAGAACCCTACCGCGTTTTAAATCGTTTTGAATATTCTGCAGATTGATCCTGAAATCCCTTGAGGTGCCTTGCCCCACGTACTTGGATAAATCATACTTAGTTTTATTGCTCAATTGAATGATGTATTTGCTGAATTGCTCCATTTCATAAACCGCCTTTGGAATGGTTTTGGTTTCTCGCAAAACTTTGCTTTTCAATGCTGCACTTTCGGATTTCTTTTTTCCACCTTGATTCGTCGAGTCGTCGTCTTTATGTTGTCCAAGTTCCAGCTGACACACGAAAGTGTATATTGTCGGCCCCAGTTGCTTTCCGGCTAGTTTAACGAGTTTTTCGAACCTAAAATATTGAAGATTATATGTTTTTCAAATCGTTTCACAGCTTAAGTAATTACCATACTCCTTGAAAGGCATGATAGTTCTTGCTAGATTTGCTTATGAAGTATTTGGTAAGCGAAGTTAAAGCTGAGTAGAATTGCACGACGTTTTTGAAAAGAGTATCTGAAATACTTCCGGGTGCCAGCGACAAATTCATTAAGTTTGTGAGGATTTTACTGAGGAAGCATAGTTGGCATGTTACACCTTTTTCTTTAATCTTCAAATCGTCCTTTCCTGAAACAGCAACTAATAAGTATCTTGTGGGTTATTAAATGAGTATATTTACTTTTGACGTCGTCTTTGCCGGATATTGTTACGATAGAATAATCGGATTTTATGCGTAAAATTATGCTTTCCACATCATCCAAAATATTCTTGTTGAAGGTGCAAATGGCCATCAGTACCGCATTGGCAGATCCAAGGTTGATAATTTTCAACGTATCCTGAGATTCTTCAATCGAATCCTACAATATTACAATACAACTGTAAGCTAGTTCAAATGTCGTAATTTTTTACAACTTGAAAGACAAAAATGTAGTACTTACATCTGTATCATTCGTTCCATAAATATCAAAGAAACTGATTGAAGCATGTTCGAAAAGTGTTAATCCTGACTTGTACCGAATGTGCATTTCAAATAGCAAATTCATGAAGCTGCCTGCTACTTTCGACGGGATTTCTTTACTGTAGGCTATTTGCTTTAACCATTCATAAACCTATAATTAGAAAACGGGGAGCATTTTTTAATGAATTTACAAAATCTTTACTTTACCTCTAGAGATAAAACATTAGTCTCACTGGGCATTAAGTTACAAAGCGCTGCAATGTTACTCAATACAGCCTGTGGGTATCTTTTAATCTCTGGATCATTGGATAGTTCATCCTCCTCTATGTCGAAAAGCTGCTGAAATTCGCCTAGCAAGGGCTTAATATGCTCTATAAGTGAAGCCCCTGCATTCGTTTCCCCTGCAAAAGAATGTAACTGATAAAGATCGATGTTTTCTTCTCTAATGATCAAACATACATACCTACTTTACTTACAAAGTTAACAGTATTGTTTGGGTTATATCCATTCATTACTATTAGAATAGTGTGGAAGCATTCAATGCCCATAACTGCTGAACTACAGTCAAAATCAACATAATCCCTTATCCTGAAATCAAGAGCATTTAAAAAACAACTCATAGATTTGGCGTTTCAATCTAGAACCAACCTTAAGATGATTTTATTATACAAAACTCTGGCTATTGATGTTATATGGTCAAAACTGCTCTTCAAATACACCCTTTCAAGGGGTTTATTGTTTTTACTTTTCGCAACCAACTGCGCTGCAGCTTGAATAAAATGTCTGTGCAAATGGGTTTTAATTCTAATGATCGTATTGGCATTTGCTGTGCTCACCCAGGACACACTTGGACTAACAATTAAAAACAGTTGCAATTAATTGAATCAATTTGAATTAGCAACAGCAGATTCTCTTACTCTAGCAAAGTCCGCAAACCCTTTACAACGACTGCGAAATCTAATAAAGTGCCGGGGGGTTTGAATCCTTTTAAACCTTTTCCTGAACTATCGTGCTTTTTGGAAGAATTGCCTTGAGCTGTTGAAGTGTTCTTTTGCGTTGTCTTATCTTCCTTCTGTGTTGTTTTGTCGCATTTTTTGGATTTCTTCGATTTGAGCAAATTCTACAACATTTTCAAAGTAATAAGAAAAAGTTTTCCATATGGCTACAGCAAATAGGCAAAAGTAGATCGTATTTTACGTATCTTGATCGGGTACGATCAAGATATTGAAATTTGCGTAGGTACGTACCTTTCCAAATTGAAGAAACCTTGAATAGCCTTCAAACAAACTGTTAATAATACCGCACTGATCTTCATTCTCAGTTGACAAAGTCGCCACTTTGAAGCCCATTAATGCCTCGAATACATTGATAATTTCCTTTAAAATGTGCATTTTTTTCTGACTTTCAGGTGCAGGATCTGTTAAATCAGTGCCATCATCCTGTACAGGAAAAATTTATATTTTTAACTCAATGCATAGTGACTTTTGCTTAATTTCTTACCAATTCAAAATGGACTAACTCGCAGTTGCACATTCTGCGACAGAGCGAGTTTAATACGTCGGTATACTTCTTTAAAGCAGGTCTTTCCGGGTCGTCATCGGAACTGTTCACTTTGACCACAATCTGCGCTAAAGTGTAAACGAATTTCCCGAGTGGCTCCTAAGTAGAAGCAAAAAAACTTGCAACAGTTTACATAATGTGAAAACTTGGCTTACTTGGAGAATGCAATCACCATCTTTAATGGCGGCGACATTGCAAAAATTCAACGGTGGGCTGGAATCCTCGTCCGAAATGTAAAACTCTATAAAATGAAACCAAAGCACATCTAGAACTGCAACGCCCAGTTCAGGATTAAGGCAAACGGCGCTATATAAATCTGGAAAACATTTAATGGCTTTTTGTGCATTAAGTTCCAGTTTCTCTTACCGTTGTACAATTCGAATTTGACTTCCATTTGCTGTATAAAGCACCTCTTTAAAATCCCCAAAATTTCCCAACAAATTGATTCACTGCTAAACGCGTTACTAGCAGATTGGGTAGTTCGATTCAAAGAAATCTGAGTATATAGAGAAAATCCGGACGAAAATGATCCGGTGCTTGTTTGACTCATGATGCCTCCAGTTGAAATATTCAGCGTACTCATTAGCATCACGTATCCATATACGGCAACTTGTCGAGTTTCTATTGATCTGTAACAAAGAGCAATGAATTCTGTAGATTATGCTAAGCGAAAAATCGCCCTTGTATTACCGGGAATATAAACATTTCCGTAGAATGAGTATGAGTTGATCCCTGATAGGAGCGGATAATTTTGCCAATGGTATCAGAGCATCTAGTAAGTGTTTGGCTATGTTGCTGGGAATTTGCATCAAACTTTCTATGAGTTCAACAACGCAACTCTGATTATCCAATAACAGCAATGGGCATGTTTCACTTAAGAAATACAAACACTCTGAAAAAAAAATCGTTTATAGCGATGAGCGAGACTGAAAAAAGCAAGTTATTGTAGTTTAAGTTATTAACAAATAGACGTGTTTTATGCACATTCTATAACAGTAAAAGCCCAAGTAAAAAGGTAGTAAATAAATATAGCTGTACAAAGCAAAACCTCACCTATATACTGAGTAGCACTTTGTCTAGTTAAAATATGACTGGCAAAAGTGTTTAATATTATTGGAGCTATACTTCGTTTTTTCTTCATAACCTTTAGTATAATCATTGTGCCTAAAGTCCACTGCTTTTCAGCTATAACATCTCTGCCTAAAGCTGAACCTACACTAAGCAAAGCAAATCCAAGATTTGCTATTGATTCCAGAATGAATTCCCTGTCCCTGTGCAAAAATCAAGTTATAATCATTAACGAAGAAAATATCAGTTGGCAAATTCACCCAAAGTTCAAAATATCCTTGAAAATTTTCTCTGGATGCACTGATGCGGTCATTATATCCCGATACCAGTATGAAGAGGTCTTCCTCTGCTGTTCATTATAAGTCCTTACAATAGAATGTCTAATAATTTCAAATACAGCTTCTTCGTACTGGTCAACGGTAGCTATAGTAAGCAAAGCCAACAGCTGGAAATGGTGCAGAAGAAAGTCTGGGGATTTGACAGTATTTTTCAAAGAACTTAAATAATCCTTGATGGAATTATGACCGATTGAAGCAGCAGTTTGAATGTGGTAAAGGACCATGCTTTCAGCATCTAAAGCATCACGATCATCAGCATTTTCTGAAATTGAATTCAAAACTGAACATATGGAAGATCAATTTTTTACTTGACCAACCTATCACATCTAGGTCTGGAGAGTTATCGTTGTTGCACATTCTTTTAAAATTCGAGCCGCAATAAATTCTTAATCCAAAATAGTGTTGTAACTTTAAGAAAACATATCGGCTATTTTGATGGTGGCACAATCGAAGTAGCTGATATACGAAGGAAGGAACTTCCTGAGGTGTTAACTTCTCTATAGAACACGCCAATTTGTTAACGACTTCCAAGTGTTTGTCTTTGGCAAGGGGTATATCACTGCAATATCAATGCTGAGATTCAATTGGCTGATTAGTTTAATTTTTGACTATTACCTAAACATTGCGGTGATTTGGGTGAGTTTTCCAGCAGGCCAATTATTCATGCAAAGATTCGTAATACAAAATGTCTTAAACTCTTGTCCTGTGTAATCTGCATCATTGAAACTTACAAAGTCTCTAGCAGATATAACACTTAACGCATCTGGAAGTAGATCTTTCCAACTGGAAAAATAATATGCCCCTTATGAATTATATTTCTCTCTGGGTAAGGTTTATAATCCATTGCAACTAATAAGTTGAATTTTGGTCACCACTTTTTCAGCGGCAATTTTTAATTGATACTAAAATGTTAAATGCAAAAGTTGTCGGCAATGAAGCCTAATTTAGTTGAGGCAAAATAACTGGATTCTTAGGTTATTAGAAATTATGTATTAATATACAACGTTCAATAAATGTGTTAAGCTGGCTGTGTTTATCATGGCCTTACCCAGTAGAAGAGCTAATTTTCTTCGATTGAATGCTTTCCAGACAGAACATGCAAATTTCAGCCAGATGTTCAGTTTTGAATTTTGTCAGATCCATACACAGCCTTTGCACCAGGTTTGATGATAAATGTGAAGAGAAACACTCCTTATATTCAAGTTCCCTTAAAGCAGTTAGAACCACTTTGATTTGTTTTTCCTGATTAACTGAGCCGGTTTGAAATGCTTTTAGCAAATAGTCCCAAATTTGTAGAAACGTCGAACTGCTTAACGTTGATTTAATAAGACTTTCCAGCTAAAACATGCAAATGTTGACGACGAACTAGAATTGTTTATACAACTGTTAATTCCTACCGCTTTTTCGCTGGAATTAGCAATTGTCTTCTGCAGGCTGAACGTATTGTTTTCAGAGCCATGTTGGAGAATTTGGTCCACTAATTTATCCATTACAAAGAATGTTGAAACTTGAGCAGTGTAAGAGTTCTAAACCGTAGAACAAGCCTTAAATTCTAAACTTACAACCGGTACAAATAAACCGCACTACAAAACTTTCAAATAAACATAAACAAAACTGTTCCTAACCACAGTTTTATATATGCAGTCTTGCCAAGTCTACCGTACGTGTGATATCTACCACAGATTCTCAAACTATTACCTCAGATATAGATATAGATATATCTATTTCAGATTAGTTATTTTAACAAAGATAAATGCATTCTAAAGAATACATTTAATATTATCGAATTCTTCATTTAAAAATTAATCAAAAGCTATTGCCATGTAAAAAAGGGATCTACAAAGGGTCTGGATAGCTTTTCTGATTCAGAATAAGTATGTTGGTTTGCATGAACTAAAAATGTTTTTTTTATTATGATAAATTATTCAAATTATGAGAATTTTTTTAGAAATATTCGAAAAAATTATAAATTTTATTTTATCCGTTTTATATTTGGATCTTCCATTTTTTCAGTCGCAACGCTGGTTGTTTGTTCTGCGAAATTCTTAGAAAATCCCCCCAGGGGGGATATTTTGTGCACGGAACATACCCCCACATATTTTGTGATTTCGTGGTGAGATTTTGCTACTGCTAACTTCGCGCAACTACACGATTTTTGTTTTAGGTTATATTTTTGCTTGGAACACATCAGAATTGAAATTTTTAAACAATCTAAAGCAAAATGAGCAAAGCAAAGAAGTCTCGTAAACGTTACGAGTCAGATTCAGAGTCGAGCATAGACAGCGAGGAAGAGGCACGCAGAAAAGATCTACGCGAACGAGATGAATTTGCCGAACGACTAAAAAAGAAGGATGAGGAAAAAACTCGGAATATTGTCCATGCTTCTGATCGAAGAGCTTACGAAGAAGCAGCCAAGAGGCTCCAGCTGCAAAATGCCGAAAGAGAAAAGATTATTCCAAAGCTCAGAGTCGAGTCCAGACGTAAATATTTGGAAAAACGTAAAGAAGACAAACTGCTAGAACTGGAAGCTGATATTGTGGATGATGAGTATCTCTTCGAAGAACAGATGTAAGTAAACTCACTCTGCTTAATTCATAAGCTCACCTTGCCCGTCAGAACATAAGTTTAATTTAATTCTCTTTCAACCACCAAGTAACTTGCTTAGACCTCATTTGGGTTGTACTGCTCAATTTAATGTTTTAGTAAATTATTAGCAGAAGTAAAAGGAATATCTTGACTTGATAGATCAACTTCTCATATTTTCGTTTTCTTTGACCAAATATGTATTAGCTAAAATGTTTTGCTTGATTACAGTTTAACGGAGCGTGAAAGAAAGGAAAGAGAACATAAGAAAGAACTGCTGAAACTGGCCCAAGAACATGAAAAAGCTAGAGAATTGGAAAGAGTCCAGCGATATCACATGCCAAGAGACTTGGGCAAGGACTCTACTTCTGATTATATTGAAGTGGATGAGCTTGAGAAAGTACCTCAGTCTGAGCAAAAGAAATGGGAAAAAGACCAAATGGCTTCGGCAGTCTTCAAGTTCGGCGCAAAAGACGCCGTAAAAAGGGACGAGTATGAACTGCTGCTGGAAGATCAGATTGATTTTATTCAAGCCTTGCAAATGCCGGGTTAGTGATGAGTTTTAGTTTAACAATTAATTTGTTACTCATTTGGATTCTGGTTGATTTTAAGGGATTAAGGATAAGATGAAACGAGAGCCGGAGTTATCCGAATTCGAAAAGAAAAAACTGACCATAGCGGAAACTAAAAAAAGTCTACCGATATTTCCTTTTAGGGATGATCTAATTCAGGCTGTTCGTGAACACCAGGTTCTGATTATTGAAGGAGAAACTGGATCTGGCAAAACCACCCAAATTCCACAGTATTTGCATGAGGCAGGTTTTACGGAAAATGGTAAGCACATTAATAACGGATTATTGAAGTAAGTAAGCAACTATTCTTGTTTAGAAAAAAAGATTGGATGCACCCAGCCCCGTAGGGTGGCTGCGATGTCAGTGGCGGCTCGTGTTGCTCAAGAAATGGACGTTAAACTGGGAAATGAAGTTGGATATGCCATTCGATTTGAAGATTGCACCTCCGAGAGAACCGTTATTAAGTATATGACGGATGGTACTCTGCACAGAGAATTTTTATCCGAGCCAGATCTGCAGTCTTATAGGTATGTATAAGTGCAAAACAGTACACAGAGTAGTGCAACTAAGACGGGGTGAAAGATTGCGACTAACTGGGGTGTATTTTTGGTATGGTTCTTATAAGTAATTGACATCAAACTGGGGAGCACCCTGTGTAACTAAAATAAATTTACTGGATGGCAACTAGTCCTGCCAATATCGCATTAAAAAATTAGTCGCAATTTTTCACCCTATATATTTTCAATTAAAATAATTTCTGTTAGTGTGATGATCATTGACGAGGCTCATGAACGGACTCTACATACGGATATTCTCTTTGGTCTTGTTAAGGACATTGCAAGATTTCGGCCGGATTTAAAACTACTGATTTCCAGTGCGACTCTAGATGCTCAAAAGTTTTCCGAGTTTTTTGACGAGGCGCCTATATTCAGGATCCCAGGTATGAGTGCAAATTCAATTAGCATCGTTGATATTTAATTTTGAAAACGTTGATATTTAATTTCAGGAAGGCGCTTTCCAGTGGATATCTACTACACAAAGGCCCCCGAAGCAGACTACGTAGATGCATGTGTTATATCGGTGTTGCAGATTCACGTAACGCAACCGTTGGGGGATGTACTGGTATTTCTGACGGGGCAAGATGAAATTGAAACATGCCAAGAACTGCTTCAGGATCGTCTGAGACGATTGGGCTCAAAAGTGAGGGAACTCATAATATTGCCGGTCTATGCGAATCTTCCTAGTGATATGCAAGCGAAAATATTCGAAGCGACTCCTCGAGGCGCCAGAAAAGTCGTACTGGCCACGAACATTGCAGAAACATCACTGACTATTGACAATATCATATATGTGATTGATCCTGGGTTTGCTAAGCAGAATTATTTTAACTCGAAAACTGGTATGTTTCTTCATTATTTATAGACAGGGTGATTCTAAATTAGCGTCATTACTCTCGTAAATAAGCGCTAATAACACTTTAAAACGAATGACCTTAATTCTACCTAAAATATGATCCCTGATTATTAATGTAATCCTTACTTTTCAGGCATGGAAAGTTTGATGGTAGTTCCAATCTCGAAAGCATCCGCAAATCAAAGAGCCGGGCGAGCGGGACGAGTAGCGGCAGGAAAATGCTTCCGACTATACACTGCCTGGTCATACAAGCATGAACTAGAAGAGAATACTGTTCCGGAAATTCAGAGAATAAACCTTGGAAATGCCGTATTAATGTTGAAAGCTTTGGGTATAAATGACTTGATTCACTTTGATTTTCTGGACCCGCCTCCCCACGAAACCCTGGTGCTCGCATTGGAACAGTTATACGCCCTAGGAGCTTTGAATCATCATGGAGAGCTGACTAGACTGGGCCGAAGAATGGCTGAGTTTCCGGTGGATCCAATGATGGCGAAAATGTTGCTGGCTGCAGAAAAGTATGATTTGTAATAACAAAATGCTGTTTACTCTAGTGTCTGGGGTGATTTTCAGATACAAATGTGCAGAGGAAATTGTTAGTATTACCGCAATGTTGTCTGTAAACGGGGCCATTTTCTACAGGCCGAAAGACAAAATTATTCACGCAGATACTGCACGGAAGAACTTCTACCATCCTGGAGGAGACCACTTGACTTTACTGAATGTATACAATCAGTGGAGAGACACTGATTATTCCTTGCAGTGGTGTTACGAGAATTTCATTCAGTACAGGCAAGTCTCTTGGAAATTTTTATTGTTGTTTCTAAGCTGCGGCTTGTTCCAGGTCAATGAAGAGAGCACGAGATGTAAGGGAGCAGCTGGTAGGACTCATGCAACGAGTAGAAATCGAAATGGTATCAAGCATCAGCGAAACTACAGACATTCGCAAGGCCATTACAGCCGGCTATTTTTATCACATCGCACGATTATCCAAAGCGGGCAACTACAAAACAGTAAAACACAATCAGGCGAGTACTTCTTAAACAATTTGAACTCTGAAATATTTATGCTGCATTTATATTGTTTCAGACTGTAACAGTGCATCCGAACAGTTCATTATTTGAGGAATTACCCCGCTGGGTGTTGTACCATGAACTCGTATTTACAAGCAAAGAATTTATGAGGCAGGTAATCGAAATCGAAAGCAAATGGCTGCTAGAAGTAGCGCCACATTATTACAAACCAAAAGAGTTGGAGGACTCGACAAATAAGAAACTACCGAAAACTGTTGGTCGAAGTGAACGAACCGATTAAACTCGTATCGTAAAGGGTGATTTTTAAGCACTTTATTCCCTCGTATTTCTGTAATTGTAATTTCGCTATTTATTCGAAATCAAACATTACAGAAAAAATGTTCATTCTGCAACGTTTTTCCCGCTGTCTCTTACTATTCTCATGTAATAAATTGTACTTTCTGTACAATATAAACCACTTGTGAAAATGTAAACCAATGTAAATAGATGGTTTTAGTTTAATCCGACGAATTCTTGTATTTTTTCAGACACATTGAACACCCAACTTCGTGAGAAAACGTATGATTATAGGGACATTTCGAAAAAGGTAAACCGGGAATAAACTATGAGGGGTAGTATTTCTAAACTGAAAAAAGTGGGTGAGTCAGGGCTAAATAAAACAGACATTCTAAAAAATTATAACAATATATTTAACAATTTACATTTCAAGGAATCTTAAAAAATGGAAAACCTACATTTACACAACACGAAACAGTTAAATGCAAATCAGATCGATATGGCTATTAACTGACTGATGAATTGTTTCTCCGGTTTTAGCTAATATGCTGCAGTCTCAGTTCATTGTATGTAGGAAACAATTTTTAACTCAAAAACAAAATTACACACGCGTTCGCACTACAAGTTGCCATGTAAGAACATTCGGACTTTCAGATTTAGCACTACATAATTTTCTGCCAAAATATTTAAAACAATCGTTTTGACAGATCACAATCACACAGTAAGTCTTTTTTGGAAAGACCGTAATTTGGTTAAACGTAAATTAATTCGTAACCATGTGTCTACATCATACCTCCCATTCCGCCCATACCACCCATGCCGCCCATTCCGCCGCCTGGAACAGCTGGTTCTTCTTTTGGTATTTCTGTGATTACAGCTTCGGCCGTTGTTAGAAGAGAAGCTACACCGGAAGCATCTACCAAAGCTGTCCTAACAACCTGTAAAAATTAGACCATTGATCATCTAACTCAAACCACTCACATGAATACTATATGCGACAATGAACGTGTTTGTTGCGTTTCTTTAGATGTTAAATATGTTCATACCAACACCTATTGCATCGCAACATTTTGCTTTACCTTTTATTACAAACCACAGATTTACGATTTAAAATACTGCGGTACTTGGTAAAAGGACAAATTTAAGCAGTAAAAATATACTTACTTTGGTAGGGTCGATAATGCCCCTTTCAAACATATTTACGTATTCATTGTTCAATGCATCATAGCCATAGTCACCGGTATGCTGTTCCACTTTTGCCACAACAGCAGCTCCATCAACACCAGCATTTTTAGCGATGGTCATGCATGGGATTCTCAAAGACCGTTTTACGATTTCAATACCTGAATGAACGACAAAGCCCTGTTAATGATATACGCTGATTAAGTAGTGGGTATTGCGGTTAACCTACCAATTTCCTGGTCCTTGTTTGCGGCTTTAACTGAATCTAAACTGGATGCACATCTTAATAAAGCAGTGCCACCTCCGGGAACGATTCCTTCCTCTACAGCAGCGCGAGTAGCATTTAAAGCATCAGTGACTCTGTCCTTCTTTTCGTTTACCTACATAAACATAGGTGTGTTAAGTTGAAATTATTTCATAGAAATAATCACTTACTTCTACTTCACTGCTTCCTCCAACTTTCAAAACGGCAACACCAGATGCAAGACGAGCCAGTCTTTCTTGCAATTTTTCCTTTTCATATTCGGAGGTTGTTGTGTCAATTTGGTCTCTTATCTGGTCAGCACGTCTATCAATATCTTCCTTTTTGCCTTTTCCTGGAATGCAAACAACCAATGAAAATCAGCACACAACAATATAATCACCGTTTACCTTTCAATAGCAAGGTATCGTCTTTGGTGATAACAATTTCGCCAACTTGACCCAAGTCTGAAGCTTTAACATCTTCCAACTTGACAATATCGGCATCATCGCCAAACACAATTCCTCCGCTGGCAATGGCCATATCATGAAGAGTAGATTTGCGGTTATCACCAAATCCTGGTGCTTTGACCGCTGCTACTTGAAGTCCAATGCGAAGCCTTGAATAAAGAAGAAAATCATTGAAACTGCACTGCATATACTCTAAATTAAACTGACCTGTTCACAACCAAAGTAGTTAACGCTTCACCATCTACATCTTCAGCAATAATAATTAGAGGCTTCCTTTGTGCGTTGGCCAACTCCAAAGCTGGCACAATGCTCTGGACTGACGAGATTTTCTTTTCGCTGAACAGGACTAACGCATCTTGGTATTCTACTTTAGCGCCCTTGGTGGTGTTCACAAAGTATGGAGAAATATATCCCCTATCGAATTTCATCCCTTCGATCACCTCCAGTTCATCTTTCAAGGTTTTCCCATCTTTTACAGTGATGACTCCTTCCTTTCCTACTCTCTTCATAGCATCAGCAATAAGATTACCAACCGATGTATCGCCGTTAGCCGAAATCGTCGCAACTTGGCAAATCTCCTCTGGACTGGTAACGGGCTTCGATAGAGTCTTGAGAGTTTCAGTAATCTTTTCCACTGCCAATATGATGCCCTTTCTAATCTCAACGGGATTAGCTCCCCGTCCAAGATTGTCAAATCCTTCTTTAGCTATTGATCTAGCTAGAACGGTGGCCGTTGTAGTTCCGTCTCCGGCTTCTTCATTGGTATTATTGGCTACATCTTGCACTAGTCTGGCACCAATGTTTTGAAATTTGTCTTTTAATTCTACACCTTTGGCAACTGTTACACCATCTTTTGTAATTTTTGGTGATCCCCATGATTGTTCAATGATAACATTACGACCCTGTAAAATATTTTATTAGTATCAACCTTGCTTATCATACCATAGACAAGGAAAGTAATTGTATCTAACTCATTTGCCAGGGTTATTTTATTTGAACATTTTTCTACAATTGTATGGTTTTAATAAGCTACCAGAGTGTCAAAGTTCGTTGGATTTTTAAAAGTTGTTTACAAGTTGATTTTTTTTTGAAAACGACAATTTGTATCAAAGATTTTAAAGAGCCGTTTTAGTATCCCAATTTCTTCATTCATCTAAACAACTTTGCATTATTTACAGTTACCAATATCCGCAGCATTCTTCTCATTTTGCAGATAGCGTATTTAAACAATTAAACCCTTGGAAAGTGAACAAGGAACCAATAAATTAAATTTTATTTCAGAAGCCTATTCAACCTGGTCAGTTGCATTTCTTGTTTTAGTTCGGCCTTCTTTTCGGACAGAGTTTCTAAAGTGAACTGGCTGAACTTGCGTTTGCAACCAGAATAATTTTTTAATTTTAACTTGTTTATCAATCACAAATGCTGATTTTCACCTAATATAGGAATTAAAGTTGTACTAGCTAAAAACACCACTTCAAACTTGTAATGAACCAAATGGTAATTTGGAAACAAGTTCAACTTTAATATATTACCTGTATAAAAATCAGCGCTTGAGATTAATAAACTAGACTTTTTTAATCTGCGAATAGGGATAGAGTGGAATTACAGATTTTATAGCTTTTCGTCTTGAAACAGACGTTGTCACATATTTACATCATTAGCTATTTTATCAAATGTATATATAAACCATGTAAATCGATAAAGCAACGTCCCAATACGGTATCAACCTAATCGTTAACATCTCTTGAGTAGATGGGCCCCTTAAATGTTGTTCTCAGCTGCTGCATTTGAAGGTCAAAGAACTTAATAAAAGGCACAGTTTATGCCTTTACCAGTAATCAATAAACAAATCTAAAGAAATTCTAGTACATTTTATGTTTCTGTTGAAAAATAAGTATTTCTCGTTAAGCTTCAGTTTTATTGGAGTGAAGTCAAATTAATTGAATTAAACCTCTTTCGAACGTTACCTTTGGGCCCATGGTAACAGCAACAGCATCAGCTAAAATGTCGACGCCCTGAAGCATCAGGGCTCGAACTTCTGGCCCAAATCTGACGTCTTTTGCGTACCATCTTTGGATCTGGTTCATTTGCTGCACTTTGCGAAGAGCAAGGGAGCGCATTACAGTTGGTACTCGATACATCTGTAACGTATGGAATAGCGTAATGTTTGCAGAAAGAAAATCCAGAAATTTATGGAAAATATTTCGAAGTGTGAAAGGGGAGTCTGACTTTACGATAAACGTCACATGAACAATGAAGAAAAAATTGAATTATGGTGACTGGATTTTAAAGTTACCTGGCTGATTGGAAATTTAATAAAAATGGACTTCGCCTACACTAAGGAATGATTATTTGATGATGAAAATTCAATAAGTGTTCAAGTATGTGAAATAATGGCCCCATTTGCCTGGAGAATGATTATGAAAGCACATGGCGATAAACGAAAGACCCGAGACGCCGATAAAACTTGACCTGGCTGGTTTAAAAGCCGACGCCTTAGCAACTACATATGAGAACAGCTTCCCTAAGCACTTACCTTTGATTTTGATACAAAATTAACTCAATTTGACTCAAATTTCTCTCAGAGAACGATTATTAGCGTCACCGGTTTAAAGCAATCGGTTTGAGGTTTGATAAGTTCCAGAACATCCGCGAACCTCCCGAAATCTCGCTGATAATGAACTTTGACCAGCGACAAAGATGGATATGTTTTATTATCGGTAGAAGCGGGACAGAAAAGGGCTTTTGTTTATAGGGAAATTTCTATAGATGTCGCGGATAATTTATTATACACAGCGTTTTTACTATGCACCATGAATGATCACATATAAATCAATGCTTTTTCTCTGTAGAATCTTAACCAGAATACCTATAAAAATCAAAACCCACGCCTACAGCCGTTTGTTTTTTTGATTAACTGACATTTTAGAGGGAATTTTTGTTTGAAATTTTGGGCTAAAAGTGATGCATCTTGACGAGAGAAAAAATAAACTCTCCTTTTTATTTAAAATCATATAAAATTTCCCGACCAGTGCTTCAGCTATCTTTGTTTAGCTGTGCATGCATGAGAGGCCAAATGTGTTGAGTTTAACCTTATAAATGTATTTTTAGGAAATTTGTTCAATTCGAGAGTTTGTTCTAATTGAATGATAGGAATGTTTTTATTTATAAAAGGTGCATGCATGCTGCTGCATAAATGCATGATTTTATCCATTCACGATTTAATGAATTTTTAGCAAGCTGGCAACACCGGCGTTTTCGAATTTAGTAGTTGACAAAGACAAACGACATTCGTTGTCATTAATATCAATTAACATTCGGTTGGCTCTCCTGTAAACTGTGATAACCTCTTTCTGAGAGTAGTGTTTATCAAAATGGTAGGTTTTGACGATTATCCTCAAATGTTTTACAAAATCTTTAAACAGCGAAATAATCTTAAGAAAAATCTCAACGCTAATTATTCAAGCTAACCCATAGAACTGTTGAGGATGTTTTTTAAGATGTATTTCTTTGAAATTCTTAGGAGGAAATTATCTAAAGGAAAATTTCCGCACATCAATGGCAACCTTTTTGTTTTCAGTCGCTGGTGATTCCAGAGAAGTTCCAACATATTCTCCGTATCCTCGGTACGAATATCGATGGAAAGCGGAAAGTTATGTTCGCCTTAACGGCCATCAAAGGAGTGGGTAGACGGTACTCCAACATTGTGCTCAAAAAGGCTGATGTGGATTTGAACAAGAGGGCCGGAGAATGCTCTGAGGAGGAGGTCGAAAAGATCATTACCATCATGTCCAATCCACGACAATACAAAATTCCAGACTGGTTTTTGAATAGGCAAAAAGACATTGTCGATGGAAAGTACAGCCAAGTAAGTGATTTCTCATTTTTTTCAATCTTCCAGATCAACTCTTAATTGGGTAGTTAATAAGCTTAAAAAATCGTTCCCAATGTTTCACCTAAGTTCTGAATCTGAGTTCCGAAAATTTTTACAAAGAATTGTGGTTGTCACATGTTTAATTTAGAGAAGCTCAATTTATTTAGCTTTGAAGTCAAAAACTGTGTGGATTAATCCCTTAACTAACAACTTGTTTTCGAAGTATTTCTTGGGAAAATGCGGCCTTGGGAACCACTTTTCGTTCATTGAAGTAGACTTGTCCCATAAAAGAATTGGCTATATTTTATCTGTTTTATTGTGGAGTACTCAACTTAAATTAATTTGAACTTCCTTATTGACCATTTGGCAAATATGAAATCGTTTTAAAACTACCTAATGGTTTAGCAGCATTGAATTCTCCATAGACTAAATTTTTAAGCACATTAAAACGACCAGTTTGGATGTATTCGTGTTCATATTGGTTGGTAGCTTGTGCAAAATTGTCGTGCAAAGTGTAGCTGGTTTATTCAATCAGTCTAATTGCTGCGAATCAGGCACTTCTAATGTGCTATCTGAAAAGCAAAATTAGAACCAACCGCTTAAACCCCGCCCTTTCAAAGGTTACCTTTGCTTTGCCACATGAAACTTTAGTCAAGTTCTTGAATTGATTTGAAGCAGTTATATTGGAAATGAATAATAATTTGACTCCATCCGCAGCTCACATCATCTTCCCTCGACTCGAAACTTCGTGAAGATTTGGAACGAATGAAGAAAATTCGTGCCCACAGAGGTATGAGGCACTATTGGGGTCTTCGCGTGAGAGGCCAACACACAAAAACCACTGGACGTCGTGGACGTACTGTTGGTGTATCCAAGAAGAAGTAGACGCACTCGTGTTTATTTTTTAAAATTAAATTCTAAAGTCAAGTAGTGTTTTTTTAATAAAAAAATAGTTGTGACAAACCTAACCCCCGTTCGCCATCCTGGCCAGGATTACTCACGGTAAAAGTATGGTAAAACTGATGCTAAACTTACCGAAAGCTGCATTGTACCACCTGGAAAAAAAACTGTTTCATTACATAAACTTTGTCGAAAACCCAGTGATTTGATTGGAAGCAAAAAGAAGTAGGAAACTGAATAAAACTTTAAATGTTTCTCGAAAACTCAACTCAGTTCAATCCTTCTTACCCGCTTTTAGCAAACTGACGCCCGATTCTCCATTGTATATCCATCAAAAAGCACACACTACGCGAACACAATGAGAATCCACACAAGTTGAAAATAAATGTGGATTACACTCAGCAATTAACAAGTAAGATAGTCGACCGTTCGTGCCTAAATGGTACTTTTATCCCGTTTATGAACAAAGAACCGCCGACCGATCTTATCCCCTGTCCATATTAGACTGAACTAAATGCAACTTTTCGATATAACTCATGCGAAATTAAGGTTTTATCACATAAAAAACTCACCGCGCTACAGAACTTACATAATGATAGAAGCGTTTGCTCGCTGATCCTTTAGGTGACTCATTGTATTGCTATTATGTTTGATTTCAGTTTTTTCTTATTGACGATTTTCTAGAAATTTTCAGTGCGATTGAACTGGTTTGGATATTTAGCGTGTACAAAGTTGCTTTTTCGGGTAAAGATAAACAAACATCGCCGTTCATAGAGCGACTTAAAATTGTTTTCATAGGCCGACGAACAAAGTTGCTTTCTCGGGTGATTTGTAAATGCTTCACTTTGATCGCACTATTATGAGCGACGGAAAATTCGCACTTTTACTTAACTACACGCTTAACTTTCACACCCTATGCACAGCATAAAGATTATAATAATATATAATAATCTTAACAGCGCTTAAATTTCCACTTCAATCGCACTAACGTCTGATTTTTGCCAACGGTTTGAAAAATGGTTTAAAAATTCGCATTGAAGATGTGATCACATCAGAACACTCCTATTTTACATAGTAAAGCACTCTGCTGTGGCAACTACTGTTGGATAAAGTCTACTTTAATGACCGATCCAGATTCAAGATTCAATATGTATAGTGTAAAAAAATGACTGATAAATGGCAGATTCATCCCAGCTCATGACTTGTCTGTTCGCAGCATTAAAGCGACGGAAAACTTAAGTTTATTACTGTAGTAATTTGGGCTTTTCTAACTTTTCAAGTGGTCTTCAGCCAAGACGAAAGCGCGAGAAACGAAAAAAAAAGGTATCTAGTTTAATTAGTTAATCTCTGATCCAATTGCCAATCGCCAATAGCTGTGCAATGTAGCCAATTTGTTAACAAATAGTGTAATATACAATAGTAACGTAAATAAGTTTGTAACGTGTTTAGCAGTAGGTAGTAGATTCTAATTGGCTTAGAGAGAGGCTAGCTAATGGTAGAGCGGTAGATCTCACGAAAACGGTAGTCCTGGCAAGCCTGAACATAACTTCTTCTATCAGCTGAGAGACGCGATAACAGCGCGCTCACGGCCTAAGCAAAAAATAAAAACGTAGACTGTCCACAGCAACCACAAAATATCCCCCCTGGGTATGTTCTGTGACAGGAACTGTCTGTGAACTGTCTCTAGGCCCTGATGTAAACAAAAGGGTCAAAAGTTGACTATTTAGTGAAAGTTTATTAATTATAGTTTATGAATAAATAAAAGATAGGCTGCTAAATGTGATGACGGCGTCTAGGGCGATACGAGGCACAAAAGCCAAAGTGATTTTGTACATTGTTTTGTTTTTTACTTTCGCAGGTCTAATTAGTATGTTCAACGATATAATCAGTAAACTCGATGAGGCTAAAAATTCAAATGTGATGTGCCATCAACAACAGGAAAACCTTTCCACTCAGCTACATGGTAAAATATAGAAAAGTTATTTATTTCTAGTAATACCCGTGGAAAGTATGTCAAGTGCATACTCTCTACTTCTGAAGATGTGGAATTAAATGTAAGTCATTTTCACAGTAATATCAGAATATAAGGAAAAATTGGAGGAGAACCTCAAAATTGACCAAGCAGAACTGCAGGAGAACAAAGGCATTTGGGAGACTAAAGTTAAGGAGGAACGGGATCGTGCTCAGAAGCTGATTGGCGATGCCCAAATGAAATATAACTCTATGTTGCAGCATTTTAAATTGCTTCAGGTAAGAAACCGCCACCCCAACGAAACCCGATCACAAAATTAACATTAACGAATCGTTTCAGACCGAATTCGATGACTTCAAGGAACTCAGCAGTGGTTCACAGAAAAAGCAATTAGAGGAAATAAACAGTTTGCAATCAAAACTAAAGAAAGTTGAGGAGGAATTGAAAAAAGTTTCTGAGTCGAAGGAGGAGATTAAGGTAAATGTACCAAATTAACTCACTGAAACATAACTTAAAATAAATGAACGGCCACATTTCCATTAATTCTACCAAGTTTAAACAATTTCCCAGGTACTAACTGATCCGGTTGGTATAAATAAACTCAACTGTATTTTTCTATTCAGTTTTCCAGAGCGTTTTGAAATAATCAAGTTTGGATTTGATTCAGCAACCTAAAGATATGGCTTTAGACTAAAATCAAAGACCGAAAATTTACAGGCCTTTCATCAAATAGTAGAACTAATAGTTTAATTTCAGAAATCGTGTCATGCGTTTGAACTTATCGGATATGTATAAACTTCTGCAGTAATTCTCGAATAAAAAAACAAAAAAAATACTGCCACAAAACTAATCTCTTAGCAGACTTTAGTCTTAATTTCGCTTGAGATCAGAATTAATCTGCTTACTATAGAAAACCCTAAAACTTACATTAAAAATTACTTATTAATCTCACTTGCGATGCCATCTAAGAATTAAACAAATATTTTCAAACTTTCCATGTTTATTGCTTGAGGCTTTTTTGCCATGATGCACAAAATCTTTACTAAAACTCTTGTGTAACTAATTCAAAAGGAAATTGAATTAGTTTTGAAAACCAGTATAAGCTTGTGATGATTTTATAAAGGCGTTCGAGTCTCCGATTTTCACGAAACTGTTTTTTAATACCCGAATGGAAATCCAAGCAGTTTAGGAAGTCTGGTATAATATTTTGATAGGAATAAACATTAGCATTTATCGCATACAAATATGCCTTAAAAGCAATAGTTTACCTTCCTTAAAGTCCGGAACTTTTCTACGATTTAGCCAAAATAGTTCCAATAAAAAAAGCAATAAAACAACTCGCATTCAATTTAAGAACTTTTGTTATTTTTGTTTTGAACGTAGTTTATATTTATTTCAGACTCAGTTAATTAAATTGGAATTGGAGAATGGGGAGTTAAAAACAGTGAATCGATTGAATCACGTTAATGAATCTATTAAATTCTATTTAGATGAACACAATGCCATGTACCAAAAGTACACCGCCCTAAAGGTAATCGCTGTTTTAGAGCTCATTTTCTATTGCCCTCTAAATGCATATTTTTCGCTTTAGAAAAAATGTGGTAATTATTCCGAAGAAAACCCTGCCACTTTACCTAATGCTGATCTAGCCAATAAGCCATCAGAGAAGGCGGTTCTAAATTTGCCAGGCCTTAAAATGGCTGAAAACCCCAGTAGTTCTACAAAGGCTGTGCCAAAAGTGTCTCCATCGGAAGGAGCCTTGAATGGAGCCCGGCCTCTTCTTGTGCCCAATGTTACGCCAGAATCAGCTAAGAAAAAAGGAAACCTGAAGCCACCACAAGGCGTGGTAGAGCCACCAGACAGAGAAAACCAAAACGAGCAACCTCAAGTTCAGTTTGAGAAAAAAGATCTTAAAGGTAAATTTTACTAATTCAAATGAATGTCTAGTTTCAACTTTATGTCGTTTTACTAGATGATATTGAAAAGGACAATGTGGCACAAGAAGTGTTTGATGGGCCTCAAAACAACATCGAAGGAGGACTAGCGTTTGATGATGGCCTGATGAAACCCGCTCTAAACTTAGGTCAGAAGAAGGATGATAAAAAACACGACGACCAAGAATATAAAGATATCCAGCGAGAAGAGGAGGGCGATGGTTAGTGTTGCGAATCTGATGATCATGTCGTTTCCTGCGCCTGATTTTAGCGATGAACTTTATTTTCAGATGACATGGATGATTATGATAACCATCAAGGCAGAGCCGAAGATATTGCAGTTAGGAACTAGCATTCATAAAAATCTCTGGATTTATGTCCGCAGTAGGTAACCAAACTATCTGTATTATATCCGTTAAGTATTACTAGTTAGATTTTGTATATAAATTGTCGGTTTTACTTTCAATATCAAACTTACTTTGTCCGTTGCGTTTAGTTCACGCAACTCAGTTATGAATATGCAACAATAAGTATGCTTCTGATCTAATTTTAAAGGCAACAACATTACAAAAAGTTAGCATAAAATTGTGTATTGTGATCATTTAACAGGATTCTCAGCTCAGTTTTGTAAGCCAGCAGTGGCAAAGTTTAGCTTATATAATTAGAATATATTGTAGGGAAATGAAAAGAGTACTAAAAAGCATGAAAAATTGCTAGTTAGACTTATTTTATTCTTTATTGAATATCAATCATTAGCAAACCGATGCTTATAGAAGGAAACTTCCTTTCTTCGGTAATAGACCTTGCAGTTAAATCACACTATTTTCCGAACACCTTGCAGGTTTTCAGTGTAGAATTAATCTTTAGTTTGCAGTAAATCATCGTAGAATAGTCTGCATCGTCAAATATTTTTTTATATTAGCGAAAATATATTTTGTGTTTTTCAGTGCAACTATTTAGTGCATACGCATTTATGAAATAGGCCGATTTTTAGTTAAGTTTAGTCATATCAACGGGTTGTTTATTGATTTTTTTAAAGCGTAAAATTGTATTATAGGATTAAATATATTATGGCTGATTTTCTAGTTTGGTGATTTGATTCTTTAGGTCCGGCTTCATGATTATATGTGTGATTGATTCAACATACATTTTTGTTAATTGTTTCTCGTATTGTAAGAGCATACATAATGCTCATGAATATATTTTATTCATTTTAATACTATGAAAATTAGATCGAGGAAAATTTTGGAGAGTTGATCGAGTCAGAGATAATCCTAATTATACAGGGACCAAAGTCGCATAACAGAAGCATCACATCTACAGGAAGACCCACAATAGCCCATCTTTCATGAAAAGTATTTGATAAAATTAAAAACCGTGACATAATAATGAGAGTAAAAATTTATCCCGTCCTGTCCCGCTAAAAATAAAAATTATCTATAAATTAAGCACAGTTTTATACGCGGTAGTTCAAATACAGAAAGTTTTATTTTATTTTTGCAAGGACCATCCACATTTAGCTTTGGTCACCTTGTATATGAAGCATATCTTGATGTAATCGTTTCTTAGGTAGGCGACCAAGAATACATCGCGGGCATTTGGACCTGGTGGAAGCTGGCCGGCTCGATCTCTCCTTGTTCCGTTCACTATGATTGTATAATGTGATCACTGTTCAGCCGGAGGCCGATGTAGGCTGGAACACTTTCTCCTTAAACGGATCGCTCCGAGTTGTCAAAGCTAATCCCCCTAAAATTGCCAGGTGAAAATCCCTAGGTGCTGTCCAGGTCCAGAGCAAAACCGTAGGAAGGAAAGTTGTCTTAATGGCTTCTTGCTGAAAAAGGTGCTGTGTGATAGGATAATTAGTGTTTCTGCAACTTTGTTTGTTGCCAGTGATAGTGTGAGAAACAAGTCAAGTGTTTATGGAATAATTCGGCCACTGTGTGGTGTTTCAACACGCCTTTTGGTCAGGGGTCTTGTGCAGGCCAGTAGAAATGAATCAAGTCTGAAAGCAAGAAGTCTGGATGCAACAAGACTAAGTTGAGCCTGAAAATCAGTGAAAGCTGCAAGATTTTCGCTACAGGATCTCTCAGATGTCGGATGAGTAAGTAATGCAGCATTTTCAACCAGGTAGAAATATTGGAAATTGCCCTTTTCTTTATGTTTGCTTTTTTCATTAGTACGAACAGGTAAATCGGCTTTCGTTGGACAATATTTGCTTAAAAACCATTCACAATTGTGGTCGGAATGTTGCAGTGTCTATTATGCTATAATTAAGCTAGTCATTCGAATTAGCCATGCTTCCTTTCTTTGTAGGAGGCATTAAATTGCCCAAGTGTGTTTTAATAGGATAATCTGCTGTTTGTATACTAATTTGATGCTGCAATTATTATACAATAACATTCATTCAAATCTACAAATGAAATTCACTTCTGTCATGTATAGTAAACCAGTTTTTTAAACAACTACAACCAGCTATCTTACCTAGGTCACAACATAATCGATAACACTGTAGTCTTTCTGGTTGATTTCTTCTGAGTTAAAAGTATTGGTAATTGAGTACGAATATAATCTATAGGTTTCATAATCTTTAGCTTCTTCATAGCGGTAAGAACAATTTCGATATTCCCTTAGCAACTGGTTACATCTAYAGCATGCCAATAAGAACAGCAAGCACATTTCAGTATTTAACACGTTAGAGCCTTCTAGTTCCCAAATTATCTACTTTTAAACTAAGAAACTTGGCCATAATGCTACATTCGTACACRAGCAATATGTGCCAAAAGAATACGAATAAGCGAAGCTGCGTAAGTATTAAACCAACCATTAATAGTCCAACCTTTAATAATCCAATAAAAGACCTCCCATACGTGACTTAGCAGGAGTCCAAGAAAAACAGTTGTATGTTTMAAACACTTCAGTGTTTTACATGTGATAAGTTCAAATTAAAGGGAAATTTTAATTAAAATTTARTTCAAAGTGAACTAAAATTGCAGAAAACTCCAGTAGAACAGCGACTTTTATTTGCTTACTGTGAAAATCTAACAGTGTGAGGTGTAAGACAAAGCTGCAATAGTTGTTATAATACAAATGTTCATGTAAACTTAATTGAAACATCTCTTTTTTCTGCATTTTTCATCTGATAGTAATTTATACCTTACTAGCACTTGTATAAAAAATATGTTGCGATATGAAAATTATGATTTCTGAATGTTTATGAATTCCTCACTAAGTGTTCCATGAAGCATCGAATTATCAGAGATTTACTGAGCAATTTCTCTTTCCTGAATGGAAACCCCAACTATAGTAGTTACTTTCTTTTCGTCAAATTTCACAATGGTTTATCTAATACTGTCTGTTCTGCGATTTAAACATTTTACTGCAATTAAATGTGCGATTATTATGCAAAAGTTAAAACAAAGCGTTGCCACCTAAAGCAAATGAATATATTAAAGAACATTATATGCATTGCCTGCTGCTTTGCAATATGGTTTGTTTATTGTCAGCATCTAAATGGGTAGAAGCATCATTCATTAAAAGCCTGTGTGATTCATTAATAAGCAATTGTATATATTACATTTAAGTAAATGTGAGTATTGAATCATCTTCTCTATTGCCAGATTGAAGAACATAAGTTTGCAAAAACATTTAGTTTCCTCTTTTGGTTTATGCTTACCTCGTCTGCTGAGGTATTCGATATTTTAAAAAAATTCCCAGTCAAAACGAATACCAAATATAAGCCTGTTTCATAGGCCATTTGATAGGTAGATCACGATCAGTTCTGAAAATGTGAGTTTCCTCGCGATTTTCGTCAATTTTTCATGACTTTTAAATGTGGATGATCCCGTTTTTTTCTGTCACCCTCAGTAGCTTATGGTTGGTTCAATAAAAATGCCATTCACAACCAAATGAGCTAAAGGAAACAACTCAAGAAGATTTCGCCAATCGCGCAAAAGTTTATTTCATTCATTAGCATTAGAACCAATGATCGCATTATTTCAAATTTATTCCAAATTATTACCTTTTCGTTAGTTCCAACGCATAACTTTGTGACTTTTACTAACAACTTTAGTAAGTAATTCTAATTAAATTTGCGTGTAAGTGCGACTTTTACGAATAACTTAGCTATACGTTTGAGATGCAATACTAGTCTCTCTACAAATAGAAAAATGTAAATTTCAGTTGTTTCACGGATACTTTTCTAGTCCAAATATTACAGTAATATTTTTTTCCATCCATGTAATGGAATGTTGCTTCATGTTCGCATGTATTAACACGGTTCAATGAATATATGTATTTTAAAAACCGTTCTTTGGAACCCATACTTAGAAAGTGAACATTTTTACATGCAAATAATGGATAAATAAAAATGAGTGCAATCAGAGAAATCCACTTTATTAAATAAATTTTACAGGGTGATTCAAAATAGCCTAAACATTTTTTATTTTATTGTTATGCGTTATTTATAAACAAATTAAAGTTCAATTGGATGATTTGAAAAATGGTTTATTAATAAAAAATGTTCTAATTTATAAAGGTTTATTAATGAAGTAACGAAATGTCCGGAAAGTGAATTTTTTTTTTGACAAATATTATAATTTGAGGGAATTTATAGTTTCTATTATAATTTATATGGTTCGAGATTTATACGCGTAAACAATGGAACTGTATTTTGCTCTTTACTACCTGAGCATTTTGCTAATTTTCCTATATTTTATGTAAGTATCTAATCTGTTTATAAGCGAGTAGCAAATCTAGATGTTTTTCATAAAAAATGTGAAGAATTATAGCCCAAGTTTTTTATTTTTCTCGATGCTATGCAGTAAAATTAAAAATAAAATTAGATTTTTGGCAGCCTCTATGCGGCTGACTTTCGACTTTCGAGCTGCTATGAATTTGGATAAATCTTGATCTTTTTTCCTGACAAATTGTCGTGGGATTGTGAAGATTTTCTTTGTTTGAAAAAGTAATTTATGATTTTGTTAATATGGTTAAAAGGCAGCTTTCGTTATTTGCGATTTATTTCCACCATAACTAAATGTATGTTTTTAATGTACATATCGCATATAATATTGCAATACTTATGTATGCTTAACAGTTTAGAAAATATCAAAATAGTTTTGCGCAATATTTAACGTCGATTATTTCATTTGATAAGCGCTTTAAGAAAATGTCGTATTAACCTTTGAGGAAATCCAATCAAAGGGGATGCAAACTTGTATTGCCAGTGTGTGTGTACTATGTGTACACACCCGCTTCCTTCTTTTGAGGAAACATTTTCCTAGGAAATCCGGCTTAACAGGTTTCATTCTTTTTATTGGCGGCATTGAAAACGAACTTTGAAACTTACAACGCAAAAACCGCCACCCAAATATCAGACTTGAATATACCGGGGGTTTAGTTAGAATGTATTATTTGGATTAGTTTTGCTTAAAAATAAGAACAATCATCAGCAGAGTAGAATCATTTAATACAAGGAAAAATCATCAAATACAAGGAATAGTTGCTATCTGATTTTCTGTACATAATTCTTGCCCAAGTTAGATGTTGGCAACTGTAGTTTTTCGAATATTTTTTTTAAAGGTCATTAATTATATACAGGAGGATTAAATTTTTTATTAGGCTAATGGAGTAGATGATGGAAGTCACAAAAATAAGTAGAAACGTTCGAATGTGCTCAAATACCTCGTTTGCGAGATATAGAGGGTTGAAATGAGTGTCTGTGGTCTACATACTCCATTATATCACATGGTTTTAAGAATGTAAAGGGTGTTTTCGGGTCTTTTTCCCTTTTGCTAACCCAACTTTTTTGTGATGCGCTACTGTAGTTCAGCGATATTTTTTTAAAGTTCGCTATTCAATTTTGAAGCGTTCTGGTCTCTTGCATTTTCTTCGTATCTACCACCGTTTATGCAAGAAAAATTGTCGCATTTCATGTGATTGTGAAAATGTTATAACGATGTTAACTTCTGGACGCTTTTTTTTATCTCAATGAAAATTCATGATTCTATTGAAGACAATTAAGCCTTAAGATTGCCATAGTCTCATCTTATAGCTGAATAATCAAGTTCTTCAATGAAGGTTTAGTTAGTTGTTTATATTATTGATATTTTGCTCCGTTACAGGCATTCAGTGATCAACGCTACCTAGGAACATGGCGCGTAAAGGGGAGACGATCCGCAGCATCAACGTGTCCATCGTTGGACTGTCTGGAGTGGAGAAAGACAAAGGCCATGCCGGTATCGGCAAATCCTGCCTTTGCAATCGCTTCATACGTCCGTATGCGGAAGACTACTACATCGACCACATATCCGTACTAAGCCAAACGGATTTCAGCGGGAGAGTGGTGAATAATGACCACTTCTTGTACTGGGGCGATGCCATCAAGTCTCTAGATGATGGCACCGACTATCAGTTTAGTTTGATTGAGCAAACAGAATTCATTGACGATGCATCTTTTCAACCCTTTAAAGGAGGTAAAATGGAACCGTACGTCAAGCGGTGCACGGCTACCAAAATTTCGTCGGCCGAAAAACTGATGTATATTTGCAAGAATCAGTTGGGTATAGAGAAAGAATATGAGCAAAAGGTGTTGCCCGATGGGCGGATGAATATCGATGGGTTTATTTGTATATTTGATGTAAGCGTGGTGCCGAGCAGGAGTATTGAAAAACAAATCGAGTTTTGTGCGGCTATTTTAAATAATATCCTAAAAACCAAAAAACCTGTTGTAATGATTACGACAAAAAACGACGAATCACATGATGTTTATGTGCGGGAGGCGCACAAGCTGGTTCAGAGGAGTGAGTACAAAGGCAACATTCCTCTAGTGGAAAGTTCTGCTCATGAAAACGTTAATATCGACTTGGGATTTTTGCTGCTGGCGCAGATAATCGAGAAAACGAAAGTTCGTCTAAAAATCCCTTCATACGGTGAAGCGGCTTTGGCACGGAAGGAGATGATGGATGTGGCCAGTGAGACTTTTATGCGACTTATTCGCGTCCATGTAACCGATTGCCACGGGCTGTGGTCTCAAACCCAAAAAAAACTAAACAATCACAAAGAATGGATACATTTTGTGCAGTTATTCGGCCTGGATGGCACGCAGCGACTATTCAAGCGCCACATAAAGAAACTAAAGGACGAAAACATGGCCAAACAGGTCGCCAAGTACATGGAAATGTTGCCCGATGTTCTACACGATCTTATTCCAGGCTATAACACGCTTCAAGACACCGACTGGCAGAGCATTCAACAGTACATTAAGAACCATCCGAACTTTTCGCAGTACTTCTTTGAGCGACCCGAGGACATTCCTTGGACAGAATGTGTGGGATCCGATAGTGACGAAACCAGAATACCATTCGATGTTTTAGATACAAGCGATGCCGAAACAATATTCAGAAATCACATCAACGTATTGCAGCAAGAGCAAAAGCGGCTGGAGTATAAGAAGCAATTCAAACAACTGCTAGAAGACACTGGCTATGTAACGCCTGGAAAGCATTTGAGTGAAGTTAGAGTGCTCTTCATGGGACGGGAGTGTTTTGAGGCTTTAACTGAGCACGACTGTCAGCAGATCTACGACGCTCATCAACGGGAGCTGATTGAAACTGCCAAACACAATTTCCAGGAGTTGTTGCTGGAGCATGCCGACCTGTTTTATCACTTTAAAAGCATTGCGCCCACAGGCACGATCACTCAGGATGATATTAAGGAAATCACCGATACCCTGCAGGAGGACTTTAGATATAAAATTTTAGATAGGCTAGACCAAGATAGAAAACTTACTCTATTCCAGCATTTGGGATTTATACATTATCCGATCAGGGAGCATTGCCCGGCGTTCCCCAACTGCATGGATTCGTTGATTGAACGAATTTTAGCTACGAAGGCGCATCGACCGTCGTCCTGGAACCATAGCAATCAGTGGCTAATGAGCTCTGAAAACAATCAATTAAACTTGCTGATTTTGGGATTAGACAATTTAGCCGATAATCTAGCTGCCAAGATCCGGGCCCAGTGTGACGACGATGAATATGAAATCGATTGTCAGTTTTATAGCCTGGACTATAGAATTATCAATGGTGATGTCAGCCTGCCGCACAATTCTTTTAAAACCTCGGAATTTGTGCCTCATGGCAGTTTCTGCGTCTACTCGAACGCCGAGTCTTTTGAGTATATCAGGGAAAGTTTAGAGAAGAAGCTCTTATCAAATCTGGAGCAGGATGACAAGCTGCCCTTCCAGGGATTGCCGATTGTTCTCATGTACCTTCAAGACTCGACTACAGAAGATAAGGAAGTTTTGAAACTCAAGGAAGATGGTCAAAACTTGGCTGACTCGCTCCAGTGTCCTTTCATGGATGTCTCCTTGGATCAGATCGGTGAAGAGCAACTGGTCTCTGATGCTCTGCAGCAGTTGGTCCAAAGCATTCATCACAGAGCAGGATTTCTGAACATAAATCAGTCCGTTATAGAATGCGTCGAGCCAGATATTCGGGTGATTATGTGTATGTTCTGTGGCGATCCGTATAGCGTGGAAAATGTTCTATCGCCGCTCCTAAACCACCAATTCTGCTTCCTATCTTCGCCTCATAGCGTGATTTTGGAAACGTTCCTGGGCGACTCCAAAAGGAAGGTGGAAGTGATCGTTTCTTCATTCCATGGTGCAAATGCATTCCGGGACGAACTTGTCCACGGGTTTATCCTCGTCTATTCCACTAAGAGGAAAGCTTCTTTAGCTACTCTAAATGCGTTTTCCATGAACATTCCTAATTTGCCGATTCAAATTCTGGCAGTGACTGATTCGGGAAGCGCCACAGCTTTCTTCAATGACGATATGAGCCAAATGTTGATCACTGAGGGGAATTCTACTGCTGATAGGCTGGGAGCGCATTTCATGACTTCTTCGGCTGCTATGCAGCCGAAAACTGCGTTCTTTACTCCGTTTTTCAAGGAAGTGTGGGAGAAAAAGCCGGAGATTGAGCAAGCTTTCCATATGGAGGAACCGTCTGGTTTGGATAGTGGAGAAGGTACGCTTGAGAGATCGCGATCGACTGGCAGGCACGGGCCAATGCCACCTCCAAGGAACGAGAGTTACTATTTGAAGCTGGGCAATGAGGGGAGTGAGAGTGAAAACTTCGATCTAAGTGGCCCTGATGATAAGCTGAGCTCCAGCGATCATAGTGATAGATTTTCTAGCATTTACATGTACGGGAGCGAAGGCTCGATGGGCAAGAAGCGCCACAACCACTCGGGCTTACAAGTGTATCCTCCTCCAGCCACTCCTCCGGAACCGGCGCCTCCCGACAATATTGGCTCCAGATATTCAAAGAAGTCCCTAATGTCGTCTCAGACTAGTCTAGACGAGGTCCACTATGGGGATCCGCCAATGTCTTTGCCGGGCAGTGCGTGGAATAACTATCAGCAGCATGCTTTTACAACTGGACGAAGACACATGCCCGTGTCAAAGTCGCGTTCTAAAGGGATTTCACAGACTCTTAAGCAACCTGGAAAGTTGAACATGAAGAATTACTCGGCAGTGACTGAAGCCATTGCCCGCATGAATATGAACGATTCTAGTTTTGGTAATGCTCCCCTGGCAACGCCTGAGCCTGTGGATTTAGGCTGCGAATACGCGCAGGTTAAGGACATGGTGCACAACATGTATCCGCCAGAATCTGAGTATATGTATACGATGGTCCAAGACGCGATAAGTGGAAAAACCAAACTGAGACAGCGCAGGGAGAAGGGCCAGCCTAGCTACTCGGACTCCGATAGTGAATGGTCTAGTTTAGAGAGACGACAGAGGGCTAGCGAGGTTTACTCTAAAGTGACCAGAAAAGGAGGCACCCACAAGCGCCAGAGGAAGAAGCGAACCGCCATTCCTGTGCAGCCACCCAGAGTGCCCCAATTGGGCCCGTTTACTATGCCGTCTATGCATTCTCCTTCAGTGGAAGGAGAAGAGAAAGCCAATGTCGCCACAGAATCGAACTCTGAATCTTCTGAAGTAAGTGAAACTGAACAATTCCCTCCTGCAAATATGGCCGATATTCGAATGAAGTTTGCCCAGAAGCGAAGCCAAAGCCTGAAGAAGCGCATCCCCGATTTGCCAAACAGCCACAATTTTAACATGCTGAATTCGCTGGATTTGTACACTGGCCAAGCGAATTCCTATGGGATGATGCACGATGAAGAGTCCAGTTTGGATGTTTCCTCTCCTAGAGACAACAATTCCCCGATGTTTGGGGTGTTTCCCAGAATGAAGGAGACTGATCTGGAGAAATTGCTACGGAAGCGGGAGAAGCAAAAGGCTAAAGATGATTCGAAGCTGGAGAAGCGTCGGCTGAAGGAGGAAAAGCTACGCAAAGTGGCCGAGGAAAAGGACCGCAAGCGGCAACTAAAGACCAATAAGAAGGCCGCCGTGTTGCCCAGCGGGGTACCTTCCAAACTCACCGACTATATCCAGTCTGATAAGAACTACATTCCAATTTTTATGGAAAAGTGTGTTAAATTTATAGAAGCAGAAGGCTTGGACTCTGAGGGTATTTATCGGGTGCCAGGCAATCGGGCGCACGTTGACTTGTTGTTCCTGAAATTTGAAGAAGACGTTAACGTGGATATCCACGAATTAGACATTCCGGTAAATGCCGTCGCGACGGCATTGAAAGATTTTGTTTCGAAACGATTACCGCCATTATTCGACGAAAACGTTCTGGCAGAAATGGAAGAAATCGCCGGAACCAGAATGAAACCCATGGTGACCACGACGGGAAACATGGAAGTGAAAGCTGATAGAAGCTGCCGACTTTTGGCCCTTCGACAAATGCTAGACAAGCTACCTCCGATCAATTTTGCAATTCTGAAGTTCGTGTTTCAGCACTTTGTTAAAATCACCGAGAATTCCAAGCTGAACAGCATGGACTCGAAGAACTTGGCAATTTGCTGGTGGCCCACATTGTTGCCCATCGAGTTCAGCGACATGGGCCGCTTCGAGCAGATGCGACCCTATCTAGAAGATATTGTTCAAACCATGATCGATCAGTATCCATTCCTGTTCTGTGGCAAAGAGGCCTTTGTCATGGTTTAGAAAAAACAAGTAAATCTGAAAGACAAAACACACCCAGTATTTTTAAGTGCTTCAATGCCAATAGGAGTAGATTTTTATAACAAGAAGAAGGAATATTTTTATGTCAACGCTGTGATGGAGTGAAAATGACTGTTGACGTGTTTTAACTTGGACTGAAACAATTATATCAACGCACAACTTGCTTCGCCAAGGCTCTGTAACGGTCGTTCAGATCTCTTTGTTAACCATTTATAGATGATGCCTTGGAGTTGGTCACAACTATACAAAATCTGCCCTACAAGCGCACAACCAAGTAAGTCGGGATTGTTCAGTGTTTGAAAACCAATTTTGTTTTGTATGTCTAAGTATATCTATATATTCTTCAATCTATATATTCATACTATACCTATAGTTGATATTATGCAGGAAAATAGTTAATAATTTAAAAAGTTTCCTAATTGTTTCAATAAATCAGTTGCATGAACATACTCTTTTAAAAGGGGATTAAAGGAGTATGTATTATGGAATTCAGTAAAGTTGTAGATGTAAAGAGTCAGATGGCACCAAAAAAAGAAATTATTTTGGGGGAAGATCTGAAAGTTTAATAAGTAACTCGTTAATAACTGTGTCATTTCCTGGTTAATTCCGCGACATGCACTTTTACTTTAGGGCAATCCGAATTTTTCTCAAAGAGCACGATCTGCATCGTTTTATAAACTGACGAATTTCAATGTCGAGCAACCATGTTTACCTTCTTGTTTCTCAAGTCTTTCAATTTAGTAATTTTGTCATTTCTGTCCTGGGTAATTCCTCCTCCACATGCACTTTTTCTTCTGGAAATCGAGATTTGCTTGCTTTTGCCGAATGGGAGGATCTGCATCATTTTATAAATTGACGAATTTCTTTGTTGAGCAACCATGTTTTGCTTCTTGTTTCTGAAGTCCCTCATTTTAATAATATTGTCATCCCTTTCCTGGTTAATTCCTCCTTCACATGCACGTTTAACTTCTGGTAAGCTTGCTTTTGGTAATTCTTAATTAACGAATTTCTTGTTTCATTGCTTCTGAATACGGTTTACATGGTCTTAACACTGTTTTACATCTTTGGTCTGATTTGACTCTGCTTTCCAATGGCAGTGTTTGTTATTATTTCTCGTTAATTGCCATCAACTTAAAAGCACCTCGACTTAGTTGATTTTATACTTGCAAGGCAGATCTTAGGTAGAACGCAAGTTCAGTATCTTGTGAGGCAGTTATCTTATATCTGTATTGTTCAACTGTTGGCGTAGATAATGGGATTGCAATTCTTTTTTGTTGTCCGCATCATGCCAGTTTACATGTTGAAGACAGCAGCATTAGTAGACTTTTGCTGATTGTAAAGTAAACTGAACTAGCTGGATTGAAGGATGTTTTTAGATTAAGTGAATGTTGTATGTTTTTCAATATCAACGAGCAAGGCGGTATATGCCTGTGTCCATTTCACATGTATCAATATCCTACTTTGTGTAAATTTATAGTAAATTAAATGTGTGGTTCCATATTACAAAAAGTACTCAAAGCTTTAACGTTTTTAAAAACCTAGATGTAAACTGTAAGATGGGATGTTTGTTTATTTTCTTTTTCCAGTAGGTCGATGTTGGACTTTTTTAGCTTTTACATCGACATTGGTGTTCATTATGATTTTTTAGTTCAGTTGAAATTTGTGCCATATGAAGCGAACCCAGGTAATCAAGTGTAAAATAGTTGTATCTGGATATCAGGCAAGTAGCTTGTTTTAGACGATCGCAATCATAATGACACCAACACTCGATTCCATATTTTGAAAACATAATATATGAGACAATAAATGTGATATAATCATTTTCGTGTAATACTCAGTTGCCATTCGAATGCATTTTGTTACTGTTAAGTATCTATTGCACGTCCACAACTTAAATCACGTTTAATCGTAACTAGATTGTTATTAACTAAATGGCCGAAAAGGGGTGCACGTTTCATTCTCCAAAATCTGTTTTCATTTGCAATTAAATGACACGACAATGTTCTCTTTCATTAACATCTTTCGATTTACGTTCTTAACATCACTTGATTTGCCAAAACCGGACCAAGCAACTGCCAGTGTAGACACTTAAATATTGCAATATTTCTTGTGTTTTTAGAAATTAAAAACTACCAAAACCCACTATTGCAATTTTGTGAAACCAAGCACTTGAGCTCTCTAAGCAAAGATCTGTATTAAATTGTCGTTATTTTTTTTAAACGGCAACTTTTCGGATATAAAATGTTTGATGTTAAGTAAAAGTGTTTTGTGTGGTATAATTGGAGCCACTTTGCTCTGCCTGAGCTTGTAGTTTTATAGTTTCGGTTTCCTTTATTCTTATTATCGAAGATTTTACCGACATTAATTATGAAGTTACTCCTTTCTCAAAGTCCATGTTTTTGCGAAAACAGCCACAATGTGTGAACACTTTTCCTCTTCCAATGCAACATGCGATTCGGAATTGATTTGATATTAAATGGTAGTTCTAAATGGCAATATTAATTTTTATTTAATTATCTTGCTTTAAGCTGCATGTGCTGTCGATGTGTGTTTAAGGTATAGGTGTTGGTTCTGCATTTGATAGCGCAAATCTAACTAAATTTTCACATTTAGGCTATTCGCGCTATGTTAAAAGTAGAGCAAGCAATACTAGGGATTTACCTGCCTGATATGTTGTAATTGTTCACAAAATCACGTTTTGACTGGTTGTGATGATAGTATTCCATTACGGCCTTTGTAAAATGTTTTTTTAATTTAGTTTTATCGAAAAAAAAATGTTAATTACCAAGTGTGATAAAATTGATCTGTGAATCCAAATGATGAAAAATATGTATGTATATTGAATCTATTTGATTCAACTAACGATTGTCTGAGCCATCCAGTGAGAAAATTATTGCGTTTGGAGATGCTAGTACCTTTTAGAAAATTAAAGAATTTTAATGTTTTGAAGGTCTTTTTTAAATGCTATCATTCATGACTGCTTTGAATCACATACTTAGGGAATTGGACTTTTATTTAGGAAATTTTGTACCTCTGTTTTTGTTTTATTCGCACTATTTTTAAGATTTATGTTCTAGCTAATGAATCGCACAGATTAAAGTCCAATTCGAACAACTTTGTGTAATAAAATTTCCTGTAATTTATGTGCAATTTAACTCTACGTCATTACTGTAATGTTAAAGCTAATTATTAAGAGAATAAAACAATAAATAACGTTTATTTACTCTGAATATAAAGTAATTTTTTAACTACACAGCTTAGAACTTGGAATAATCGTGACTTAGGCCCTAAAACGTTTTTCAATGTGTACCATATGTGGATATATCGTAGATCTCTTTATAATTAAGATTCACATCTTAACTTTAGTGTGTATATATGTAAACAAATGGAATATCTTTATTTATGCTTTATATTTATTCAGTATACTCCGAACAAGCTTAATGTAATTTTCAATGTTGTTGGATTTATTTTGTAATATTTTTCATTTATAAAATTTGTATTTTTGTTTTAATAAATAAACATTTCAAAATGTTTACATTCCTTTATCTCAACCGCGATCTATTTCAAGTTTTTTCATGTTGATGTACAGGTGAGTCTGCAACTATTGAATATTTCCAGCTTTGTAAGTCATTTCGTGGAAAGTGAATTAACGAAAAACTTGTTATCGTTAATCCATAGATAAAAATAAGTATAATATTGGTTGAGGCTCATTCCTATTTTTAAGAGTTTTTCGTTGGGTAATTCGCATCAAAACTTTCAATCTTTGGAAAGAAAATTTCCTTACATTTTCTAAAACGAATTGACTTAATAAATGTGAGGTCATTCTGTATTCGAAAAAATGTACAACGAAAACGCTTTGATAATTGTCAGTAGAAAACTTGTGTCTGTCTAAGTGTTAACCAGAAATTCGCTCTTCAGCAGACGTTTAGTGTTTCTTCTATATTTCTTAGCTGGACGACCATCGAGTCGAGTTAAAAAGTGAAAGAAGTGTTGAATTGCAATTTTTTAAAATAATTTTTTTGAACAATAACTGATTTAGTTTCTAGGTGAAAACCAGAAGTCGAAGAAAAGCTATTCAAAAGTGATATATTTTCAGGTAAAGAATCGTTAACCCTTGATAGACCATTCGAAGTATGCAATTAAATTGTTAAATTTTGTCTCGTGAGAATAATTTTAAAAACTTACCGCTCGTAATAATAATACAAATCAGCCGGTTTAAATTAAAATAAATTATTTTTCCACACTGATCGCCCGAAACGCAATATATTTAAAGTAAATTAAAACACCCAAAAAGTATAATTTGAATAAATTATCAGCTTTCCTGTTTATGTAGTACTTACTGAAATGTTCAGGGAAGGATAGAATCCCACATAACAAGCAACCAAGTAAAACTGTCCTCACTGGTATTGAAACGATTATATTATTTACATACATAACTAAATTTAAACTATTTCATAAAAAAAGTAACAAGAAAAATTCCAAAGATAGCTATTTAAGAATACAATTTGAAAGTTTCATTCCCATATAATATGTTCTTGCGAGATTCAAGAATTAGCTAGGAGTTAATTCATGCGGCTGTGTCAAGAGAAAACAGTTGGGTCAAACGTCTTGTCCAAGCAACATGTTAAATTAAATAATAGTGCAAAATACTAAGCAGGTTTTATTTACAAGCCAGAACAAAAAGCTGCAAATTTTCAATTTGAAATTGGCACAATAGTGAACAGTTTTGAAAAGTTCAGTTTATTAATGGTTGAAACTTGTAATTTCGTAGTGCAATCATGGAAATGAATTTATTCTGCGGAAGTTTATCACACTTTTGCTACTCCAGTGAGCGGTGACCTTTTTGTTCCTTTTAAAAATACATATTTACTTAGTCCTGTAATTTAACGTCTATTCAATCACATTTATTAAAACATTAGTAATTTCATATCAATAAGCCTACAACTAGTCATAATCTTATCCGTAGTTACTAGCACCTTCATTTCTTTTATATTGGAATTCCAGTAATAGTTGTTCCACTGGGGAGGCTATTGTTTATATAATGCGCAATTCCCCAACAACTCAAATATTACTTAAGTTTCCATTTCTGTTTTGTTCGACTAGATGTGAACCAAGTCCTTAGAACGTAATTACACAATATTATCGTCGCACTCGTAATTTGAGTGTGGCAAGTCTTCAACGGAGCAATTAGACTGGTTTTCAATCACGTCTACTTCAGGTTTAGTTTCGTTATCGTCATGTTCGAAAGGATTTCCATGATGATGTTCAGCGTTATCTTCATCATGCCGATCCGAATTGTGAATCAAACAATCTACGATAGGGAACACATTACTACAACTACTGTAGTCGCTAGTACTCACTGTGTCTATAGTGAAACAGAGAATAAAAATATTATTTTTTATACACATTCACCCTATATCTGGTTCTATGTCAATTATTTTCATGGAGAGTTCTCGGTTTAAAATTCCTGCGTTTTTCTTAAGCAATTTTTTCGGTTTTAAGTTATTATTTGGATTTGTTGGGCTCATTTTTAACAACCAAAGGCAGGAAGTAATTAGAACTGATTGGAGAGTACTTTTTGCTAAAATTCTATGAGCTTTCAGTAAATGTTTTCCAGAAAATTACTGAAAACAAACCATTTGAACCACTGTGAAACTCATTTGGAATTCTGTAACATTAAATTTATTTACAGTGTCTTACTACTATCAAAACTGACTCGGATGTAAATGGGTATAGATTTTATTTCGAAATAAAGGACAGGTTTTGGAACTTATTTTCAGAAACTTGGCATTTTTTAATAGGGAAATTATTGATTCGAAATTGACGACTTCTTACGAATTTTTGAACGAAAGGCTTTTTCCAATACGAATTTTTAAAACATTTTCTTTTTCGAACTGTGTGGTATTAGAAGCGTGGTAGTTTTTGCACCTTTCATTCTTCTGCCATAAGCAGAGATTTTTTGGCGAATTTTCGAATAGGCTTTTTGATGCATTTTTTTCCAGTTCAAAAAAAACGGGGGGTTATAGATTCGTGGAAGTTTTTGCATTAAATAGACAAATTATCGTTCCGTTTTTCTGTCATAAAAGCAGGGAATTCTTGACAAACTTCCAAATGAAGTCAAAGTTTTCTTTCAAATAGTTAGTAAGCCGAAGCTACTCCAAGAATCTGTAATGTGGAATTTTGATTTTCTGAAAATTAAATAAAAACAGAATGGCAAACAGTTTTTTCAAAGTACTAGAATTTCTTAAGTTAGTCTTTCTCATTTGGGGATTGTCTTACACGAAAAACTAAAGGGAAACCAATAGTAAAATACCAGCTAACGCATTGAAGAGAACCTTTTACCAAATGGCTTTCACATAACGAAAATATTTAAAAACCGACTTACCACTAGAATCAGAGCTAGCAACACTTTGCCAGTCGTGCCTTTCCGTATTAATGCTATGATGATCCGACGCCGTAACAACACTGCGACCCTCCAAAACCTGTGAAATTGATCTCGCGGCCCTACTGAAAGGATTCTCATTCTGAATCTAGAAACCCAAATAAATTGCACTCAATTAGACCTTTCGCTTTCGTCGATTTTTTCGAAATTACCTCGAAAGTTCCACCCTGAGTCACCCTAGGGCCAGATCTGATTAAAGGGGTCGTATCCTCTGAATCACTGTCGCTGTCCGACTCCTGATGCGGTTCATCATGGGCAAATACTTTTCGCTTGCAAATCGGACACACTCGCTTATTTTTCGTCAGCCAGGGATCGATGCACTTCATATGATATACTGAAAAATAAAAAATTAAAACTGGTTATACTACTCTGATACTACTTGAATAGAACCATGGGTTTTTGTTTTCTTATTCGATTATTATCTGTATATTATTCTAAAATTATGCTATCTCTCTTTATATTTGGTGTTTTTACATTAGACAGTTTTTAGTTTTTGCATTTTTTTTGTTGTGAGTTGCCCAGAACGGATGTTCAACAACGCAGAGTTGTTCAGAAAAATGGCAAAATTTATTGAAATTCTCACAAAACCATAAAGCTGTTTATGCTAGTTTTACTGAGAGTTCAAAGTGCAGGCAAATGAAGCCAGTTGATAAATTTATTGCATTTGAAGAGAGGAAATTATCTATACCAACATGGTATGATAGCTGGTGAACAACCAATTTTATACCTTGACTTGGCTTGATTTTATTGGCAATAATAATTAAACTCCTAGTTTCACTTACCATGATTACAGGGCAAAACTCTCAGTTTCTCCCCTTCAATATAGTCCTCTAAACATATCGCACATGTTTCGTATCTGTCGCCTTTTTGAAATTTACAAGTCGGTATTTTGTTCAGCTGGGATTTGGGTAGCCGGTATCGCCTCTGTCGTCTCCGATCTTTTATATATTTGACAATCTAAAGTACAATTAAATACTCTAATTAATATGGTTGTGCTATCGGATAGGCGCTGGATACGGATTTGTTTAAGGCAAAAATATCGAATGTTTAGTTTATATTATTTTTATGTGGCTAGTTATTCGCTTTAATATTTTTCATTTGTTTCTACTTCTTCACTCATTTGCATTTTTTGTTATAGACTCACATTAAGTCCTGTTTTGCAGTTTTCCCAAAAGCCTTATATCCATCCATTTCATAAGAAACATTATCAAGCAATGACGAAACAGCAAATATTTGGAGAGTCAACAATGTATTAATTAGTTAATAGATACGATTCGATAAAACCGCCTTAATAAACAACTCCGTTATGCGAAAGGGCAAGGTTTTAATGTCGATATGAGCTTACGATAATCCATGTTTTGTCTTACCATAAACACTATCATAACCACCATACATATGCCTACAACAATTGCAAACGGAATCAAAAGATGCGTCTGGATGTTAAACGGGGTGTCAGCAGTGATGACCACAATATAGTCCCAATTAGCATAACCGGTCAACATGACTCCCGACGACTGACTGACAAACACTGATGGTATTGTAATTCCAGTTGAGTTCTTAGCTGACATGGGTACCAATTCATTGGAACCCACATTATAGACGATAATCGCATTGTAGCTGTAAGGTAAAAGGAATATTTATACAAAATGGTAAAAGTCCAAATACTTAATCTATCGTGGTAATTGCTTGTAACTGAAGAGTTTTTCGGGCTTTTGTTGCTTGAAACTGATGGTTTTCTCGGCGCAGCAACTACGCCTAAAGATGCTAGCAACTCGTTCTTGTGAAACGCCAAGAAGAAATTCTTTTCCACGGCGGCCTAAAACTCCAAAATACTCTTCAGTCACAAAAAATGGCTGGATTAGGGCGACATTTCTATGCGGATTGGAATAGCCGGCCACACAAACTTAGACTTCTTAGATAATTCAAAATCGATAACTAAGCCGGTTCGTCTTTGCAGATACAGAACACTGTTGGTTTTACAAAAATTTGTTAATTTTCTGGTGATGGAAAATAAATTTTAAAAACTAAAAAAAGTCAATCATTTAAGCAAAAGCTCGTTTACATATCATATTACAACGTTAATTTATACAACGTTATTTTAGCTGTTCTAAATTAGTTTTTCTGAAATCCAAACAGATCACTACAAGTTTAAAACGGCTACTGAACACTACAAAAGAATTATGAATATAAAAATTGATCAAAATTGCCAGTACATTAATAATTTTCGTATATTTTTTCCCAAAATAAACGTCTTTGTTTATATTATATTATAAAATTTGTCTTCGCTACTCTTACCCATTAAAAACTATTGTGTGATTCAAAGCACTAATCCAAGCTTACCCTTTCAGTTGGGCCATTCGCACTTTTCGTTCGAAAGTACAATTTGCTTCTGATGTATATCTTGGTACCAACAGTATGTCCGCTCTCCAGCTGCGTTTGCCAGACGGTGCTGGTTTTAAGCTTTCGTTACAAGCATGCGAAGGGATCGCATTCACGATCGCCCCGCGAACAGCTAAAGAAAAATATTTAATCAAACTCAGCTTACAAAAAACGACAATCTATTGTTTAGTAGCAGAATTTCCCAAAAACAATGTCGTTAATCGCGTTTTACCAAGACTTTAACTTTTTGAAGTAAAGACGTTACTTTATCGAAATTTTATTTACTCAGTGGCGCAATTACTTGCATTTTTAATATACTGGAAACACCCATATCTACGCCTATAAAAATTGTTTAATTGCAACAGTAGGATAACTCAATCAAACACGTCTAACTAATAAAGTATAGGATTTTTAATAAGTGATACTATTCCTCAGGTATTTTTAATATGAAAAGCCCATATAGGCAAAGCCTTACTTATCGAGCTACAGTCTACCAAATAATCTCCAATTAATCCTGCCCACACGTTAACAGAAAAGTGTGTTTGGAAATGTGATACCTGTATTGCGTGTGGCTTTTCTTGACCACAAATAATTGTTGTGAAAATTGCGTAAAATAGCGTTGCGTGAGAGGCTTGCTTCTTCCGTAAACAGGATTACGAATTAGGCAAAACAAAAATTAAATTTAATTATTTAATACCCTGCAACTGCATAAGTAAGGCCTGGCGGACCGATGACTATATGGACTTTTTATCTTAAAAATACCTGAAGAATCTCACTGTAAAATATCGGCTACTTATTAAAAAATACCCTGGATGCAACTAAGAACGCGTCAACTTACAAAAGAATTTCTATAAGCTTACAAAAAGATTTTCAATTACTTTCTTATGTTTCTTTCTTAGCTTATTTGCCACGTGAATGTTTAACATTTCATTTATATGGGATTCTGTAAAATACCTATATCAGAACATCAATGCTTACATAATGCAACCGACTGACCTAAGCCGAGCTATCAGAAGTGCAGATAATAAACTCACCAATGCACAGTTTCGTTACTTTATCAAACAAATTGCAGGATGACTTATAATTGAAAAGCTCCTATTGCGAAATGCCAGGTGATGCGAGTATTAATCACACTTATACTTACGACCATCCGAGAGATCTGCCCCGAACGATGAAGGAGCATCAACAAATTCTTCGTAGAAGAACTCTGAATTCTAAAAGGGTCATATTTATGAAGATTACTAGACAATCGCTTCGGGAATTATACGGATACTTACGTTTTTAAAGGCATATATCTCAGCTTCACTGACATAGATCTGCTGAATGCTCAGTAACGCTACTACTAGGAAAAACATTTTTAATAAGTCCGCGATTATTACTTGCTTACATTAGATAGATATTTTAAAGTCTCTTGGTGATGCACTGGCAATCAATATCACATTTCCCGAGCCTAATGCTATTATTCAATTGATGAACACCACAATAAATCAGCAATTACTGTTAGTCACCAGAAGTAATTGGAATTTTTCTTTTCTAAAAGTACCCTGTGTCAAAACATAGTCAACCAATTTTCGCTTATCAACTGCGTCTTACCACCGAACATCACTTTTCTCGCGATCTAACGGGTCAAAACTCACTCAACTTCACGCTTTGTTTTGTACTGTTTAAAATGACGTTAAAACAATAACAAATATACAATTTTTTCATACTAATAGAGTGCAATGAGGAATTAAAGCAAAAACATTCTCATAAAACTCATTCGTTGACAGAACCAGTCAAAACAAAATCTGTCAAAAGCAGCTGTTTACGGTTTTTACAGGCATTACGGGGGTACGATCAAAAGCAAAACTCCATCGTACACCAATGTTTATTAATTTATTTTCAGGAAATTTAATAAAGTTATATCGTAAACAAGGAAACATTTAGCCGATTTAAATACAATTTTTAAAATTGTATTTAATAAAAATGCGCTGTTTGGACAAGTTTTATTAAACCACCCACATATTCATTAAGAGTGGTTCAATCCAATTTTCGACCACACTCTACTCCTTCCTAATTTAGGTCATAGATGAAGACTTAGGTTATGAGAACAAAAATAAACAAACCGTCGTTAGCAGGAAGTTTTATAAAATTATTGAATGTTTAGGTTTCTATTTCCTTTCGGTAATGAATAAACAATACAGTTTGGAACCGGAATGTCACAAAATATGGTAAAAGGCACATTCAATTCTAACTTGGCAAGCACTGACTGCTCTCCATTGTAGCATGGTATCGGATTTTTTCTTCCCAAACATGGGAGGAGTAGAAGAACACATCTTCAATCTATCCCAGTGTTTGCTTCTAAAGGGACACAAAGTGATTGTTATGACCCACAGCTATGAAGACCGAGTGGGAATTCGTTACATGACAAATGGCCTGAAAGTTTACTATTTGCCTATAAAAGTATTCTACAATCAATGCGTCCTGCCTACGATGATTTGCAATATTCCTCTTATAAGATACATTCTTTTACGGGAAGAAATTCAGATCATTCATGGGCATTCTGCCTTTTCGGCGCTGGCACATGAAGCGATGTTGATCGGCAATCTTTTGGGATTAAAGGTATTCGAAGCATACATGTGGAAAATTGAGTCAGTTGGATTAGAATTAGGAAAAACATTCATGCTTTATTGTGTCCAAGAATGAGACTCAAAAAAGAAATTCCATTAAGTCTTGCGGTCTTTAAAACTGGAGGAAGACGCATGTAAAACGTTGATTTTTGCAAAGTAAAATAATTACTACCTGTTATCTTCGAAAAAATCAAGTGACTCAAACTACCAATAGACACCCCTTAGATTATGTTTTCTTATACTATAATGTATTTGTATTTTTTCAGACTGTATTTACTGATCATAGTTTATTCGGATTTGCTGATGCCAGCGCGCTAATCACGAATAAACTGCTGGAAATGTCTTTGGCGAGTTGCAACCATTGCATATGTGTGTCTTACATTGGGAAAGAAAACACAGTTTTAAGGGGAAGAGTTGATTGCAAACGAGTTTCAGTCATTCCAAATGCCGTGGACACATTTTCGTTTACTCCCGATCCAACTCAAAGGGACCAGTCACAGAGTAAGTCGTTGATCTGTTTGTTTATGCAAATCTAAAAGGTACCCTTTTGTAGTTACGATTGTGGTGGTTTCTAGATTGGTTTATAGAAAAGGCGTCGATTTAACGGCCCAAGTGATCGGCGATATTTGCGATAAATACAAGGAGGTCAATTTTTTAATAGCTGGAGATGGGCCAAAGAGATGGTAAGTGCGAGGCACTTATAGTGATTTTTATTAAAATTCGCGATCTTGAAGGCTACTGGAAGAAATCAGGGAGAGGCGCGGCTTGCAGGACCGCGTTCTTTTATTAGGCGCTCTGGAACATTCGCAAGTTAGAAACGTGCTAGTTAAAGGGCATATTTTTTTAAACACCTCATTAACAGAAGCGTATTGTATGGCAATAGTTGAAGCAGTTTCATGTGGGTAGGTACAATTAATTAGAAAAAAATTATTTTGCCTAATTTTTTTGTTTTTGGTTTTTTAATGTTAGCAAATTGAATGGAAATTTGAAATTTGCACCATCTTTAAAGACTCTTAGCTCTACAGATATGGAGAGTTTAAGAAGATTAATTATTTTAAATCCGTCTGCCATTTAGTTGTTTGTCTACCTTAGTTTCAATTTATTCAATGTCTTAGTTACGGACCTCCATCTCAACTGCGCAATTTTAAATGCTGCTTTTATTACAGGCTGAAGGTTGTTTCTACAAGAGTTGGAGGCATTCCTGAGGTTTTGCCTGACGATCTTATAACATTAACTGAACCCACAGTACCTTCTCTTCTGGAGGGTAAGTAATATATGAAGTAAGCTAATGTGGAATTGCTTTCTATTCCGTTGCTGTGAAATTGCTTTTAAATGGAAGTTGATTACAAATTAACTGGCTCTCTTAATCATTTTTTAAGCCCGAGTTAAAAGAGTTAAAAACGACAAAAGAAAAAATGTAATAAGAATAATCGAACATCAATAGAAAGTTTAACGGCGTTGACTACTAACTAAAATCTGTTGTATGTTCTCTTATGTTGATTAACTGTGGTAGATACATTTTAATTATACACATATTTATTAACAGACTTGAAACAGATTAATAAAACTAAACCAACTAATTTCGATAAGAAATTACTATTCGAATCGTGTTTTTGATATAATTTCCTTTTTAGGTTTGGATAAAACAATTCTAGAGCTGAAGCGAGGCCAGTTTGTCTGTCCTTATGCTTGCAATAAGAGGACTGAGAAATACTATAACTGGCAAGATGTATCCACGAGAACACAAATTGTATATAATTCCGTGTCCAAAGAAGAGCCGAAAAGTCTACGTAAAATACTTCATAGGTAGGTGGATCTGTTTAATCATCATGAACTATTCTTAACGATTATTTTGTTCTTTTCAAGTCAATTGGGTAGTGGTGTTTGGCCTTACTTATTGGTCATATCATTGGCCTTTTTAATATTGCAATTTTACGAATTTTGGGTGCCACGAAAGGAGATTGATATAGCTAGGAACTACAAGTGCAGTAAAAAAACCCACGTTAAAGAAAAATGGAATATTTAATACACATTTTAGGTAATTTATTACATCTTCCAGTTATAACAAATTTCTAATAGTTAATAATAATTTAAAATAAATATTTTATTCTTAAGCAATGAAAAATAAATACAATTTAGTTACTAAAATATGAAATTCATTGTACTAAGTTCGTTTATAAACAACTCTTTAATATATACGCACATTTTTTTGCGTATTAAAAGTACAGGGCGTTGGAATTTAAACCTATCAAACAATATTAATTAAGTCCCGTGCTCGATCATTATTTTACAAACCCGCAATTTGCAACAATTTTCTTTAATGCCTTATAATGTTTCTTTTGAGGTAATTTAATTTGATCAATATTTTTTGCAAGTCGCTCGTTTGAGCGTCTAAGAAAACTATGATTTGGGAAATATTTTTTAAAGAGTTTGTTGTTAATTTAAGGAAGTTTTTCATTCCGATCCCTTTGCCCCTACTTAATATGCAACAAAATCAAAGTTTGCAACATGTAATTTGTCTATACAATAAAGTGTTTGAGACACTTTTACAATTGCAGTTACAGTAAACCGTGTAGTAAAAATTGGGTTCTCAAAACAATTAGGCCTGATCAAGTTCTTTGATTAAGTACACGTAAATAGGGTGGTCGATAATAGACAAAGACACAAAAACATTGCAATAAGATCGTGTTTCGAAAAGCGTTTTAAAACAAGCATGCGCGTCTCTTTGGATTAAGTTTAAAATGTTCACAGGTAAAGAGAGGCAGCCACTACAATTTATTTAGCGAAAAACCATTCTTATTGCAACTGTAAGTCGACCACACTATGCTTTTGGTTTAGCATGGAATATATAGGGGAATGTAAACGCCATTTTCTAGATTACATTGTTTGATATTGTGGTACGTTTTGGTCCACACAGGTCTATAATATTCCAGTAAACCAGCGATACAAATTTATAGAATATGTTACCTGAAAAACCCAATTTAGAATCAATTGCTTATGCTTAGGAGGTGCTGGTAAAACAGCAGGCTTTACTTTAGAATTAATTTATGTGTATTTACTGCTTTTGATACATTTTTGATTTGTTGTGGATCATTTTCTTCTTCTGCTGATCTCTTCTGGAAATCTCAAATAACATCAAGTAAATAAACATAATTATGTCTTAGATAAATTAGCCAAAGCTTGACTGTGGCGTATCGTGCGATCACAGTTGGAATATCAGGCCGCATTAAGTTTTTTTTTAAATAGCCCTGTATTTATTTCAGAACACAGCAGCTTGGACTAGATAGACAAGTTCTTATTTTTACACTTATTTCGATAAATTGGTTAAGCCAAAAGTCTGGATATGGCGTTCATCCGTCTGGATATAGTTGTTTCTTTAAATCAGGTTTGGCCGGTAATATACTAAATATTGCTATACCAAGTCGTAAGTAATACTAATACAGTTTTTGCCAAAACAACTTACGGAATAGGGATTTTATGGCCTTTAATTAACCTATGCGATAGTTTAAGTACGCATTACAAAGCACGCCAGGGCACAATTCTTTCTAGTTTTGTATTGATCTTGATAGAAGAACTTTTTAATAATCAATGATGAAACACTTTCTTAGCTTCCAATGTAAAAAGGGAGCTCACTAATGTGTCATATGTGTTCTTTTGCCAGTTAGCATTTTGTATGCTAAAGCCATCAGCCTTCTAAAAACGAAGGATGAATTGTCTTCCCGCTACTAAAGTGTGGGAATTGTGATCGAACAAAAATTCACTATGAGTTCCTAAACTAAAAAATATGTTATATGACAAGAATTTAATTTTTTTCTCATCACTGTTTGATTTTGCAGTCAAATCATTACCGAGTGCGTTTAGAATTGAGGCGTTTAATTCGATATTATTGGATGTTATTAGCATTTTTAGGTTTCACATTGAGAAAATCGATCATGGTGTAGCTATTTACATTTGCATCTAATCCGTAGGTTGTTTGCACAGTACAAAGTCCAAAAGTCTTTCTAAAATATGTTTCATTTCGGCTAATATACAAATAATCATATAGACGATCACTATAAAAGACACTAAGGGGTTTTTTATTGTATGCTAGGTCTGGTCCTCGTGGGGTTCCTTTTGATCAGGCGTTGTGCAATTCCAAGACAGTCTCTTGTGAATACTGGCATCTCTTGAATCATTTTTCTGAAATCGAATTTTCCTATTGAAAATGTCCATTTAAACGCGAATTTCGGTATGTTGCGTGTAGAGTTTTTTCTTATCTGATTTGAAATTTGCTAGACTTCCATTTAGACTTTTTAACTTCAGAGCTTTATTGGATTTTTTTATTATTTACGTTAAAGAAATAACTGTAAATTTTTCTTATAATTATAACAAATTAATTTATTATAATTATACCTTGATATCATCAACCAGTCCGGCTGTATGATAGCGATGAGTTCTTTTCATAGCTTGGCGATGCTGCCCTCTACTAAAAGATTCACAATTCTCGTCCAAAAGAGAAACTCCTGTGAATCAATGATTTACCGACATTAGAAATATGATTCATATTTGTTATCACTTTGGAACTTCCGGCAAAATTATATAAACCGGTCAAGTGGTTTTGCTACCAATAAGTTTTTTAATCTAAAAGAATGTTTTCTAGATTTTTGTATTGGTTTGCAGTATAAAATTGTTTAAAATTGAAGCATTTTTCAGGCATTTTTTTGTTGTGTGTTGATAATTAATTATTAAAATCACATGTTTTTCTTTGCCAAAAGTTCTTTGTGATAAATTGCGTCTAAAATCTAATGCATTCCCTAAAAAGGTGAAAATGTGGGAAATACACAGCACAACTTAGTGTGTAAGAAATAAATCATATAAACATTGTGTGCCAATCAACTACAGGCTCAGTTTTAACAATATAAAATGCATATTTTTATGATTTCAGTTTGAAATTTTGTTTATTTATTTTGTAAACCTTTATTCTACTGAGCTTTACATGATCTTAAATATAGAGCATGTAACTGTAAAAATATGCATTGTCATCAATTCAGCAAAACTAAACTAAAACATCTGTTGAGTGTAGAAAATGTTCAGTATGGGCCAAATGATTTCGGATGCCGCAACATTTGGCAGCAGTAAATATCGACCGAAGAAACGACATTTTATTATATTATGTCCTCTTTGAGAAAATTCTTTAAACAATTTTAGTTTTCAAAATATTAGCTTAACTCTTGTTAGGTTAAAATGAAAAGAAACCCACACATAATACCAAAGAAAAATTAAAAAATCTCAGATGAAATACCTAACAATAAGAGCGTAATAATAACGTAACAAGAGGCTCAAAGTGTACAATGATTTTTGCCCAATTATCACAGAAATTTCGAACGGTTTAGTGTTGCCTTATCTGTTCCGTAAAAGCGCCATATCCGTCCTGATTTTTTCCTTCATTTAAGATTGTTTTATATTTAATGTGTTCTTTTCTGTTGTTTGTAAATGTTTCATGTTACTGTGGGAAGAAGCAAACATAAATTGTAAGCCAAAATCAAAAAGTGGACAACTAAAACTCTAGAAGACGTTACAAGGTACGTCTAGACTCACGAGAAAACGAAATTACGTTGGCTCTTCTTCTACAGTGATAGTGACGTGAAAATAAAAAGGATAGAACATATTGAAATTGAATTTGTACAAGAGAACATTTCGATGTTTCTGCTCAAAAAGTTGATGTGGTCGCAGATCAATGATAATTTTACTTTATAAATTTTCTACTAAACTGTACATATTGCGCTCTCTTGAAACAGGAACCATAGCGTGCAAGTGAAGAACCTCAATGTACCAAAAACTGCAAGAACTGAAGAATAAGGTACCAAGTCTATGAAAAGCTATTATATTAGATTTGCATAGAACGCACAATCAACTGTTACAACACAAATATCCCCTAACGAACTACTTACAAGATGGAATTAAATATAAATAAGTGAAACGAAGAAATTGATGAAAAGTACACGTTTCAGAAAATGTCTGGAAATGGTAACCAGTTTCTATACAGGGCACCCGAAAAACTAGTGGTAGAACGTTTCTTAAAATCAATATCGGATGAATTACCGTTCGGTCCGGTACATGTAAAAATATTCTGGATTTCACATTATTGGGATACGTTGTGGATTTGTGGAATGTAAAAAATACGCACTTTATCTTCACATAAATCAACTTTTAGAGCAGAAAAGTATAAAAAAAATCCAAAAAATGGAACGTAGAGAGACGATAGATCGAGCAAATTACCTGCAATAACTGGCACGTCGAAATCTAAACTGGCTGGAACTTGACTCGAACATACACTCGATGTAGAATTCACCTGTCTGGTTTTGATCAGTGGCGGGTTTTTACTCTGTGATATGGCCAGACTTCTTCTCAGATTTCCCCTTGTGGGACTTGGTGGTGGGTAGGAAATTCCTCTGTGCGTTGGACTAAGAAGTTGACTTCCATTTTTGTTGCTCGGTACCTGTAAGTACTACTATTGAAACAAATTAAGCCCAAAAATGGGACTCACTTTTTTATAGAAATTCATCAATTTAAATGTTTAATCCCCATTATATAAGACAGTAGAAGTGTTCATTAAACGTTTATTATTAAGTCCCGTTTTCTTCAACGGCTCAAAGTAGTTTTATATTTTCTTTAAAGTAGATTTACAAATATTTTCTGTATAAATTCACTTTTAGTAAAAATGTGATCTAAAACAGGTATCTATAACGAAAAGCAGAGCCCACAAAAGTCGGCAGAGCCTCAGTCGCGGAGTATAACATTTTTTAGTTGAGTTTCTTAAGCAATCATATAAACGTTGCTCTCATTACATGAGTTTTGTCACAGAACTGCTCAACTTCACTTGATAACGTTCCTGCACAACATCAGTTTTCATTGCTAACAAGGAAGTTTCGAACTTTTATGACTGCTTCTGAGTGAGATTTTTAGTGACTTAAAAGGCAACTTCTACTATCGATATCGCATAAACTCGTTGGGTATTATTTTTTGATCCAATCAAAGATTAAATCGTGCATAAGATATGTCTAAAAGCAACTAAATTTCAGAAATCATTGAAGAATATATGAATATTTTCAGTTAAGAAAACAGTGTTTAACACCCACAAAAGATTTCTCTCATCGGCACCGTTAGGAAGCCATAGCTTTGGTACCAAACACTTAATTTTTCACTCAATTTTTAAGTGAAAGTAAGTATGTAAAATAATCCAAGTAATTCACCAATCACCCCCTTTCCTGCACTTACCGACAAAGTATTTTGATGCAAACTCAGACTGAGGCCACTTCCAATGTTGGGCGAGCCGAGCGTTAAGTTCGGCAAACTTTGCCCAAGACTGTTAACTGGTTGCACTGATAAAGTATTGGGGGTTTTATGGAAAAGTCGGTTTTTCAAGCTGCTTTTTTGACTGGTTGAGCCTTTCGTGTCGGCTGGAAGCGGTTGAAGTCCTTCGTCGCTCGATATGGAACCTGTTCGATTATCGTTTTCCACTGAAACTCCTCGCGACTGATCTTTGATCGATCCAACTGAAGACTGATCGTTCATTTCCACAGAACCACTGTTAAACAAACACATATTATTAGAGCTGCTTTTTAACGACAAAAACTGAACAGCCTCCATTATATACAGGGTGATTTATTTACTACGAGTTATAGCTACTTCATTAGTTCATGTATGACTGAACTATAACTATAACTCACCTGTGACTATGAGCCAGACTGGAAACTCTACTAGCTCTGGATGAGGAAGCCATTGGAGATCTAGGAGCTAATTGGAGATTATGGTAATCGCTTTCCAAGTTGTAGTCCAAGCTGTAATCGGTATCCAGACTTTCTTCGGCAGTGTAGCTCGTTTGTTTGGCTTGTGCGTACAGAGACTGGGCTTTCAGAATGCCATCTTTCCATCCCTAGACCAGCCAATAATTTCCCTTCAGTTTGTCCTCGGCATTCGGGAAAAGCGTACCTTGATTTTTTTCACATCGTTATTTTGCAGAATGAACGCTGCCACAGCCAAGTCGAATTCGTTGCGGTAGATTATTGCCAAACTGGGCGTTTCTCGGGTCAGTTCTTGCACCACCAGCCTGTCCACTAGATAAGGTTGTCGAATCACCCTCATAGTTGCCACGCCCTTTTTCGTGGAAGGTTTACAGATCAAGAGCATGTCGGTTAGTAGGAAACAGTGCACTTCAATCTAGGAAAAAAGCATCAGAAGTTTACAGGAATTTTAGTTAAGTACATGAAAGGGCTGGAAGAATTATACCATAATAAAATTAAGATATGACCCAATTTTTCTTAGCTCAAAAGTGAATGATTTCAGAGATTTAGAGTAAAATGTTGAAATTTTTCACATATTTGGGTTGAAGCAATTTGTTTCGACAGCAGTATGGCAATAACAAAAAGCAGCATTTATTTTACCGAAACTAATGACTCAACCTGATTCAAACGAACACAAAAAAACAGAGGCAAATTCAATCAAGCTCCAAAAACCGAAACTAATCGAAAAAAAATCACACGAACCCAAACGAACTAAAACTATTCCAAGCAAACCCAAATTTTCTTGGGGTTTGCACTAAAGGCTCCTGCTTCTCATTAAATTTTTGATACGTGTCCTTTTTGTGCACACGAATGTGGAGATTAATTCACTTTTTATTGATAAATCACGAAATACATTTTTTAAAGCATGATTTCGCAAAAACTGCTGCTCAGACTCTTTTACCATGGACACCTTTTTTGGGTAGAAAATGTTTGAGAATAAAAGAAGTTACTTATAAGAAACATATAGTGTGGCCTCAAAAAGTTGTTTCGTTTGAACTGTGTGCAATATTTTATCCGCCAGAATTTATGGGAGTATTTTTTCGGCTTCATATCGGGACCCTCTGTACATTAGAGGTGTATTTTAGGAACATAAATTGCCTCTTGCACATGCAAAAAACACATACTTAGTTCTTACAATTGCTTTTTTATTGCGTTTATTTTTTTAATTGGAGCTTTTCTGCTCTGTTTCCCAGTAGTGTTGAGGCAAGAAAACGAAGCGAAGCTAAATTGGTTTGTTCAAAATAAAATCTAATAACGTCATATGAAACTTGACTCTTGAGCCGATGGGAAAGTTTCAAGCAATTTCCGCGTACACATTCGATTATTCATTAGGGTTAATTTTGCGTAAACACTATCGGAAACTTGACCCACTCGAACAAAACATCGTTCTTCCGTTATTCAATTAGCGGGTAGGTCTAAGTAAGCGATTTAGTTCGGCTTAAATAAATCCATCATGAGCCGTTTTAATCAAATTTCGATCAAGATTGCTCCCGGCTGCCGAAGGCACTTTGCCCTTATTGCGCAAAAAATCAAGATCTACCGTTTTATAATGGTGTTGTCAGGCACAGGATGCGTTTTTTCTTCGGATTCTCGTTTGCATACAGTCAATGAACGAACGGACTTTAGCCAAACTAATCGATGTTTGCTTTTGAATTTTTCATCTTTAAACTCTAGATTCTAAAATCTTGTAGTTTTAATTTCTGCTTGATTGGTGCGCTGAAGTATTTTCTAACTAAAGCGTGCATAACTCAATACATTTTTCTTCATATTTTGTTGGATAAAGTTAATTTTATGAATGCGGAAGTACGATCGTGATCACAGTGAAGGATTTTGGCGGTTGATGTGGTTCTTAATGAAAAAACTATTTAGTTTTTTTTATCAAGGTTTCGGAAAAGTTCGTGCTTTCATTGTTAGAGAACATACTTTTAAAAAGTATTGAGTTTTCGGAAAATGGTATAACCACATCAGCGTTAAGGTTTTTCTTTTAAATGTGATATTATTTTATTCTGGATCTTTTTTATTAGCGGTTTTCTACCCTTTGGGTATAAGCCTCCCTATTCGGGATCTAATATAGTTTTGGTTTCATCGCCCAAAACCCATGCTGTTATTTTAAGAAACTAAAAAATTGTTTTTGGACAAAAATTGAAAATATTGCTTTTTCCAGGATTTGAGTTTTGCTCCAACCAAAACATTGAAATGCAAATAATTGTAATTTTATGTAATAACAATTATTTTTTTTTTAATGCTTATAAAATACTAAAAAGAATAGTTTTAATTAATTAGCGGTTTTTAAACTTTCATCTCCCTTAATAAAGTCAGTAACACAGCGATAACAAGGAATGTTTTCCCATTTCAGAAGAAAAGCGAAAATCCTAATTTAGAGGTCGCAGTGAAAAAAAGCAGTGACTTCTTTACTTGTCTGTTGAGAGTAATTACATTTGTCATGATTTAGTAGGTTTGCGAGTCGTAATAACAAAGCCGCAACAAGAGGAGAAATGTAGAAAAACAGGGAAATTAATCATCATACCTTGGAGGCCCCGCTGTCCTTTAACTTCAAGTCGCCCTCCAATAACAAATGGCGCTTCCTTTCAGGAGGACAGCCCAACATGGGACGAGTGAGGTCAAGCTGCGTGAATGACTTCTCCCTTTTCAGTATTCGCTCGATGTCATCGTCCTTGGATTCCTGCGGAATTACGAAGACGTTTCCAATTAAATTCAAGGAAGGGCGAACTTAATTCGTTACACAACCATTGATATTTGGTATTTTGTTAGCGGGCTTGGGGAAAACAGTTTCAATTAGGCCGGAGTGGTTTTAATTGAATTATTAACGGCCGTTTTTAAAACAGACAAACCAGAAAAAAAGTGCCGGGGAAACTTTCCTGCAAATGCGACTTTTTCGATAAACCTTTCTTGAAGTCAATTTACTAAAGCACGTTTTAGGAGGAACTGACAGGGCTCGCCTTGAGACACTAACTCAACTTCAGAATTAAAAGTTTTAAAAGAACTTACCACTATGTCGTAGCTTTCTATCCTGGCGATGATTCCCTTTAATCTTTCTTTATCCTGTCTTCGCTTTAAGCTGGAATTGACGTTGTTTACGAACTCGTCCACCATTCTTATCTGGAAGAAATCCTTCGATTAGTCGCGCTGAAATTGGATTTGAATAAACTCAGCTCTTCTACGTGTATTTGATCCAATTGTTAGCTCTAATATGCTTCCAGTATTAGCGATTTTTATTTTTTGATAGGTAGTGCCTTTTTACGGCGCGAATCAAACACTTTTTGCCTTTACACTGATTTTGCTTGAATGCTTTTGAAGATTAACTGGAATTAACTTCATTTATTAAGAGTTTAAGTTAATACTTTCTCGTAGTATTTTACGTCGAACTTTGAATTTGCAATTGCACTTCTTTAACTTTCCGCATCTTTAGAGTCAAGTGTGTTCGAAAAATTTCTTAATTCCAATTGCTTTCGTTTGGAAGATGCAAATTTTTAAAGTTAAGGGTTCAGTTGACCAAAAACAAACATTTTGTGACCGATATTTACTAAGGTGGTAAAAATCAGTATTATGGATGATTTTTATGAAAGTGTCAGTATCGTTATTCTCAAGGACCTGCTTAAGATAGTGAAAATTTAATAATTGTTTTTTTCACATAAATAATAGAAAGCAATGGAAATGAAAATTAAAAAAAAGACTCAAAAAACCTTTGGAGCTTTTGAATGGAAATTTTCTCTAATAAATGCGAAACTAAATATTCTTTTAGTAAACATTATAAATTATTTTGATAAACTGTTTTTAACTGTTGAACATTTTAAAGTTTGAGAAAAGAACTTAGAATCAAATGTCTTCTTTTTCTTCATGAATCTTATTATTTGCCTTTGGTTCGAAAAATATATTAATAAATAAACATTTTTACAAAATTAGATAAACTTTTCATTCCATCTTACTGGGTTGAACTCCCTACCAGGATTTGTAGCGATTTGGGGTCAATTGTTTTAATTGTTTATTTTCTCGTATTTTTTTAACAGCTCAACACTTTGAAAATGGAACGTGTTAATATTGCGCGCAACTTTCTTGGTTTATAAAAAACTTCAACGGCTACTTGAATTTACAATGAAACATGCATTTATTTGATCTGTTTAAACAATATTAAATATTACAAAAAAAACCATTCATCCAATTGTTAGGTCTAATATGCTTCCAGAATTAGCGATTTTTATTTTTTGATAGGAATAGAAAGTGCCTTTTTACGGCGCGAATCAAACACTTTTTCCCTTTACACTGATTTTACTTGAATGCTTTTGAAGATTAACTGGAATTAATTGCATTTATTAATAGTTTAAGTTAATATTTTCTCTTAGTATTTTACTCTTTTAATCTCCACATCTTTAGAGTCAAGTGTGTTCGAAAAATTTCTTAATTCTAATTGCTTCCTTTTGGAAGATGCGAATTTTTAAAGTTAAGGGTTCAGTTGAGCAAAAACAAATATTTTGTGACCGATATTTACTAAGGTGGTAAAGATCAGTATTATGGATGATTTTTATGAAAGTGTCAGCATCGTTATTGTCAAAGGCCTGCTTAAGATAGTGAAAATTTAATATGTCAGCAGAAATAATTGTTTTTTGATATAAATAATAGGAAGAAATGCAGATGAAAATTTAAAAAAATTAGATAAACTTCATTCCATATTACTAGGTTGAACTCCCGTCCAGAATTTGTAGCGATTTGGGGTCAATTGTTTAAATTTTTTATTTTAGTTTATTTTCTTGGTTTATAAAAAACTTCAACGGCTACTTGATTTTCGCTTAAAGAAAAAATACAAGAAACATGCATTTCTTTGATCTGTTTAAACAATATTAAATATTACAAAAAAACCGTAAAAAGCAAAACTAGGTTTTTAAATTTTTAATATTCAATTGCCGTCTATAATTTGAAAAATTTATCACACTTTAATTCTCATTATTACTCAAAAAAACCTTGCAAATCAACCAGAGATTTTTAAATCTAATTGTCGCTTTTCCCAATTCCCTAATTGGCAACTTCAAATAAAAACTCCCTCTATTGATGAATGAGCTTTTCGTATCAAAGTCCGTTGAACTTATTACTCTCGCCAATCACCTCAAATTAATTATTTTCACTTTAATATTGGATATTGGAGGCATAATTCTTTCACCCCCAATGAGGTCAAGACGAACGTTCACATATTTCACGGCCCTTTAATGTCTCGAGCCGATTTATTACGCGGACAGGTAAATTATAGGTGAAATTTTAGGGCTCACTAGAACATTGCCTCTCTCGGGACATTTACAAATGATAGAGGGTGTGCTTTGCTTTAAATTAACATTTTTTTGCCCGTGTAAATCATTAATCACTTTTGTCGTTCTTTATTAAGAACTATATTACAAAGCGTTTGTATGAGTAAAGAGTGTGGATAGAAACAGGTTATCGGGACAATCGGTCTTTGTGATTTTCAATTTTCATACAAGATTTTTGTTTAAGAAATAAACATCTTTTACGATTGAACAATTAACAAACTACCAAAAACACCAATACTTAATTTGAATAATAAGAACATTATCAGTTTAAAGAACATTCTTCTATTGAATTTTCTATTCAATGGTGTATGAAGTAGTAAAATCTGATGGTTGGTTCTGAATTTAGACGAGAAAATGTGCCATGTTAAGATGGAAATATTCATCCAGGAAATATCTGGTAATTTATTGATTTAGTGTTTTTAAATTTATTTGGTGAATTGTTTTTTAAAATTGAAAATTGTAAAAAAAATTGAAATTTTTATCTTCGCCCTTATTCGTTAGGCAATTTGTATTTTATGTACGATTTGTGCACTCTCTGAGGAAATTTTCACTTTTGCAACTCAAGAAAATAAAGCGAACTGTTAAGCGAGTTAATATGGATTTTTAATAATGCAGCAAGAAAAACTGATTAGAACATTTCTACAGGAAACTGAACTGCAGTGAATTTTTCAACACTTCACCATCTCAACTAGCACTATTTCATGAAAAGCGCATCGGGACAAAGAACGCTTTCTGAGCTTCAACTTTGCAGTCAGCAGAAACAAACCACGAAGTCATTATTTTACATCAAAATAAAGACAAGTCAGACAAAAACACTGCAATTTATCGGGCGCAACTTGTCGTGAAAATAATTAGAATCATATTTTCATGCAAATCCTAGAAAATCTGAAATTTAATGAATAATTTAGCGAAAAGCATCGGAAATTTAAACGAACAAAACCCTGTTACCACCGGTATTAAATTAAATTTAATGTAAAAGGTTATATCTCAAACAAGTATTAAAAACGTCGTAAATTCCCAACAGAACTCGTTACATTAATATATGTTTCTGCTTCGCGGTTTTAAATTAATATAAAAAAGTACAATTTAATTTCGTTCCTGGATTCAGGAATGGGATTAAACGTGGGAGAATGGCACTGAATTTCATTGTGAAATTTATCATGATTTATGGTGACATTCGTAGAAGTGGGCAAAGTAATCGGAAGGCTTAATGAAGACAAATCGCAAAACATTGAGGAGTTATTTTTCACCGAGGAAGTAAATATGAAACAATAAGTTTCAGGTCGGTAAATACAAGTCTAAAGTAGAGACACTTGATTAGGGATTCAAAATAGTCCGCTGCCGGCGAGTGATTTAGTGTGCAATTTAAAATTTAATTTCAAGTAACTCTTATTGCACTTTACGACTGATGTTTCTGGGAACTTCTAAATACCTCAAAAGTAAATAGTTTGTCAGCAGTTAAATTCTCATTGCATGAGGACTTAGCAAAGGGAGTAAGAGCTTTAGGTTTCTTATAAAGTTGCAATGTTTTTTTGCGTAATTTTGCAACTTAGATGAAATCAAATGCCAAAATGTGCTGGTTTTTTAAATAAAATATGTTGATTTTTTCCCAGTTATGTGCAATATTCACTAAATCAAATTTGAGTAATTTGGAAACGCTCATTTAGATTTAGAAAGTTTTGTTTTTTTTTTCAAAAATTGCAGCGAAAATACTTTTGTGATTGAAATTATTAGTTGATAGGGAGGAGCTAGTTACATAGCCATAACAACTGACTCTGCAACCAGAGTACCGAGAAGACACCAGGCATCAGCAGAATACCAAGAAGACACCAGGCATCAGCATTTGACGTGTCAGCAGTTGCGTTTACTTCATTTGGTTGTTATACATAATTCATTCATTCTTTGTAACCACCTTGTGGAATTAAGTAGTAAGCTTATTCGCTGTTCAAATTAAATAAAGCTTTTTAAAAACGGTTTCGTTAAATAAAGTTTTATAATTAGCTGGAGATTTTTTTGAAAATTTTTTTTGTTTTTGTTTTTGTGTTATTTTCACACCCTCCGAAAGTGTGCCCAAATTTACTGGCATCCACTGTATAATTTAGCACGAACAGAAACTAGTTAAGCTTTAAGTCCCCAATGAAAATCCAAATGTTAGATCGTTCGATCGCACATAAATATAACATTTTTTGAAATTTTTTTCTGTAAATATTTGAAATAATTGTTAAGACAAAATTAGAAGTAATTATTTATATTGCAAGATTTACAGCCCAAATCAAAAAAATCCTGAAATACTTGTATTGAAAAAAACTGCAACTTTGTATTCTAATTTTTAGCATCTAAACTTTTTCAATTTTATTTGTTGAAAAACTAGAAATTTTATGTCAAAAATCGACTTCAACAACAACAAAAAAAATCCGACAAATTAACAAGTATAACATTCACTGCTACATGCATATTTCGCTGAATTTTCCACATAAGAAACAAACACGAATTTGAACAAATTTCCATCACAATTTGTAAATCGGTTAAAATTGAGGTAAAACATACAATGTTTGGTACCTAAACATTGCAGCTAGGAGTCCTCAGACACCTATCAGACTAATGGCTTTTAACAGGAAGTTTCAAAGTCGAAATCAGTTTCGAAACTCCCACCGAAGCTAATTTACATTGGCTTTGCTTACAAGGAGTTAGTATAGCTTGGGATGATACGTGGGCATTTAAATTTGTTCGAAACATGTTTGAAATTAATTTCAACCTTTCGCTCATCGGCAGTACAATTTCTAATAATGATGAAATTGTCAAACGAGTCTTTAAGGTATAACGTAAATAATTTAAACTGGATCCAAATTATACTTCCATAGTTAATAGTTTTCTTGAATAAAAAAAAATGAAAATGTTCTGGGTTTTTTTAACAATGTTAATTTATTTTGAACACATATTTTTTCTGATAGGAATCTTTAATTTTAACATAAAAATAAACTCACYAGGRTTTAAAGTAATAAAACAAGTTGCGCCCTCAAAAATTAACCATGWTATCAAGATTTTTTCAAAAATTTTGCCACCTATTTCAGATCGAGTAAGATTTTGACAAAAGTAGACAAATTTTTCGAAGAAAAAAGTCATTTTTGGATTGTAATAATTCACATTTATTTCTCGTTCTTTGACTTGCTATTGGATAGTGATCCCATAAACTACGAATTATTATACATTGACCAGAAAACRAAAATTTCCCAGTTAAAATAATGCACTTTTATTACTTACCATTGATTGAAGACTTTCCCTTTCAACATCCTCGTCTGTGTTCTTTAAAATGGCTTTGAGTAGAAGACCGTACTTTGTCAGTCTTTGCATCGGCTGTACCAAAATATCCATCAGCCTTAATCTGGAAAATGAATCCAAATTTAGCTCTGTCTCAATTTGAGAACTCGCCACGGTGCAATAGAGGGAACGCAAACTTTCCGAAAAAGCATCAGTTCAAAGGGAAACTCATATCGTCGCCTTAGGAATAATAAGAAACTTTTTAGCTGAAAAAGGAACATCTCAATTTCCTAGGCAAATGCGATCCTCCTGAGTTTTGGCATGTTATGAATTTCCCCGAGGATTGGAAATGTTCCTGTTGCATGCCTCATTCAAAATCATTTTTGTACTCGGGAACTTTCTGGATTTATGGCAAAACCTACGCAAAAAAGACTCCAAGGGAATTATTACGCGAGAAACCCTACTATGTAATAAAACTTTAATATGTTTCAGATAGTGTCGAACGAAAAAAAAAAATGTAGAGCTGCGTTTCAGCTTAAATCGAGAGAGATTTTGTGAAAATATAAAAACATTGATACAAGGGCAAAAGTTACCATTCACATTCGGCTTTTCTGAAATATTGATATAATAGAAATGACCGGCACAAATAAGCTCTTTAGGGGATATTTCCAGGGCCCCAATAAAAGTAAAAATGCCCATTCGTTCTTATTCGCCATCCAAAGAGGGTATCAGTAGCTGGAAAAAAAACCGGAGGCTTAACAGGACCGGACAAATTTGGCAAGAAAGTTTCAATTTGGATAAAAAGTTCCCGATTCCTTGGATGAAACTTGAGCAATAGTCAAGTGTGTTTCAAATTTCATTTACCTTTTCACGAATATTTTGGAGATTTTCTCATGGAAACTTAGAAACTGTATTATTTTAGAGCAAAATGCGAAAAGTGGGATTGTTTTAGTAGTATTAGATAAGTATCGGTCTGATAAACCAATAACTTTATCTCGAAAAACTTATTTACCGGTTACTTTAAATTAATTAATATTTATTTTAGGGATAATATAATAATCTTGATTACTTAGTTATTTTTTTAACTGAATAGACATTATATTCTTATTTATATTTTCAAAATATACACTTACTACGAAGTTTATTAACTAATGTTTTAAATAAAAATGAAAATGTTAAAATTCGTCAAGTTAAAATTTATGAAGCCTTTACAGATCGTGCTCCAGTATAACAATAAACAAAAAATCAGCAAAACTAAAGAAATTCAAGAAACATCGGTTAGAAATTGGCTTTCCGGTTTTTTGGTCGCGGTTTAGAATTTATTCCTGATGTGTCCTCCTCTGGAGGTGTAAGCCATTAATTAGTGTTTGCTAAATGTCAGGATGAAATTTTGTAGTCGAAGGCCTAAAAACGCAAAAAAATGCCAGTTTTTCAGATTATACACCAATCTGCAACGCTTTCTGAGACAATCAGATCCGGTTTAAAAAATACAGTTAATATTGTGTACGAAATTAAAGATGCAATTCCTTTTAAAAGCGAGTTAAGAAATTAAGATGTTTCAATTTTTCAGGTAGTTTGGAAAATGTTTGAATGTAGAATGTTTGTTTGTTTTCAAAAAATCAAAAATATTCTGCCTATCTTCATATTTTTGAGATAAGCGGAAATTAGAACAAAGAGTTTTAAAATTAGGTTTCTACATGAAAAGTTTCCTGAGAAAATCGGAGAAGGAAACAGAAACGGTTTAATTGAACGTTTTACACAAAACATGAAGAATGAAAGGGATTTTTCAGTAACAGCGGAATTATTTTAATAGTATAAAAATATATAAAAATATATTCAAATTATAATGATAGTTCTGGTTAAAAGTATACAGGTATTAATCAGGAAATTAAAAAAGAAAAATAAATATAATTTATATAAACCTGTTATTCATTCATCAATACAAATATAGTAAACAATTGCAAACAAATCTGCAAATCTCCACTAATGTCCAGAAGGTTTTTCTGAGATGTGTAAATGTGGAAATTTAAAAAATACATCAAGCAGGAAGATGAGTATTGAAAATAGTAATAATTTGAGGATCTGAAAGAAGCAGATATTTCATCACAATTTGCAATCAAATGATTTGGAATTTGAAAACTACAAACTACACCAGACAAACTGGAAAAATATTCACCGACGAAAAAATATGAAAATGGTTGTCCATAAATTAAAAAGTTTAAAAAAATATAATAAACAGTTTAGTTTCAAATGGAATTATCTGAGAAAACAATTTATCACTGTAAAAAGCCAATGTATGCATGTATTTCTTTAGTCAAATTGCACACATTTTTCTTTAAAATTTTGAAAAAATACTTCTCTATACACGGGAAATTCTCAATAAGTCGACAAATAAATGAAAATTTGTAATTGTTAAATAGATAGCCAAATTTGCTTGAACACTGGCCTGGACGGCGATAACCAAAAAAGGGAAAAACACTTACCGATTACAATCCTTCTGGCTTTCGCACCAAGTTAAATAGGCGGTAAAAACTTCGCTTTCAAGATTCTCTCGGCAGTAATGTTGGCATCTGGATAGAAAAGCATTTATGAACAATAAAAGTAAATTTCCATTATAAGTGCTCTATCGCATAACACACACTAACTCACCTGATTAGGTACCATTAATTCGATTAAGCACTCAGTTTACTTACCTGGATTGTTCGGCACAGTATTTGTAATATGGCGTAAATGTTTCCGCTAGTCGTGAGAAACCCTCAAGCATGTTTTCCAAACAACTAGGTCTCTTGTATTTCCTCATGTCTCTAACCAGCGGAAATAGAGTGTTCCTCCAAAAAATTACGTTTGCTCCCAGTATTTCCGTGATGTTGGAGAACAGCTTTTCCGTGTCGATTTCTTTAAATAGATTTTTCGACTGCAAGTCCCGTAAACAACCGAGAAATAACTGAAAGAAATACACATTTCTTAAATGGAAATCCTCCATCGGACCGCAATAATGAAACTCCTATAAAATTAATTGGAAGATTTTATAGCTTATGGTTATGGCGAAATTTAGGTCTATCACTACTAAATGTGTTTGCTGACAACGTCGATGTTTTGTTTTAATTAACAGAGTCAACATTTACGGGATAACATGGCATTAATCAGATACAAACTCATTATTATCACACTATTAACTATAGCATGAATTTTTAAGGAACAAGGGAATAAAGGGGGCATAAAAAGGGCAAATGCAATGGAATGAACTGGAAAAACGATTGAGTAAAAAGTAAAACTTGAACAAACAAACAATTTCAACGCAGTGGTTGCATTAACTGATTCATTTGGAAATGTTTTGGATTCTTGTTATTTCTTCACATTTAATTTTTTAAATTTTTTTTATGAAATTCGGGACAATGTAGTCACGTACATTTCACTAAACGTTACTTAAACCGAGGAAAACTGAATAATTTGCGTCAACTTAGGTTTGTGCAGAAAGTGTTCCTCGCGAAGGACCAGTGACTTGGCCGTCACGCTAGCCCGATCTAAATCCTTTGGATTATTTTGTTTAGGGATATCTAAGGTCAATAGTTTATGAAACGCCAGTAAATACACGTGAGGAACTTAATTATGATTGATGATAAATCAGGATTAAACCAGAATCACCCTGTATAAAACACTATATGCTTCTGTTACCATAAAACGGCAAAAGTTGAATTACTTCTCGTTGTAAATTTTTCTCATTTGCATTTTATAATAAATTTTTGAATGCGTTGTAACTCTGATTTTTAATTTTTATAACCTTATCTATGTTTCAGTTATTTTGCGAGCAGCACTAAATGTGTTTTGCAGTTAATTATTAGTTTTTCCATCTGTAGCTGGTAAAAAAACGGACTTCTGCCTGGAAAACTATAAATTACTCAAATCTTTATTTTCGAAAAAACTTGTAGAATATAAAATTTGTTTTGTTTTGTTTTCTTAAGGGAATCGAAAGAAGCATTACGAAAAACATTACAAGCTGTTTTAAAGAAAAATTAAGGAAAATGTGAAACATTACAGCAAGCATTTTGCTTCCAGCTCTGAACAGCTGGTTTCCAAAACTTCCAATGTTTCTGTATCTTCATTATTTGAATCGTCATGTAAATGTTTTCTTTTTTTTTAGTTTGCTGCGTCTGCTATTATTAGGCATTCATAAAATTAGGCTTTAATCATTGTTTCTCCAATTTTTCGACTTTGCTTGCATTGACGAACCCAAAACAGTACTTGCTAATATAATTTTTTTATTGATTACCGATATGTTTAAATACAAAGTATTTAAAAAGTGCTTATATTCTTCAGAAAAAGTAAGGATTAATTACCCTACTTGGTACAAAGATAAAATTAAAAAAATATATAAGAAATATAAGATAAAATAATATAAAATTTGATGATTAATAAATTAGAGCAAATGAGGATTTTACCGAATAAAATTCAAATACAAAATAGCCAGACAAATAAAATTCAAGAAATTATGTCTTCCGCGACTACTGCTTGAAGTTGGTTATATTTTGCAGTTTTTTGGCCAAAAACTCATCAGTTTTAATCAATGGCCACAAAAACCCAACGCTTTGGAAAATCATGCTGACACATACATGGTGAGTTTTTTGGGCTTTTCKGCCAATAAATGGAAAATAATTCTWTTMGGAAAAAMAKCTTCARAYSGCKWMAARTTCATCAGTTTCAAAAYTGTTTAGAGCTCTTGCTCTYAAATCAACATCGAGCTTCTAAAAAAATAAGTGGGCATAAAAAAATTATTGAAAAGCGTTAGAGAAAAACTCTGAAACTTTACTAGTTCGAGTTATATTAATAACAASTAATTRAACGTAACGTAAGARAAGTAAGTGAACACTTCAGATAGATAAGGGTGACGAGTTTTCAAACACAAATACTTACATCGGTCACAACTTTCAGCGTTTTAATATAGGCAACTTCCGTTTTTATTAACTCCCACAAAGCCGTCTGCTGCTGCTGTTGTCGATCATTCAGATCTGAAACCAAAGACCTCAAATTTAATCGAATTCACACATTGCATGTCAGAAAAAGAGCACGACCCCTACATGCTCTTAGGCATTCCAACCATCTTATCTGGGAGGCGTCTTCTTGACACGAATCGAAAATTGGAAAAGTGCTTTTATCGGTATTATTGAAAGCTAGCAGGGAAACTTGGCTATCATTTTTATCCACTCTATTGCACTTTAGCGCCATCATTTGCCGAGTGAGATGTTTCTTTTACATATCCATATAAGCAAGTAAGTTACTTAATTCTGGCAGCATTTGCAGAGCGAAACTTGAATACCAGGTAGGAATTCATCCATTAAATGTTGTCCCTGAATTGCAAGCGTTTCAAACGGGATTAAATAGGATTAGCGTCAAGAGCAATAAAGGATGTTGATTAAAATCGTAAAGTCTCTAACATTTCACAGTTGATGCTAAACTTTAACGAATTTAATTGAAACTCTAAAAGCCGGGTACTGACGTTTTATAGTGGTATTTAACTGGTGATAAAAGATCGTATAAAAATAAATTGTTTATTGCTTTTTTTATTCTTGTCTTATTATGACCCCATATTTATTTTCCACCTGTCCAGATTACCTCAGTATGTCTCGGGACCTAACAAAAAGATTCTGGCTGTCTTTACTATCTTTGGTAAGCTTTTGCCAAATTCTTCCCATTTTCCCTTTTTGGCTGCGCTCACCACATCCTTGACCCTTTTTTTGTTTACTTGCATAATTTGCACAACTGAGAAACTCAGAGGCGAAGTCTGTTGCATTGTCATGATGAAAACTTGCTAAAACCTTGTTGCAGTCGCAATTAACTTTCCGATTTTCATTTACTTTGAAACTTCTGTTTGCTATCCTGGTTGGTGTAAAAAGTTTCTTGAATAGTTGACTTCACCTATTAAATGCGCGCAGTTTAGCAGCTGCGACGAGGAAAAACTCGGACATAAATATACAAAACACGCAAGCGAAAGTTGGCGATAGTTGGGACTGTGACACTAATGAAATTTAAGAAGAACTGGAAGCTTGTGAAGAAAAAGTAATTTAAGCTGCTCACCACTGAATTCAGTAATTATATCTTTCCAGTCGTCTTCTAGTTTGTAAAGCGCATCAATGGACTCGCATTGTCCCTGCGAATAGTCGAAGTTCTGCGGAGTTCCCTGCTTGGAATATCGGTCGAGTTGTTCGATAAGAGCTTCGTACTTTGTATCCTGGAACATTGAAAGTTAAACATTTCAATGCAGTTAATAAATTGGCGAATTGTTTTCATTTCTCAAATGCTGTTCGTTGCAATTTTAGTCGGAAGTTTTAGTTATCCAATCAATGCAAGTATGCAACTTGTGGGAATATTTAGTTTTCTGAAAACAACAGAGGTTTAATTGAATTTGATGCAAACTCTGCTAATTTCCACATGGGGAACGTTGCCGTTTTCTCAATTTGTGTCAAGTGAAGTATATGGGGAAAGCTTGCAAATTTCCACAGAGCGATGGTGGTGAAGAGATTTTGAAAGTGGTATTATTTGCACTTACTTTACTGTTTCCGAAAAAGGCGGTTATTCGTTGCTTGATTTGTTTTTTGCTTTGCTCCGATTCGTGAGACGATGGCGTTGAACTGACAACGTTTTGTTCTTCTGTACTTGAGCTGAAAAAACTACTGGTCCTCGGTCGGTAACTCTGAAAATAAATATTCTCTTGGATTATATTATTTTGCAACCCAAAATACCTACTGTAACCTGGTCAATATATTTTTATTTTTTCGCAAATCCACTTCAATTCAATCCAAGAATGGAATAGAGTCAATCAGAGAGAAAGAGCTAAAGTGCATACGCAAAGTGAATATTGTTCATAAAATGTAAAAGCACACACATCTGCGGTGAATAATTTTTGCAAAAAGCACGTTCTTTTCAGCTGGCTGTTCACTAAGCCGCAAATGAAACGATGTTTACCGCGGTTTTCTGGAAAATCGACGGTTTAATTGCAGCAACATGGAATTTATTTCTCCAATTATGGAACAAGTACTGCGAATATTGCTCTATCGACTATTTACGTATTCAAGCGCTTATATTTCTGTGCAATCGGCCACTAAGCTAATATAAATATTCGCTTATATGAAGTGAATATTTTAAAATAAATTTCTGAATTATTGAAATCAATCACCCGTGATTCAAAAACCCTGTTCAGTCATGGTCCAATTGGAGCAAAATTAATTTTCTTTTACTTTCCTCGTTAAATTTTCCGACGAGCTTTTGCCGGACACTTAAATCTCGATTTATTGAACTATAAAAGGTTTTAACGTCCAGGTGCTCAATAAATAACTAGAATGAATTTCGAAATGTGTCTGCGATTAATCGAAACTATAATTCCTTTTAAAACGGATCTTTGCCACAATAAATTCAGTCGTTAATTGTTTAGGCGCTTATTGTTTAGGTGAGTCGTCCAAAGTAGTTTTTCTACTGATTTATTTACTGAAAACGTCCAATTTACTAAAGCAACATTTATCTGATATAAATTTGTTTTAAGTGTTTCGTAAGCAAAGAAACAGGGGTAAAAGCAGACTGGTTTTACATTTTTAATCTACAGAGCTACGTTTCCCTTCCATTGTTTTTGGCTTGAAAGCACATTTTTAAATTATATGACGAATTTATTTGCTGTTGGTTGAATAAATAGGAGAATTTAGGCATTTTAGTCAGTTGAATAAGACTTGCACGAAAATTTTAAATGTATTAGAAAATTACTGAGAAAGTTCGAAGCTTCAAAACTATCCATTCACTGCAAAAAGATGCATGAAAAATTTGTAATTTTCGAGGAAAATTTCGCAAGTTTTAACAATTTTTTATACCGTATATTATACAAAAAATTATTAAAAGCAAAATTAATTTTTGGCTGTAGAAATTGAAGGGGAAAATGYCTCAAATTCTATATCATTTTTTTTTATCACTGGGAAGTGAGGMATCAATGAACTCTTCAATAAACTTAAATATAAACTGAAAATATTTAAACACTTTCTAAGCAATTTAAAAAAGCAAGAAAATGTGCATCAAGTGACKTTTACTTAAAAAAATCATTCTCCAACCCGTTTGCAGTGGTTCTGAGAAACACGTTTTTCACTGGAAAAGTTTTTTCTATACAAGAAATTGYTAATCTAAATTATCCCGAGTAGGAGTTCCTGCCATTTTCCTTCGGTTCATGTGATTAATTGTGCCATTTTATATAGCAGAACAAATGTATTAAATTAACTAAATGGTGGCGGATGAATCTCATTGTGTAAAACCGCTTCAATTGCATTATACAACAAACAGACTGATAAATTAGGCTGTCAGAGTTACAGGTTGAGAGTGGGATTTCCACCGCAACATATGTGACAAATTTAATTCACTCTCAAAACGCTTGCTTGGCAAACATTCCAAATGTGCTCTTTTCCTGCTGAATCGTAAATTTTCCTTGAGATTTGCTCTGTTGCGGCATTCACTGCAGGCACATTTTCAATAAAAGATATACATTTATACCCATCATTTGCTCCTATCGACCGGCTATTTTCATTTCATTGAAAAAAATCACACTTGCAAAGGTTATTTGGAAAATTAGTTTCGCAGAAACGGTGAGAGAGAGTAACCGGCTTCTTTCATTGACTGTTAGAGGAAGAAATTGGTTTCCGTACTAGAGTTTCATGATCTGCACAGATGTATTTTCTACAAGTTTTCAAAATAAATATTGCAATTCACTGACAATTTTCAATTTTCTTTTTTACTCTATTTACTAAAACCATCATTTTTTACCTGCAATTTGTTACAGGCGTATGAAGTTTTCTCTCAAGGTGCAAATGCAGATCGCAACATACAGTATTTATAATGACCAGTCTTGGTATAAATAATCGTAATCTTCAAAATAATTTCTATTTACACTCTTTTGTCCCACTGGATAATTAAGCTAAGTGAATATATTTTTATAAAAGAAGGAAAGGAAAATATACTTACACCTGATTGCTTTCGTGAATGATTGCTGTGGAATGATCCGTGGTATTTTTTATTGCTTGCGTCTTTGGCTGAAAGGAAAAAAAGATAAAGTCAATAGAACAGATACAATCTTGTGCAGACTGCTTGGTTCTGAATCGTTTTTCTTTGCTAGTCGAAACTAGCTGTAACTTAAGCCGGATGGCATAAAACAACTATTCATGACGGCATGAAATATTGCCCTCCAGTCATACTCTAAACAATATAAATTCGATGGAAAACCAAGGGGTGGGTCTAGTTGCTCCAGACAGTGAAATAAAAAGTAACGATTCCAAGCAGGAGTCATCGAATTAAATTGCAATTTACCACTGTTTCTGTCAAGGAGCAGCGATTCGTGCGATTTAATCAACCGAACCGGAGTTTTTAAATAATTCACGGGCCGAAGAAAGTGAACTTCCGCTCGTAAATTTATCTGAAGTGGAAAATGCACAAACTACTGTCCCGTTTCTGGGACGGGAAATAAGGAAATCGCCAACAATATCCATCTAGGAGAGTTATAAATTATCCATGAACTAGACGAAGAAATAGCACGTGGAAGTGTGATATTAGACCACAGTTAGTGTGCGGCTCTCACTATTTTTTTTCTAATCAATTATTTATTAGTAGAAACAGTTATTTTTTTTTGAAATTACTACGTTACAATTTTTTGTTCCCACTTTATTACTTTCTGTTATAATAAAGTGTATTTTATTATTGAAGAATGAGTTAATTTTTCTTCTTGTTGTGGCTCTTGGGTCATTTCTCGCTTTAAATATTTTGTAAATTAATTCATTTTTGTCTAATACTGTTTTCCTTATTTAGTTATAATGGCGGTTTAGTTCGCGCTACAGATTTTCTAGTGTTTGTTACTTTGCTACTTTCTGTTATCGTATTATAAAATATGTTTCACTACTGTAGAAGCGGTTCCTTTTATATTGTGACTCGACTCGACTGACTTGAACGCTTGCTAAAGGATTTTTTTCGAAATTAACTTTCTAGTGTTAAAGCATTAAAATCTGAAGTGCTTAAACTCACATGTCTCAAAAAACCGCTGCTAAAACCTTCCCTGTAAATATTTTTTATTTCTTATTGGAAACATCAGCCATCTATCTACCCAATAAATGGTATATTAAAAAATGAAATCTTTGCAACCTGATTAAATATTTCTGCGTTTTTCTTAAGCAGATTCCTCAGTGTTTAACCACTGTTCATTGCTGATGTTTCCTCTTTGCAACTCTTGCTATACAAACCATATGCACTAATTACTCACTTGGAAAAGCCTGAAAAATCCACAATCGATATTTACCTGTAATCCTAACATGTCGGCCAACAAGATGTGCCGTATCTTGCGAGAAAGGAATGATGGACTCGGAACTGTTCTCTTTATCTTGTAGTCTTGCGTCGCAAATTGATAAATCGATGTTCCTCAATTCGCACAATTTGGTCAGCGACTCACTGCAACAAGCGATTTTTCCATTTCAGAGACCGTTGAATGATTTACAGACTTTTGTAGCGGTCAAAGTAAATGATAAACGGGGCTTATTAAAATAAATGATCGCCGAAATGATAATGATGGTGAAAAACGAACACAGGAATGGCGGGTAAAGGCAAACGGTGTTAGATTCCGCTTTTTGAATCTTTCTGCGATGAAAAGCGGAAAATGAGCCGCTCTATTAGGGTTTAAAAGCTTGCTTTATGCCAGTAATAATACTCTACATTTTTTATATTAATCAGCAAATTGTTTTACTTGCGCAAAATTTGTGAAATTTTTTAATGCTTCAAACCATTAGTGAAACATTAAAATGTGCAAAATGTTGTCTTGGACTAAATATTCTGATTAAGTCTGTTAGGGTTTTCAAGAATTTTCTTTACTTTCCAGCAGGAGAAAACTGTTAGTTTCATATTCTGACATGGCACTCTTGAGGACATAAATTTCCTAAAAAAATTGGAGTCTTTTTAGAGCACATTTTTTTATCACATCGCAGTGTAAACTTCGATAATAATTAATTCTGTCTTTGTGCCAATTATCACTGTATTTATGAATGAGCAGTTTCATCTATACTTATTTAATCAATGGTTAGTACAGACATTACTGGAAAACAACTGTGATTTATTCTAAATACTTCAAAAATACACACTAAAAAAATGAGCTGCAAAGTCCAGTTTAGCTAGTTAGGAAACACTCACTGCCTTCAAGCTTCATGCCAGAACAAAAGGAAAATTTCAAGTAGTCCCCATTTGATATGACAGCACATGTTTTGTCTAAAATTTGTAAAAACTTGCCTATTTTACTGATCGCATTTTTATTTTATGTATAGACACTAATAGCCTTTGTAGATATAAAATAATTAACACATTACGCGGACTCTTTTATCTGTTATCGTAGCGCTTTCATTTATAGTAAATTTTAGCTAAATTGACACTTTTTGCAAACACCAATTTTATCCACGTTATTGCTTTATTTAAATAAAACCACTTCAATTTGTCCATTGAAAATGAATTTCTATAGCGAGCGATTGAATTGCAGCGTTAGCGTGCACATATTTGAACGATTTTTAGAGAATTTTAAGAAGAAATAATATGGTATAAAATGGGCAAAGTTGAATGGAATTTGAAACTCTACTAGTGATTGTTTTCAAAATTTACTTGCGGGTTTTGGCTACTAAAATTTCACAAAAGTATTGCAAAATGCCTTCTCATTGAAAAATTCTTCTTTAAAACCTTTCCTAAAATAGTTTTTATAATATAAACGAATATAAAATTTTTAGTAATAAAACATGTCCTTGTCAGTAAATTCGGTTTATTGAAAAGCACTTTTATGTAACTTTTTAACTCTTTATCGCTTGCAGTTGTGTTTTTAATTTTAAAAAGCATTTTTAATGTTAGATTTCAAAAATAGTCCATGCATATAATTTCTGGCCCGTGAGATTAATCTAGTTCTGTATCGCTTGAGAACATTTCGAGCTTCTAGTCCTTATTGATTAAAATTTTGCTTTCAACTTCAAAAAAACATCTCCCATGAAATGTTGTAAGACTTTCATGCTGATAATTTTCAATGATTTTTAGAAAATTCCCAAGACACCTCAATATTTTAATGTATTTGGCTGCATTTTGGGAGCAAGATGAAAAATGAAAACAAATATTTAAGTTACTGCTAGCAAATGTGTTCTGGGCAAAGTCTTCACCCTGTAAGTGCCTGTCTTTCTTGCGCAGTTAACAAACCAAGAGAGGATTATTCAATATTGCTTCAAAATTCGCATATAAATACTAAAACAGTGACAAATGAAAATGAGAAAGGAGAAATATTAAAAAAAGAATACACAACTTTAGGTAAAAAATTCCCGAATTTACTTCACCTTTAATTACATGAATTGACAAACTACCGTTTCCTGGAACCGGGTCAAGTCTTCTCCAGTTTGCAAAACCGGTTGTCCTGGATATTCTCGGAATTATAGGGGATCAAATGTAAATATCGACGTTTGTTTGCTCTTATTATCCCTGTCGGTATCGATTCAGATAGTGCGACTTGTTTGAGCAATTAAGGTAAATTAGTTGTTGCGTAAAAGGCTTATTTTTAGTTTGGCGAAATTGTTTTGCTTATTTACGTCAGCATTTCTATTTGCTCTTCTGGTGTTTCTTAAAAAATAATTTTAGATTCATTGCTTCATTTATAAATGAACATTTTTCCGAGTGAAACTGAAATAAACATACCCTTATTTAGGATCGATTGAGATAGAAACCGAAATTGTCAGGCTGCTAAACCCTACCAAACTTTGTCCATTAAACTAATGGCCATTTTTTCGCTGATTTCAACATTATGTCCAATCTCAGTGAATATAACATTTCTGAATCATGAATCAGAATATGTGGAAGATTGAAAATAAAGCGATTTGAAACTTAAAGGAAAATTTCCAATCCGACTGAAATAGCCGACTATATTTTAATTTCTTTTGTTAGAGGCAAAAGTAATGATTTCAATCAGCCTTTTCCCAATTATGCGAAAAATTCGGGCCTATGGGAATTTTGCACATTAAAATACCCGGATTATAATATCCTCTTACAACCGTTAAACGTGAATAAATTTCAACACTTCAGTGCTGGCGCAAACGATCCAGCAGATTAAGAGATTAAAATTTTATTGCCAATAAACCGAAATTTCAATCTCTCTTCAGACTACTCTTCATTGTGTCTGCGCCGAACTTTAATTGACATCATTACTAATAGGAGCGATACTAATTGAAATGTATGACTGGATGTTTGATTAGGGAAACTTGCCATTTAGGATCAAAGTAGATTGATTAATCAGAATAGAGGAGCTAGTCTAATTGAATACGCACATCGGACATGTGCGTAGATTTTACCAATAGGCAGTTAAATAACCAAACACAAATTAGCCGCAAGGAAAAGATAGGAATGGTTAGGCCAATATCTTAGAAAGCTTCAACAAGTTGGCCAACAGCCCCTGTATCCATTACAGGTTTTATTACTTTTTCTTGTTTAGTTCCAAAGTAAAAGGAATTTTATGTTAATTCTTCGAATGTTTCCACATTTGTCGGTCATTTGCATTTTATTGCTGATACATTTTGCTGTTGCTTGCTTTGCATATAACTTTTTCTGTTATAAGGTTTATAATGATTTATACCTAATTCATTCTACATTTTTTCTCTCGAAACATTGTGGTGTTTTTATTGAAAATTGTTGTACATTTTTAAATTCCTTTATTAAGAAAGACATTGTACAGTTTATATTAGTAATATTTTGCTAGTATATGAAGTCGATGAACTACTGTTTTAAGTATACGTAATGGACGCCCCCTGAAAAGTGTTAATCAATTTCCAATTAATGCTGGATGTTCTAAGAATTATCTAGCAGTTTTAATGGTCATTTAAATAAAGTGAATGAATGCGAGATAAAATTAGGAAGAACGCAGACAATTATAATCAAAGAACAAAAGAAAACTTTACAATCTTTATTCGATACAGAAATATAAGCAAATAGTCCTGTAGTGAATCAACTGGCAGCCGAATTGTTTGAATTAACTGGTTTTTATATTGATGCCCTGTTTTTATGCGGCAATAAATATTGTGGTTGTAGGATAAATTTCGGATCGAATTTATGACGAATGTAATTCATAAATGACGGCTTTTTCATGGTGGCCATAAATCAACTGCGGTTTTTGCGGATTGCATCAGTTGCATTTTATTTTAACGGTTCAGCTGGAACATTGCATGCATATAAATTAAATACAAAGAACTGGGCCATATGAACGAATTTATATTATTCGATTTGATGTGGAATTTGTGTGTAGCATTTTTATAAAATTTACTGAATTGTTTTGGGAATTTGTGGGTTAAAAGGTGGCTTTCAAATACTGAAAATAGTTGAGATATTTCAAAAAAATTACTTTAAAGCTTTAGCACATTACCAGGCTAATTTTTCAAAATATTTAATGAAATTTTGATTCTTTTTCTAAGAGAGCGATTCATTTCACTGCACAAGATTGGCTTTTTCGCGGTGGGTTAAACTCTGAATAACTCGGGCATTTTTCAAATTCAACATTAAATTCTGTTTGTTTTTTAAACATCGATTATCACAAATGTAAATTCCACAACATTTTGATCAGAAAGAAACTTTAAGCAAACGTTTCGCGGGCCTGTTTTTTGACATAAGTGGATTTTGTAACTTTTATGTAAAAGACGGTAATTAATGTCTGATTATTTAAAAATAATACACAACTTTTGAATTTTTGACGATTTTTTCAAATTGCAGGGGCTTGGAGGAATTATTTTATTTGTCGAAGGAATGAGTTGGTAAATAAAATAGTTATTGGGTGCAATTTTTTTGATATTCAAATTTACCTTCCAGGAATAATAATTTAAGGAACTAAAAAGCTGGAAAAATGTACCTACTGTTATTTTCTACTTCGCGCTCTTATTGCATTTTATTTTCTTTACTGCAATGCTATTACACGATGATTATGTTACTAGTTTTATTATTACTAGTTTTCTGAAATCAAACACCCTTTTGACGACATTATTGATCATGCCGCAGAAAGCAGCATTTTCAGTCCAATAAACTTTGGAATCTATTAAAAAAAAATAGTATTTTCCCCTGATTTTGGGAAAAATTGGAAAAAATTTGCAAAGTTTAGCGAAACTGTACTTATTTTTTTAACTAATTTTAAATAGATTTTTACTCGAACTCACCAGTTCGAAGGTTATTTGAAGGAAAGCGTTCAAAATTTAGCAAAAATTCACTTATTAGTTGAATACATTTCGAAACAATTTTTCCATAAAGGCAGAAAAATAATCCAACTTTCCATTGCCAATCGTTTCCAAATTAAACTTGCAATAGTCGATTTGTTAGTATGTCAATTTGTCTCGACTCGACATCAACTAAATACTGCTAATACTAAGATTTCAGTAAAATATATTTTTTTATCGTAAACTGGAAACATTTTCTAGAACAAGCATTTCAAATTGAAGTTCTTTACCATCCAAGCGGCTGCGATAAAACGCAGCTTCGCTCCATAGGAAAAAGGGCTTTAACAATGGCCCTTTTAACACGTGAAGACATTTCCGTGAAAGTAAAATTACTTACTGTAAAGTGATTCCCCTTTGGGCAGGAAAGAACAACTCATTATCCCAAGTGGACTCGTCGCCGACCTCAAAGTTCACGCTGAAACATTCGCTGCTCGATTTCTATAACAAAAGAAAAAAAAACTTTAGGATTTTCCCTGGATTACTGTTACCCTAAATGGGATCAATTCGGACGTTGCGTGACATTTTCCGAGACTTTCTAAGCTGGACTTTGTGATGATAGCGACCTTCCTGCTGCTACAGTGAATTTAATCGAGTTTAAAATGCAGGAAACTGGGACTTTCGCTCAAATCTCTGTCACATCTGGCCATCTTAAAAAAATGCTTCAGTTGACAAGAAATCATAAAAATCGTAAATGTCTTTTTGGGGAATAATATCCAATTTATTAAAGTGGAATGTATCAGATTTACTGGATGCTTTGGAGAACTTTTCGAAGTTTAATAGGCTAAAACACAAGTGCAAATTTAAAATTCCTGTTCCTTTAAGGGTGCCTCTCAACTGAATATTAAATGAAAATACCGTCAAAGTTACAACTTCTAATAAACAATGCATTACCTTTAAGTTGGTAAAAAGCAAACACCTATCGTGGACTACATCTCAACACGCAGCCATTTCGTTAAATATTAATCGGGATTTGGCTGGAATTTTATAAAAGTTTAAACATTTTCCTTTTGCAAGTAAATGGGCTTATTCAGGAGATAGCTGCTTTCGTTTCAGGGTAATTTATTAAATTCGCTAGCAAATTGATTTAGTCACAGCCCAAAAGCGATTTGTTACGGATTAGTTCAATTTTCCGATTCAGCTTGCCGATTAAGGGATTGTTGTTAATATTGAGTGCTCATGGAAATGGCTGGTGGAACTGACGAAGTGTTTTTCCAAGAAAATCATAGAAAAATGCTGGATGGTACGTATGGTAGTTTGTGATCTGCGTAAATAAGTATGGATGAAACAGGTAACTTTTTCACACTTTTAGTGGTCGCAAAAGTTTAATTGTTTTGATCCGCTCAGTTTTATTTATGTACATAACTATAAAGACGACTTGGGTATCAGCGTTTGGGCTGATGGGAAAATTAGGGAATGCACACCCACTTCACTTGGGAAGTTAGTCAATTTTAAATATTACTCCTAGTTTCCCTACTGGTAGTGCAAAGTTCAGGACATGATGGTTTATGTAAACGGCGCTGCTTTAACAACGGCAATAACAAGGAAAGTTTCAGCCCTTTGGTTTGAAGAGAATTAGTTTCCAAATGAGCACCTTTCCTCCGACATGCGCTCAATTTTCTAGTATCTGGAACAAGTTGTGTCAATTTCAACACGAAATTGTTCAAGGGATATTTCGTTAAATTTTTTTTTAAAGCTGACAAACCTAAACCATATTTTTGACTTGCTTAATTTATAAAATCCAAACAAACTGAATTCAACTGGGTTGGTTATGGACTCGTTAACTTAAAGTGAACATGCAAAATCTATAAAAGTGCAGAAAAAATAAATGTTTATATCGCTAGTGCTGGTAATTGAAATTATTCAGAAATGAACCTTGAGAGAATCCAACAAAAGTAGTACATTTTTGGAATTTTCCAAAACTGAGAACACAAACTGAAAATTTCTTCGGTCAGATGCTCCTGAATAAAACGCAAATGTCTCTAGCATGCCCACTTTTCGAGAATTGCGTTAGAAGAAAGTTAATCCTGACCAAATTTGCAGCTTTTTTGTAAAGTTGCAAATTTTACAATAATATTATAAAACCTAAACTTCTGAGCTTTGGTTCGATGCACTCAAAAAATAGTTCGTATGCAGTAATTGAGCAAATTCATAATAATTTTAATTATAAAACAAAGCTACTACTATAATCATATAAAAATACATAAAGCCAGAATGAATAATTTGAACATTTCCAATACAATCAGTCGAATTAGAAGCATATCTGTTCCCTGCAGGATAATTAACAGGCTGTTGGGTATTGGAACCGTGTATATAAATCATAACCGACATAATATCGCATAATGTGCGACGAAAATTGACATTGTAGGAATAGTGTTAAACAGAAGTTTACACAGAATAGAGTTCCAGGCCATTGTATGACTTCGCATAATTTACAAAGCTGAATCGAAAATGCCAGAGAATCAGTCAATAAACATGTATGAAATGAATCCAATTGATTTCATTCTGTATTCGAAGTATTACATGGTAATAATGCTTCTGCTTTTCATCGGCAATCTGACCAGATTATTCAAGCAATTCAATCAGGTGTGCTTCATTCGAAACGATTTTTTCTCAAATTCTGGATAAATTTCAATCTACTCTAAAGTCCAATCTGTAAACAGACGCTTTTTATAGTCAAGCATCTTCACATCCTGAGGCCGCACAATTTTATACGAATGTAAACCAAAGTCTCCGCAGAATTCCCCAAGGTGGCGGAGTCGACAAATTCAAAATTTTCAAATTTTCCTTGTGCAAATACGCTTTTTCAAACGATTTATCCTACAGGTTTATGTCTTCCTTACCTACTTGAGGTTAGTGCAACTACATAACAGAATATTGTCTTGTATCTGTTACTTATGTAAAAATACGTTGACCTGAATATGAATGTTTATCGTTCTCCTTTCTATCTTCTATTCTTGAAAAATCCTTGTCCTCTTCAAATAAACATACAATGAACCACATTCGAAAAGTGGCTGATCTTATCCAAACGTCCAAAAATCTTGTAACTTGAATAGATGATGAATTTTTGTTTCTTTTACTCAAATCATAGTAAATTTAAGTGGACCCCTAAAGTAATTGATGACTGAAGATGGCACGCATCGCAGATATATTTTTCCTTCTCCATTACAAGCCTCCATTAGAGCACAAAATTCACTTTTAAAACAGGGCAAATACTTGATTTTCCACGATCATTAGCATGACATTGAGTAATGCGGCACCTTCTCCAAGAAGGCAATGGGGAGATTCGCGTGCCTGTGCCATACTTTACAAAATTGATTTCCTATTTTCAGGGCGCTGCATTGTTGTGTAAAGTAGAAGCAATGTTGGCAGTGAAATGGAATTTAATGCTAAAGTTGACTCGGATGCGTTCAATCATAGTTTCAAGCCAAGTACCTACTAATACAATAGCGTCAATGAGGAAGTAACAAACTCTTGCAAAGTGCAACCAAATAGAATTTAAAATTTTCGAAACTAGTAAAACGGCAAAAGTCTTTATGCACCAAAAATCTTATAGTTTTGAAGCTGGTTTGGTGAAATTCACTTAACTTGCGTATTGATCTCAAAATTTTGCTTTATTTGGCTGAAATGAAATTTCAACAGCAAGTTTTCCTTGAATTTTCCGAAAAATGTGCAACATTTATCAAGTTCTCCCCAAACGTTTCTCGCTTACGCAAGTTTGAAATTTTCAGTTTTGTTTTATTTCTGGCACTTTAAACTTAGTAGATATATTATAATATCAAAAAACTGCTAGTGAATCTGGACACAATTAAAATTCCAAAAAATTATAGAAACTTTTTTTACCCAAAAATTTGTCTTTTTCAAAAACTTTTTCTATCGTAGATTTTCTATGCAATAAAACGATTTAAAAAAATATATCTCTTCTATCGCAGGCAGATTAAAAAGGTGACTAAGATCCATATGCGAAAGTTACACATTTTTCTCATCTAGAAGACACCTTTATTTTTAAGTGCAACATAAATTCGGCGAAATCCGAAAATTTATATCTGAGACAGTTGTAGCATCAAAAAAAGTTTATAGACTAAACCCGCATGGACAAGATATTTCTAGAAGAAAAAGTGTTTAAGATATAAGACTTCTAAAAATACAAGAAACGCTCAAACAATAGAAAATTTTTTTTTTAAAGTAAAACCACAATTCGCTTAGTTGTGCAAATAAATACGAAATTCCTTAAGGACCTCCTAAGTGGCATCAAAGAACTGAAGGGCTTTAGAACTTTACGTGCGCCTTTAGAGCTTTACTCTAATATGGGATTTGTGGATTGCTCACTTTTGCTTTAAAAGATTCACATATTTCACGCGTTTTCTATTGAACGAATGAACTCAGTTTATCCTGTTGTGTCGTACGATTGGAAAAAATCCAAACAGCTTATAAAAAAAACTGCCAACATAAATCAAATTGATCTTTTTCATGCTTGGCAGCCAGTTCGAGTGTTAAATTAAGCAGCCGGCAAATTTTCCAAGTTTTAATTAGCAAATTGCCCATCCGTCTTTAGGTCTGTCCGTTCGTTTCGTGAAAAAAATCTAAATACAAAGAACAAGCAAACAAAGCCCTCATCGAATTTGCTTTCAGCAGACGTCCAAAGCTAATTACCTAAAGATAGAATGCGTTAAATTTCACCAACTTCGCAACAGTTAATTCTATACAGTTACAGTTGCTCTCGTCCAAATAAAGCTGCAATTTTCTATCCGAAGTTTTAGCTACAGTTCTTGTTACACAGGCTGAATCATATTCATAAAATTAAAGGAATTGTAGATAAACTGAAAAAAATATATAATAAACTAATAGTAGCAATGAAATGTGATTTTATAATTAATAGTTCTTTGACCGGTAATTTGGTGAATTGATGATAAAATTATTAGTCGAATAATCGAACGGAAAAAAATCGGCACTGGGAATGCATGTTTTTTCGAAGGATTTAAAGACTACACAACCATAAATTAATTTACTTTTCGTCAAGAAATAGAGAGCTAAAGAAACAATAAATTCCTCAGTATAAAAGTGTAGAGTAATAAAATGAAAAGGCAAAAAAGAAGAGAGGATAAAAATGCATAAATGCAAGCTACCATTAATTAATCATATTCGTATGCATTATCACGTTCCAGATAAAATGTGAGAATGTGTTTGGAATGTTTAATTATGCATCCTCTTAAGTGAGAAATAAAATCTGCCGATTTATAAACACACATTTCTGACGTTGTTCCGTAGCTGAAAACCTTTCCTGCAGTTGCACTTTTCGTTTTAATCAGTGAAAATTTAATTATTTGAAAGCAGTAAAATTGAAATAAACATGCAACTGGCCGCTAAATTCATAAACCAGGGGCTAATTAATTCAATGAAATTTAACTCGCCAAACTTTCCTCGCTCCATGTAACTGTATAAGTGACACCTGAACACACTGTTGTACGGCTAAACTTCTGTTAAGCATTACAGCATTGTTATTATACCCAAGAGTGAATGGGATTAAGTCACTCATTAGACGGCATATGATAATGGGGGAGTTGGATGTAGTGAATGTGACTGGAATTCTGGATTTATTACAGTGCAGTAGCCGGAAAATTATTTACTTTCTAACCAAGTTTTAATACGAAAACTGGTTAGTTTTGGAGGCGTTGATGAAAATACGTTAATCCGGAAGTTTCGCCCTCAGAGGTGTTTTTCGCCAAAGCTTACTGCTCGACCAGTCCAACATAAAATTATTTTCGTAATCAGTATTTTCTGGCATTTGCTTCATGTTGTAAGTATTCATAATTTTTCACAACAGTGGAAACAGTCGAAAGCAGCAGATCAATTTATATGCCATCAAGAGGCGTATTTATTGTGCTCCCAATTGCCAACTAGAGCTAACTGCAGATCGGCAACTTTTGCAATCATCAATCCTCTGCCCGCCCATTTTCAGTGGAAAAGTTTCACTTTGTCCAAGTTCCCGAAACTGTAAAATATGACTATCGAAACATTCCATAACTGGCAAAGTATTCGGCATTAGACCATTTCGCCTCAAATCCAGACGGATCGGATTGAATCTGCATGTTTGCTGAACCAGCTGCTCTCTTCTCATTTTATTTGTTTGAATCCAACCACTGACATCTTACGAGTTTCTGGCTGGAAGCACTTTAGGTAAACCTGAGATTATGTAAATTGTCTTCGGGCTAAGCAGTACGGAATGTTATGGCAATAACAGTTCAAAAGCGTCGTTTCGGGCTCCTTCCTCGCACTCAGCGATAGCTTCAATGGCCAGGAAAAGTCTAGAAAAATGTGGATTTTTGGCTTTTAAAGGAGGATCAGCCGACAGTTTTCATAGGCCAATTAAGCAAGCAAGGTAGTATCAACGGGGAAAAAATCACGTTGTTCATCCAGCTGGAAGATATTAGTGAAGCTTTTATTTCCGCCAGTTTTCTCATTTGTTTAGCTGATGTCTGTTAATTTAAATAAAAAAAACTGGTTTGTTTTCATTTTGAATTACGGACGCCAAAGTTGGATGCATCCTAGTAGATTAAATATTTACATTCGATTAAAGTTTTCTTGTTTCAACAACTTTCTAGACATTCTTCATTGAAGCTTTATGTTCCATTGCTTCGCACACTTGGAACTATGGGCCACAATTTTTCACGAAAATACTCGATACATTTTAAACACTTTCTGTATTAACCCGAACATTTTCTTCCGCTTCAATCATTTGAAAATTTTATTTGCCCTTACCTGTGATCGGCTTAGCATATGTTTTCTGGCTGCTGAATAAGCTTGTGTCGGTCTTGGAGGTGGCTCTTGCGATTCAGCACCACATGGAATTGCTGGAGGCGGAAGAAGCGGCTTTGTACAATCTGGTTCGGATCTGGAGTCCTTCAGGGCGGCGTCTGTAGGCGCTACCACAGATTGGCGCATCTCCAAAGAGTCCAAATGGTTCAGACTTCTGGATCGGACCTGCAAAATCGATAAGATTAACGTTACTAAACAGACATTAGAGGACTTGATTAAACCTAGGAAATATTTGTGTTTGTCAAACATGCATAAAGTTTACCTTTCTTGGTGGAGGCTTTACATGTTTTTTTTGCAAAAACAATAATTTTTCTGAGAAAATAAACGTAAAGCTGCTGAAGCTGAACCGCTGTTTGCTAAATTTATAGAAACAAGGACTAGAACCAGTCGTGGAAACCGATTTGAAGATTTTGCTTTATGAAACTCGCGATTCTTCTTAGCAATGAAAACTAACGTTGTGAACTAAGATTATGAAGTGAAGTTGAGCATTTACGTGATAAATCATCTAATTGGACGAAGAAAGTGTTCGGACTGTTATCTAAGTTTTCACATCTTTATTGGCACCTTGACCACATTGAGTTCAAATCAAACACCTCCATAGCAATGAGAGAAAGAAAATTTAAAATTTAGAGACTTTTAATTCAAAAGAGCGCATTTCAGTACTTGCCAAAACTCAAAGAGAAAAATCATGCAACGACTCCTAAACTAAAACAGTTAAAATCCAGGATTTTCTATACGATTTAAGCAACATAACGGCTCATTCTTCCAACTGTGTTTATGACGTTTTAAATAAAATATCTTCTAAATTATTTTAACCCGAAACAAAGTCACTACTCGGAAATAATCTTGGATTTCAAATATCCATCAACTTGTGTTGCGTCTTATGGTTTTCCATTTCAAACACATTTCCATTCTCTCGTTCTGATGGATACAGATAACGGGTTTCCAAGAATGACTGTCGGAGAAATATTCCTGTTTACCCGAATTCGCAAAAATATTTTACACGAAAAATATCACTAGCTTGTGAAGCATGGAAATGCAAACTTAATATGGAAATATAATATTTTTTGATATCCAGGGTTTCAGATTAGGGAAAATGTAAAAATAGCTTTTTTTCTGGAAGATCCACACGTGCATAACGAGCGTAAAGAAACATTGTAGTAGGGTCTTTTGGGTTTTTTCCACCTTTTCCTAATGTTTATACTTGGGCGGGTAAAAAAATGGGTGAATAAATTACATGGGAAAAATTATACAAATCAGCTAAAAACACGGAAAAAAGGTTACGACATTTTTCAAAGTCTAAGTAGGTACTTCAAGCTCTGCTGAGCAACTAAAAAAACTACTGTTCCTTTCAAATTAAGACTGATGATGCGGGTTAGATACGTGACTGTCAAAAAGTGAGTGATTACGGTCGACATATTCCCTATACAGGTGCGAGCTTCTCTCCTTCACACTTTAACTCCAGAAGCTACAGCGTTTATCAGTCTATTCTGTAACCATCTCGCTCAAATGAGATTTTTTCAGGCCTCGAATATACACATAAGTGTGTGCTTTTTTTAATTAAGATTATCAGCAATTTTCTAAAATTTAAGTGCGATTTTAATAGCTTATTTACATACCTACGCACAAGCTACACTGAGAATATTTCGCTTCGCTATGTGCATTAAAATTTGCTGAATTTTCCGCTAACTTTTCCAACACCGACGAATTCTTTTAGTTAAATATGTGAAAACTTAATGACTGAAAGAGATCTTTTCTATATTGATTGATGTTTCTCTTAATGATCGAGAAAAATGTTGCACAACTGTTAATAGCAGAATTTCCTATGGCCTACAAACGACTTATATAAAACTTTGGGATACTTTATCTCAAATTCAAGGGAGTTAAGTAGATGAATGTATACAAGAAGGTCTTAACGACAAACTTTAATTCTTTAATTTGTTCTACACCATTTCGTTTTAATTTTATGCCCCTATATCTGGTTTGTTTGCTTGCTCAATTGCTTTTCTCTCAGGGTTCCTGATGTTACAAATAAAAATCAAGCTGAAACTACATGAATTTTCACAATCATATTTTGTCTTGTAAATCCCCAAAATTTTTTTTTGTTTTACTTATATTTTTTTTTGGATGAAGCAAGTGGAGATATATTAATGCAGGAATATAATACAAAGTAAAGCAGAACTGGCCCATAAAAGTTAAACCAATGAATAATAAGTCACTGAAAATTTACATTTTTAAATGCTCACAACAAAAAAATCTTCAAAAACAATAAATTCCTTCCGTAGTAGAAGTAGGGAGTGAACTTATTTTAGAACGTTGCGATTTAAATAAATAAATAAAAAACATTACGTGTGTTGTTTAGCAAATTTTTTATTTTACATTATCGTTTGCCGTTCCATTCTCTGATCCACACTGATTGAGTTTTTAATTCTCTTTTGAGATTCGAAATTTCCTATTTAATTTTATTAGCTCATATACACAGATAGCTAATTACTGGATGTTTTTTCATATTTATCTACCGATCGGTTCTCTGCATTTTCGTTCTGTATTGATTCGTTATGAGCAATTCACAAATTTAACAAATGCAGAGTCGGCTAAAAATAATAAAATTAGAAAATAAAAAACAAACTCAAAAAGGTTCTAGTTTTATTTGTCTTATTTCAAACATTTTTCTTTGTCATTTCATTTCATCAATTACATTCAGAATTTCGAATAAACCTATACTTTGAGAGTCTATAAAGTACAGAAGTAAATGCAAAAAAATAAAACACGTTTATCTCTGTTGTTGGAATTAGTCTCACATAATTCTCATGGAGCGCGCCGCAAATAAAAGTGAATTATTAATAGATTCAAATTAAGCCGTGAAGGTGCCAAATCGAACAACCCCTGATGATGCAAGCCACTCGTGTTTGCGAAACGTCAGGAATGATTTCAAACCTAACTGACTTGGTAATCTTTGGTTTGTTTAGTAACCAAGCAATAAGTAATAAAAATGCAGATTTTGGAAACAACTTCAACATCCCGCCAATGCACTTGAAACAACAAAACCGCAATAACCGAAACTGAAAATGATTGTTTTGCAGTCGACATCACTAGTCAGTTGAATGGCACTGAAACAGTTGATTCACCCCTTTCAATTGTGCAAAATACCCGGGCTCGAAGAAATATGACAATAAACGCGGCCAAGTTGAAATCGAACAGTGAACTTTGGATCGCGTGACATTTAAAATTATCCATAAATAACGCGATTTTGCTGTGCCAGGGGATGAAATGTCAAGATCGGGCAAGAATTCCTCCATAAAGCTGAATTTATTTTCAAAGAGGTGTAGTTACGTCGGGCCGTTATTTGAAAGGCAAAGTTCAGGCAACTACGAGTTAATTACAAATGGATTCTTTCGAATTTTTAAAATGCTCGTGTTTAATCTTCGGGGGTTTTTTTTTGTAATTTATTTCGGGCTTCAATAAGTAACCAAAAGAACAATGTTACAGTAGGTAAAAAGGATACGAGCTTAATAAGGGATCTTTCGGGGAAAGCTTAATGGCTGCCTAGCCCTTAAATGGGGGAGAGGATGCGATGAATTACCCCGTCGTCTACTATTAAGAAGCAAAGACGGAGAGAGAATAGAGATATATGTGACAAGACGATACCTGTCTTGCCACCTGGAAACTGGGAACAGCTTAATAAATAATTCAGATTTATGCTCGAGCAAATTTCATGGCAAAAGCGGACGTTGTATGTAGTTATAATTTTTTCGTTGTTCATGACTCTTCACTCGTATATTTTTAATAGAAGTATTAAAGGTTTTTAAAAATACACGAGTTTTTGCCACTGTGGCGAATACTGCTTTATATTATAAAGTTCTTCATCAATATTTTATCGTTTAGTTGAGTTTTGTGGCTTTTCAAGTTTTCTTTCAATTTTACTTTGTATTTCTAATATAGTGAAAAATAAATAAAATACTCTTAAAATACACTACTTTTTGGCCTATTGGTAATTATGTTTGGTTTTGTTACTGCGGTTGATCATTATTTCATCTGCTTAGTTTCATTGGTTTGAAGTTCTTTTCAAAACTTAGTTGATGAAATAATGGTCACAAAAAAAATAAAACAGTACTCAGCAAGGAGCGAAAAAAATGGCATAGTTTAAGAAATTTACTTAAAGTATTTCTTAGAAAAAGATACCAACTGTTAAACATACAGCGTCTACTTTGTCATTAAATAGAATTTGAAAGAGCAGAAGTTAAAAAACTGACGGAAAATAATTATTATAAGCTCAACTATTATCAAATTGCTTCGTTCCAGTTTGGAAAAATATGTAAATTGCAACTTATTTCGTAAAACTTTCTAACGCCTTTGCTCAGTGCTTTCCACGCTCCTCAACAGAACTTTGCTGCCAGAGCGGTGTTTTAAAAAATTCCTCCTATCAATTTCCTTTTTGCTTCGCACAATAATGAGCTTTTCCAACATGAAGAATAATTCCATTATCGATTAATGGGCAAATATTGGCCTGCCTCTTGGAAGTAATGCGAGCCCTCAGCTATTTGCATGCTTTCTACGAGGGTTACCGAACAACGAAAACCAATCGGCTTTAAGTGTTATGCTTAGGATGGCGATTTGTTAGTTCCACATTGCATTTCATAGGCAAATCCTCCCTTTGCCATTTGTTTGGCCGATTTATCCGAAAATACGTGCGGTTGAGTATTTCCTCCATGAACATTTGGGTGTTTATTCATTCAAGCAGTTCTCTTATTATAGGGGAGTAAACGAAGTCTTCAGTGATTAGTGTGTACAAATGTACATTCTGGCCTACATGCGCCTAAATAGTTCAGGAAAAGTTCTAATAAAAGTTAGCTAACAGAGAAAAATAAGTGTTTCTAATTAACTGATAATCCGTAAAACGAGAATGTGATGAAAAAGTGTAAAATATTCAGATTAAAAATTCTCTATCAATTTGAAAGACACCCCCTTAGCTGCTGAGGTTTACAAAGCCTGATAAAAATGAAGTTTAGCTTGTTCTAAATAGAAATTTGCGTCAAGTTCTCAATTTACTTTAGCATCTAAAAGTTTTGCCTGAAGACTGACTTGAGCCCGACAAAATCCATGTCAATCAGTCGAATTTCTATTGTGAATCCCTGTCCTTATCACTCTTAATTTACGCGGTAAAA